AAATGGGGCTACTCGGATAAGTACAAGACCTGCACCCAAGACACATCCCACGAAACCAGTGACATCTTCAGCTCGGTGGGCTCTGCCTTGATCTACCCAATCCCTCTGATTGTCCTCTTCGTGTGCTACTTTAAGATCTACCGCCACATCACAGGCCACATGAAGAAGATGATGGGGAAAGGCAAGGGAGTTGAAATGACAGATACTCCGAATTCCTCCAACGTGGCAAGCACCACAAAGCTCCACAAGAATCCACCTGCCAGCTTCAGTAAGCGACAGGTGGAAATCACTAAGAACCTGTTCTACGTGGTATGTGCCTTCGTTGCTTGCCTGGCTCCCTTCGCCATCGCCCTCATGATACCACCCAGCGACCCGGTCATTCCTTGGACTGGGGTGATCATCATCTTCAACAGCGCTATCAATCCGATCATCTACGGGGCCAAACACCCACACTTCAAGGAGGTGTTCCGTCACATGTTGCGGTGCCAGTACCACATGATCCCTGAACCTTCTGGATGCCTTCGGAAGATAAGATCTCGATAGATGACATCAGACTTTTGTATTTTCGTTGAATGATGAATGAAAAACAATCTCAATTTATGTCATAGGATGCATGCTCATGATCAAGATACATAGCCAGTCTAGCCATGAAGATAGGTACGTAATCGGATACATTAATTTGACTTAAATAATGAACGAGAGAAGATTATTTGTGTGAAATGAAAAAAAAATGAAATTCAAAATTCTTACATGTAATTATTACACGATAAGTTTTTCAAAATTACAGAAGAATAAACGGATACTAGTTCGGAAACATTATCGGATAATAGTCTTTTTCCAAAACATTGCCCTTGAAGGCTTGAACCGTGCCTTTTTAGAACGAAGGATTACCTGGACGGTTTAGCTATTTAAGTGATCCATTAATATGTGGAACTGTACAGTTCTTATAATTATGTTTAATTGTAAATTGTCTTTTCTTTCATTAATCAATTGACATTCGGATTTCCATGTCATTTAGACATCGTGGACTGTACAAATCAATGGTAATTGTAAAAAAAGATCTACGCAGGAAGTCAGGCATCACAATCACACGTGGAATTAGGCTTTTTAAGTTAAAAGTTGAGTTTAGAATGGAAAACAAATGACTCGTGTTTGTTCATTTCGAAGTCAAAGTTTGAGTTTCTCTACACATCATGCTTCCAAGATTCGTTCATGAATGTGGAACCTCTCATGGAGGGGGGGGGGGGGCACTTTGGCCCTCAATGGATTTTCTTTAACAATACAAAGTTCTTTTACGCTTTCCTAGATTATAAGGGGGGACAGTGGCGCACCCAGGATTTGGCTTGGGGGGGGGGCTCACAATTTTTTTTTCTTTTAGTAAAAGTATTATTTTTTTCAAATAATGTTGCCCAAAATTTTTGGTCGCAGAACAAAAAAAATGGTGTTTTTTTTTGGGGGGGGGGGGTGGTTTGGGGGGGGACTATTTTGACGTTGGTGGCGCCACTTGATACACCCCTAGTATACTACTCGAAAATAGGCCACATTCATATCACCAAGGTCAAATTAAGTGACTATTACCAACACGCACAAAAAAATGACAACCTCTGGGGGGGGGGGCTCAAGCCCCACGAGGCCCCCTCCCTTGGGTGCGCCACTGGGGGGGGGGAGGGGGGAGGAGGAGTAGGCACAGTCCTCGAGCGTCATTGCCTGTTCTCGGTAATGCTTTTTGAGATATATTCATTGTCCGGGCAGCGCAGGATCCTGGGTGTTAACATTCGTAGCACAACAATATCAATACGATACCGCTTGTCAATGGGCCTTACTCCTGAACGAGGAGGACGCTGTAACGATGCCAAACGTACGCGTATCCAAGGCATACAGTTTTACAATATCTAATTTTTAGATTGAAGTAAAGATACTAAAGAGCTATTTAATTACCTTTTCCCCAGTGTTTGTACCCAAAGAATGGCGTCATTCGTTACAGCGCCCTCACTTGCTCAAAAATAATGGCCTGTTAACTCTCAAATATCTATCAATCTTTTCAAGCCTCACGAATATTAATGAGGTTCATATCCATTACGGTGTGCAGTAAACAATTGGATAAAAGCCTCCTTCACAAGTTGTTAATTAACAAATATCACACTTTTTGCCGGCTTCCATTGGTCGATACCGAGACCCACGCCATGTCAGGCCGAGTGACGCTAATGAATATGCTAATCTACCATACGTTATTGTGTTGCTTGGCCGAAATCGGTCAGCCGTAGCGCCTACGGCGCTTTGCTGAACAATGGCACATGGGTTGGGTCGGGAAAATAATATTTTGATCCTCTTCGAAATTTTTCCATGGAGATGGTTCAAGCTGTAACATTAGCGTTTGCAACAACAGATTAAACTGAAATTCGGTATATACTTAGATGATATAAGTATTCAACTACTCGTGCAATAACAACTTGGATACATTCCTAGAAATTTGGATAAATACATACATTTGGGGAAGTTTTCGAACGAGATCTTCCAGACTTGAAGGTCAGCTATGCCAGTAACCAGTATTAACGTTTCGGCATCGATTACGGCGATTTTTTCACTGACAAAGTGACATAAAGTTTAGAATTTCTTCTTCAATTAGAATGTAACATTTCAATCATACCGAAATATTTCCTGAGAAACACAACGTTCAAAAGGCCAGGTTTTGGGGGGCTAATGAATTTCAATGCTCTGTTACAAGTACGTAATCGGATTAGCTTTCCGTGACAACGACTGACGCTTTGCCTTCGCAGCCATATGGCTGGATAACATGTACATGTACTTCACTGACTGCGTACTGTACAAGCGCCCTCGGTGGTGTGCGGAGATCGAAAAGAAAGAAAATCACAATCAGTCACGCTCCAGCTAGCACGCCTAAATAATCCGGTCGGAAATAACTACATCAATATTTGGGGTAAATATCTAAAATTAATAAACCTTACAAGGAAGTTCACGTACAGAATGACACATAGTGTTATTCTTTGAGAGCCGTGAAATGAGACGCGATAGCTAAATGTCAACACGAATGCACCCAATTAAAAATGCAGTTTGAAAAGGGTCAACTTTTTTTTCAATTGTGGCATTCCTCTGCAGGCAAAATCACGATGGCACACATTGTTCATTATATTTTATTTCTAGGAAACTCTTTTTTACTGATTATTTTAAGATGAATCATTTTTTGAAGTTTGTATGAGATACACAGAACAGATATATCACCACACAAAAGTCCCAGTTTTTATGGCGTTAGTAAACAAACTCAGTGTCGACATCATCAAAAAACACTGCGCTATTTTCCCGATAATTACTTCCTCAAACGGCCGAATGGCCTAAATTTCGAAGGGGAAAGAACTAATAGCAGGTCAATAAAGTCTGCTAACGATTCGGCTCATAAAGAAAACACAAACATTGAACTTCCTCCATGCTTTCCAGTTTTTATTAGTTTCGATTTCGATTTAAATAAATTGTATATTTAGCTCTTTCAAGCATGATATTTTTTAACCTTAATTCCGTATTTTTTCCCGAAAACCATAAACGTCTGCAGGCTGAGTTTACTGGTCTGCAACCATTTTACGTGTATCCAAGATTACACACGTACGTTTCACAATTTACAGTTTCACAATATTTAATTTTAAGATTGAAGTAAGATACTATGAACTTGTTCCTAGTGTTTATACCCAGAAAATGGCGTCGTTCGTTGAATCAAAAATATTGCCGGTGAACTCTCAGCTCACTTATCATTACTTCACTCTTAATTCCTTCCGACTCGCAACGATTATGCAATAAACATAATGCGCATGTGTCAGTTGCTGACGAAATGGTTCTTGGACTTGACTTTCCTTTATATAAAAAAAAATACTTTGGAGCCATTAATCATGAAAAAGGGTACAATTAAATTTATCTAATCGATAAGAATAGGACTTGATTTAACACAATTTCACAACTTAAACTTTACTCACGTGATTATGTTCCACGCATGCGTATTAAGGTAAAAAGGGTCTGTGCTGCTATTTTGATACACAGACCTAATGCTGATATCTTTGGAAATCTGCGGTTATCTTGGGATTTTCAAATTGGATGAGTGGCCACGCTGCAACAGAGTGCGCAAATAATCGTGACGTCATTTGCAGAGGATTATATTAATTCCAACTGACAAACAAACCCATATAATTTTTAGCGAAATGCACTAGTTTGAATGGTGTTATTTTGATCGAATCAAAAGAAAATCACAATAATTCACGCTCCATTTAACACGCCAAAATATTCCGGTCGGAAAAAAACTACATCGATATTGGGGGGGGGGGGTGGGTCTAAAACTAACGAACCTTACAAGGAAGTTCACGCACAGAATAAAAATAGTGTTATTCTTTGCGAGCCGTGAAACGAGGCCCGGCAGTTAAATATCAACCTGAATGCGCACAATTGAAAAGTGAAGTTTGAAAAGGCCAAAAAAAAAAGTCTCCGGTTTCTGGTATGGAGCTTGCCCAAAAAGTGGTGCGGCGACGCGGCTTTTTTTTTTTTACCTGATTTTTTTGCTTCAAATGTCGGCTGATGACTACAAATGGTGCCCGACTAAACTTAGTGCAAATATATGGGAGTCCAGAGAGGCCACATAAAGCTTAGATCTCGACCATAACCCAATCTAAAAACACGTTAAAATTGTGCAGCAGCAGAATTCCAGTCAAACCAGTGAGTTTGGCGGTTTTGAGACATCATCTTGTATTGAAAAAAAACCTTTTTCATTTTGCCGACGCGCATGGCTGCGGCGACGCGCGCGCATACCAGAAACCGGAGACTTTTTGGGGGGCCGAAGGGTCAAGTTTTTTCGTGACATTCCTCTGCAGGCAAAATCAACTCACCGCTGTATACATAGAGTATGCAACATTATCGTACTGTTTACTGGCAAGCGGAAATAACGAGAAACACCGACTAGACTGGTGGTAGCCAGAATATACGTTCCTTTGAATGCAGAGACATGGATCCCCTCAAACCAGTTTTTGCCGGAAAAGCAATCATCAACTGAACCTTTCTTCATAATACTAGAGAGTCTGTCTAGAAAGACGACCGTCAAATCGCCGTTACAAATATAACAGCAAGTGTGCCAATCATGAACACCATGTCTACGGATTCGTTGTCATCAGATTTTGCGACATTTGACGCAGGAATAAGTATCACTTCAAATGTGACAACTGCGTCATTGATAGAGATCACGACACAAGGTGACGGTGACGGTCGTAACTTTCGCTTTGAAGACCCCGTACAGCGGATCATCATCGGTTGCGTCTACAGCCTCGTGGCAGTCGTTGGCTTCGCTGGGAACTTCATGGTCATCCTGGCTGTCATTCTGTCAAGGAAACTCCAAAGTCGCACCAATGCCTTTGTCGTCAACTTGGCCGTGGCTGACTTACTGACTTGCTGTACTATTCCGTTCACAGCAGTGGCTCTGTTTAGCTTGGGCGGATGGCCTTCTGAATTGCCTCTTCCATTATGTTCCTTCATGGGCGGTCTCTACTTTCTTAGTCTTGGAGCAAGTATCATGAACTTGGCAGCCATTGCCATCAATCGGTATGTCCTCATCACCAAGACGAGGTCTACCTACCGCTCCATCTACACACCTAAGAAGATTGCAGCTATGATGGTTTTTACATGGGTTTACCCAGCTCTGGTTTGCAGTTTACCCTTCGTCGGCGTCGGTTTGTTTGGATATTCGGAGAAATACAAGACCTGTAACCAAGACAACTCCTTGGAAACTAGCGATCTCTTAAGCCTCCTGGGCTCAGCCCTTGTATTCCCAATTCCTCTGATCGTCCTGGTGGTGTGCTACATCAAGATTTACCGCCACATCAAAGGCCATTTGACGAAGATGAGGAATAAAGGTGGAGATTTTGAGATGAGTGAGATGTCAAGCATCAGCGCCCCGAGTAGCACACAGCTCCAAAGGAATCGATCGGCCAGCTTCAGTAAGCGACAGGTGGAAATCACGAAGAACCTGTTCTACGTGGTCTGTGCCTTCGTTGCTTGCCTGGCTCCCTTCGCCATCGCCCTCATGATACCACCCAGCGATCCAGTCATTCCATGGACCGGGATGATCATCATCTTCAACAGCGCTATCAACCCGATCATCTACGGGGCCAAACACCCACACTTCAAGGAGGTGTTCCGTCACATGTTGCGGTGCCGGTACCACATGATCCCCGAACCTTCTGGATGCCTGATCTGTCTGCAAAAGATGAGATCTATTTGAAAAGTTTGTTTCTTCGATATACTAATCAGTTCAAACCTGAGAACATGGGCGTCGCCAGGATTTTTACTAGAGGGGGGCAAAGCACATTATTTCCTAACATCCTTGTTCTTTCTCTAGCATTATTCTCAATTTATCTTTTTTTCAAGGATGGGCGGGGGACATTTGCCCACCCCACCCCCATTGACACCCCTACGGATGCCCATGTTGTTAATGTGCATTAAATTAACAGCAATATGACTTCGAACCTCTTTTTGGGGGGAGGTCGTTTTTGTTTTTGTCTGCTTTTCCGGGGGGCGCCCCCCCCCCCCCTTTGCCCCATCCTGGCGACGCCCATGCCCGAGAATAATACCAAATTGTATAGTTACGGTGCTTATCCAAGAACATTACTCGGTATTTTTATTGTCTTAAATGTAATCGGTTAAAAACTTTAATCTTATATAAGAATTCAGATTTATAACACGATGGCAGACATTGTTCATTATATTTTATTGCTAGGAAACTCTTTTTTACTTATATTTTAAGATGAATCATTTTTTTGAGCTTGTTTGTATGAGATACACGGGACAGATATATCACCACACAAAAGTCCCAGTTTTTATGGCGTTAGTAAACAAACTCAGTTTCGACATCATCAACAAACTCGCGACATTTCCCCGATAATTACTTCCTCAAACGGCCGAAAGGCCTTAATTTCGAGGGGGAAAGAGCTAATTGCATGTCAATAAAGTCTGCTACCGATTCGGCTCATAAAGAAAACACAAACATTTAACTTCCTCCATGCTGTCCAGTTTTTATTAGTTTCTATTTCGATTGTATATGTATATAGCTCTTTCAATCATGATATTTTGTAACCTTTATTCTATATTTTGTCCCGAAAACCATCAACGTCTGCGCAGGCTGAGTTTACTGGTCTGCAGTCTGCAACCATAATTACGTGTATCCAAGATTATACACATACGTTTCACAAATTACAGTATTACAATATTTATTTTTGTGGATTGAAGTTACTTTGAATTTTCTTCCATGTTTATACGCAGAAATGGCGTCGTTCGTTACAGCACTCTTATTGAATAAAAAAAAATATTGCACGTTATATGTTAAATTTCAGTTTAATTTCCAAAGATAGCAGCATTATCATCCATTATGTATCAAACAGCACAGACCCTGTTTTTATGTGAATGGGGCTCACACAGTGTTTTAATTAACATTTTGCGCATGCACAATCCATACTTTCGTGTGTTCTCAATACGCAAAAACAATTGCAAGGCTCAGCGAAACTTTCCAAAGCCTTGGCCTACATCCCCACGATCTTGGAAAAAATTGTAATAATTTCGCAATAATCGCAATAATTTCACCCAAGATTCATGGCTCACGGTGATTCTTTTGTTTATAGAAAGGAAATTTAAGTCCGAGAACCATTTCCTTATCAACTGACGCATGTGCATTGTGTTTATTGCCTAATGTTGCAGAAAAAAATCGTGGCGAGTCGGAAGGAACTTGGGATGATGTAATGATAATATACTGGATCTTGGGATAACCAAATTTGATGAACGGCCAGGCCGCAACACGACGTCATTTTCACACCAGAGGACTATTTAATTCCAAAGAAACAAACAAACCCGTATAATTTGTAGCGAAATGCACGATGTGGTTTGTCTAGTTTGAATGATGTCATTTTGATCGAATCAAAAGAAAATCACAATAACTCACGCTCCAGCTAACACGCCTAAATATTCCGGTCGAAAAAAAACTTCGATAGGGGGAATCTAAAATTAATGAACCTTACAAGGAAGTTTAAGCAAGAAATGAAAATAGTGTGGTTTTTTTGGGGAGCCGTGAATTATAAACCCTGAATATGCACAACTGAAAAGTGCAGTTAGAAAACAATTGAACATTTTTTGAAAAAAAATCTAACTTTTGAGCCCCCCCAAGCCAAATCCTGTGTGCGCTACTGATTCTAAGCTTGTTTATATGAGATACACGGGAAAGATATTACCACACAAAAAGTCCCAGTTTTGATGATGGCGTTATAAAACAAATTAACTCAATTTCGACGTTACCAACAAACCTCGCGACTTTTCCTCCGATAATTACTTCCTCAAACGGCTGAAAGGCCGAATTTTCGAGGGGAAACCAGAGCGAATCGCATGTCAATAAAGTCTGCTCCGGATTTGGCTCATAAAGATAATACAAACATTTAATAACTTCCTCGATTAAAATAGGCCTACATTGTTTATTTCTTTCTTTCTTTAGTGATATTTTGTAACCTTTATTCTCTATATTTTGTCACGAATCATAATCTTCTGTGGTTTGGCTAAGGCTCATCTGCGTAAAACGAAGCAAAACACTGAAGGGAAATAATAAACTATCTTGCTGTTTACCAACCATTTTTATTTTAAAGCAACGCTAGGGAATAATATTAGCAAAATGGTCATGGTGGCGCTGTTGAAAACCAAGAAGGATATCTGTTTTAGCCGGGGGTGTTATTGCGTTTGAACGATCGATCTCTTGTTTTCAACATATGTGCCGTTTTCCTTAAAATAAAAATCCAATCTTAGATTGAAATAAACATGTTTTAAAGTTGTCACTGGGAAATTATTTTTACTATGAAAAACGTAGAAAAGGCCTCAGTTTGTATGCCCACTGTCCAGCTTACCCCTTCCAGTGGCGTAACTAGGGGGGGGGGGGCATGGGGAAGGCCCCCATGACTCCTTTTAAGAAATTGGGGAAGACAAAATTGAGCTTTCTATTGTTTTAAGCCAACCGAGTGCCCCCTCCAGAAAAATGCGGCCCACCGAGTCCCCCCAGCAATTTTGACCCCTCCCTTTAATATTTCCCTTTGCCATTTACCTTACAATCTTCCAAGGAATACCTAATACCCCAAAACAAAACACCTTATTTCAACATAAAAACTTTTTTTTCACAAACCGACATAATTCCATAAATTTGTTCAGCAGTAATGATATACTCTTTCTTTTATTTTAATATCAAGATATGTACAAACCTAAAACCACTTTCCCAATAATCCATGATTAAACATAAACTTCTTGAAGATTAATTATTATAAACGTTCTTCTTACCTCTACCTGCCTATGCTAAGCTTTGTACACATTTATTTTACAAAAATGTTCAACACTCTACAAATACGTAACAAAAATATTCACAACTGTTTGAAAATTAACACTAGCTGCTTCAAAGACTTAACATTTACGCTTTTGGAAATAGAACTGTCAAGAAATTATTTACATCAGTCTTTTAGACAACAGTGTCATCTTTATAATGTTTCTGGGATCTTTATAATGTTTCTGGGATGCTGTGACATTAAGCATAATTATTTGGCAAAGATTTCCGGTAAAATCATTTTCGTTCCCACGTACATCAATCCACGATTACATTAGATTTAAGTAGCTTCAGTATGCATATCATTTCATGTTCAATATGAAGATTTTATTTTCAAACGCGATTAACGCCATTTTGTTGCCTTAAGAATCTCACCCTCTCCTGGTTAAACAAAGTCAGTTTAGATGGCTATTTAGTTAAACACAATTTATGTACACAACAAAGCAAAAACTGTAGTTTACAAACAGCTGTTATACATATGTTCTATAAGGCCAAAAAAAAATAGTCGTTCTCTGGTCAGACCGAAGTTCCGGAATTGATGCGGCGACGCGGTTTTTGGGGTTTTTTTGGTGGCTTTTTTTTAATTCAAGCTTGAATTGTACAGACAAGGTGGGTACTATTTAGCTTTTTTGTGTCCTCATTATACATTGGTGTCCTCCATAATTTGCCTTGGTGCCCTATATTATTTGCCTTGGTGCAATTTCCCCATTCCTTGGTGCTCCTTGGTACAAAAATTTGAGGAGGTGCGGCAATAGAGGGTGCTGTTGTAGCTTCCGTGTTAATTTGAAGAAGAAAAAAAGGTTGACGCGCATGATTAAAATCGACGCGCGCGCTGACCAGAGACCGAGCATTTTTTTTTCATCACCATGCAACTTTTTCACTTTTTTTTTAAATGGATGTATCGCGTATTGGAAATAAACTCTTCATATATTCCAAGTAACAAGCATTTGCATATCCTAATGTTCAACATGTTCCAACGGTCGTGTTCTCTTACTGTATGTGTACAGAGACACACTGAGGCCAAAATTGTACATTCACTACTGCTTTGCTCATACCAATATGAATATTTTCGTTTTCAATATGAATATTGGTGAGTAAAATTTTGATGAAATTATGATCAGTTTCAGAAATAAAATTTGTCTCAAATACTGTACCTGCCTCTAATGACATCAATGAAAATAAATCAACTCAGAAAGATTGCAACTTCAACGGTTCATAAAAAAAATTGGTTCAAGAAAATTGAGTGTCAAATATTTACATTTCGTCTCCATGCGTGACAGTTTTTTTCGCTCGTTGTTGTTGAAATTTTGGGTTGTGGCTGGTATCCGTGCTTGACTGGTTGACGGTGCTGCCTTTCACCTCTGGAACGACAGCTGGCTTGTCAGCTGGGGCAACATCCTGAGAAATTTTGGAGGGTACTGCCTCATTGGCTGACTCAGCATCTGCCTCGACATTCAAATCTTTTCCTGCTTCCTGATTGGCTGGCTGGACCTCTTCTGGCATCTGATAGGACGGCTTGGCAAAGCGGCCCAATGCGATTGGTTGGTCTTCATCCAGTTGTTTCTCCTCCATGATACTAGGCTCTGTGCTCACGCTGTAAGGTCCTTCAGTTGGCATGTCGGTGTGCTTCAACGTTCTTGATTTCACTAAAAAAGAAAAAATGATTTAATTAAAGGGAATATACATCATTTGCTTTTGCTGTAATTTTCAGAAAAGGATGGAAATGGGGGGTTGGAAATATATAGCGAATATAGTTACACTGACTTTTTTTAGGTTTGGGGTTCGAAAATGCTATAAAAACCAAGAAAAACAATCATTTTCCTGTAGTCTGGTTCCCTGACTCCATATAAGAAGAAACAGAGCAGTTTACATACATTGGGGAATTGTAAGGTCAGGGAACCAGTCTAGCTGGCTTGTACCCGTTCATAGGTGTGTAATCGATTGCAAACAAGTGCGATGGTCAATTGGGGCCAGTATTTGAAAAAAGGCAGTTTTTTTCCAACGCTGGTCGGCCGACCAGCGTTGGAAATTGATACAAAAATACGACTTTTCTTGAAAATGACAGTATACCAGGTGCCATTATATTACAGGATGCTTTACACTGTCATTCACTAACAGTCCAGCAAGGTATTTCAAAATGATTTGGTAGTTTTATTTTTTGATGTTTGCAAATGTTGTATTTTCCCTTTAACTCTTACCCTGCATTACATTGGGCTTTTTTAAAAGGCAAAGAATAACTCAAGCTGTGGCTTCGACTAAAAGAAGCCATTGTTACAGATGATAGCCAGTCACTATTCTTTAAAAGTCCATAAAATGAATTTTTCTTAGGAACGTATTTTGTGCAACTTTCTGCTCCTCTTAAATGAAACTATTTGATATCCCTTTTTTGGTTAATAAAACTTGTTTGAAGTCATTCCCAATGATACTTGAGTGGTTAATTACAAAGTACCAAGGTAACAGGAACGGGAAAAATGTCACACATTTGATCTTAAAAAATGACCAATATAGCTTTTTTCAATTAAAGGGAAAATACAACATTTGCAAACATCAAAAAATAAAACTACCAAATCATTTTGAAATACCTTGTTGGACTGTTAGTGAATGACAGTGTAAAGCATCCTGTAAAATCATGGCACCTGGTATACTGTCATTTTCAAGAAAAGTGGTATTTTTGTATCAATTTCCAACGCTGATCGGCCGATCAGCGTTGGAAAAAACTGGCTTTTTTTCAAATACTGGCCCCAATTGACCATCACACTTGTTTACAATCAATTACACACCTATGAACGGGTACAAGCCAGCTAGACTGGTTCCCTGACCTTACAATTCCCCAATGTATGTAAACTGCTCTGTTTCTTCTTAAATGGAGTCAGGGAACCAGACTACAGGAAAATGATTGTTTTTCTTGGTTTTTATAGCACTTTTGAACCCAAAACCTCAAAAAAGTCAGTGTAACTATATTTGCTATATATTTCCAACCCCCCAATTCCATCCATTTCTGAAAATCACAGCAAAAGCAAATGATGTATATTCCCTTTAAACATACCCAGTGAACGGTTTCTTTGGCTGCGTCCAAATTACTTGGCTGCGGCTCGCGGTAACACACATGTCTATAGAAAGTGGCTGCATCCAAATTACTTGGCTATGGCTAGCGGTAACACACATGTCTATGGCAAGTGGCTGCAGCCATTCCATAGGCGCATTTGTACATTGCAAGTCGTAGCCAAGTAATATGGAGGCGGCCTTTGAACCAGGCAAAGCCGGTTACCGGCATATCAAGCACTACAACTTACCACCAGTTGGCTGGTATCCTGCAGGCATCTGGGCGTCTTTGGATCCGTTGAATGGGTTGAAGCTTGGAGCGATCAACAGAGCAAACGATAACAGCAGCACCTGTTTACAGCAAAAGAAAAAGTTATCGTTAGATTTCAAAAACTTGAAGTAGGACACTCAATTCAATCCACTGCTTTTTATGAATAATCTATTTTTTATAATGGAAAAAAGCTCATAACATGCTTACGTTCATGTGGCGAGCATTCTTAAAAAGCGTTGCTCATGCATTATGTCTAACTTGTAAACACACTTTGAGTTCAAGGGAAAATACAACATTTGCTTTTGCTGTGATTTTCAGAAATGGATGGATTTGGGGGGTTAGTATTTTATAGCAAATATTGTTTCACTGGCTTGTTTGAAGTTTTGTGTTCGGGGATGCTGGAAAATCCAAGAAAAACAATCATGTTCCTGTAGTCTGGTTCCCTGACCCCATTTAAGATGAAACGGAGCAATTTATAGACGTCAGGGAATTGTAAGGTCAGGGAACCAGTCTACCTGGCTTGTATCCATTCATAGTTGTGTAATCAATTGCAAACAAAATGCTGACTAACTAAATATGGTATTAATTGGGGGCAGTATTTGAGAAAAAAGCCAGTTTTTTCCAAAGCTGGTCGGCCAACATTTCTTGAAAATGACCCTGCACACCAGGTGCAATGAGTTTACAGGATGCTTTAGACTGTCATTCACTAACAGTCCAGTAAGATATTTCATAGTAATTTGGTAGTTTTGTTTCTGAATGTTTGCAAATGTTGTATATTCCCTTCAAAGGAGCACCAAATAAAATAACGTTTGACTCTGACAGAAAGTTGCCAGGTGATGTCGTTATTCAGTATTCAGTGAACTGTAGAGTTATCGGTGATTTGATCAGTAATTTGGTTCTCACCATAACGCAGGTGCTGGCATGCGCTGCTTTGGTCGTCGTCTTGCTGACTAGGGATTGTAGTTTCCTCAACTGCTCCATCAGAGACCTGGAAATGACACGGGAAGAGACACTAAAATACTGAAATCTGCTGAGGTTCTTGGTTCGAGATTCAAAAACCAAGACAAGAAATGGGTGTGTTCATTGGTCTAGGGTCATTTTGGTTACATTTTTAGCCACGGACCAAGGTTTTTTATTCTATTTGTTTAGCCACAGACCACGGATCTTGGTTCCAGGTTTAGCCATGGAAATGGTTATTTGTTCTAATTTAAGCCATAGACCATTGTTCTTGGTTACATTTTTAGCAAACAATTATGGTTCTTGGTTTCAGGTTTAGCCAAGAATGGTTCTTGATTCTATTCTTACTCATGAACCATGGTTCTTAGTTCTAGGTTAAACCATGGACCATGTTTCTTTTTTGAGTTCTACTCATGAATCATAGTTCTTGGTTCCAGGTTTAGCCATGAACCATGGTTCTTGGTTCCAGGTTAAGCCACGAACCATGGTTCTTAATTCAATTTTAAGTCACAGACCACAGTTCTTGGTGCCAACTTTTGTCAAGGGCTAGGGTTTTTTAGTTCCAGGTTAAGCCATGGAGACATGGACCATGGTTCTTGGTTCTGTCTTCAGTCATTAACCATGGTTCTTGGTCCAGGTTCAGTCACAGGCCAAGCTTCTTAAGACCAGGTTTAGCAATGAACCATGGTTCTTGGTTCCAGATTTAGCAATGAACTGTGGTTCTTGGTTCAAGATTTAGCCCCGAACCATGGTTCTTGGTTCCAGCTTTTATCAAGGGTACATACTTGTTCTCGTTCTCTATTTTGGCCATCTTCTTCTGCATCTCATGGTTCTGTTTAGTGCAGAGCTGGACGCGTTGCTCCAGCCCGTCCACATAGACCTTCTTGCGTTTCCGACTATCCATGGCTGAGATCTTATTGCGAATCTTGCGTCGGACTGTCTTGAGAGATCTCTCCTCTTCCTAAGTTGCCATAGAAATAATCCATTTGATTCATCAGTTTTGAGAACAAATTCAGAGTAAAATTTCTTGGTAAATTCTGTTCAAAATCAAAGTTAAATGCAAGAATGCCCAAAACTATTATTCAACAAAAATGAGTCTTTTTCATAATTTCAGCATTATGTAATGTCTGCGACAGAGCTTAAGTGAATAAACACAAACACTTAGCTCAATGAATAGTCCTAAAAATGTATTTTTCCAATCTTATAGAAATTGTACACCTGTCATCTAGTAATGATCAAGGAGATTACAGACTAGGAGTTTTGGATTATTTCTCTGAATCATTGATTAGAAATCATGGTTTAATTAGCTCCGTTATGGACATTACAGTTCCTTTCATAACGCTAGACTTGCCCTGGTCTTCCTAGTTTTGTACTATTCTCAAACAGCGGACATGAGTTGGGGATCAAACTCATTTTGTGCAAGAAACAAACGAAGTGTTTTCTTCCAAACGCGATATATCCATTTGGAAAAAAGTGAACAATTTGCACTTTAAAACTTTAAAAAGTAAAAAACAGCTGTTTCTAAACTTCACTTTTCGCTTTATTGTACTCTTACACTTGTGTCCTTAAGCAAGACACTTAACCATTATTGCTTCGTCCTTCGGATGGGATGTAAAGCCGTAGGTCTCGTGCATTGTGTAATGCATGTAAAAGAACCCAGTAACACTTATCGCTAAGAGAAAGGGTTTGCCCCGGTGTTTCTGACAGTGGCTGCTTAATGCGCCGCAGCACTTTGTTAACCTTATAAGTTACTACATAAAATGGGTCTCATATTTCAAATACTTTATTTACCTGTCTTTAAAATGAATTCATATTTATCAGCGCCTTGAGTACCTAATTGTTGGTAGATACGTGCGCTATATAAGACTCCGGAATATCATTATTAAATTGTCTTAAATTGTGTTAAAACTACATAACAACCATTGAAACTGACTTTTGGTAGCCAGGAGAGGGCGTGATTCTAAAAGATAACAACACGGCATTTATCGCGTTTTGAAAATAAACTCTTTGAATGTTGACGTCAGTTTGTTACCTTAGTCAGAGGCATATCGGTGGGTAGAGTGATGTTCATTTCTCCCAGTAGCCTCTTCTCCTCATCCGTTAGCCTTAGTTTGGGATAACTCTGAAGACACAAGAAAACAGAGAACAGAAAAGGATAAGACTCCTGTCTAATCCACACAATTCAATTTCAAATTGATAAAATGCAGTGACAAAGCTGTTAAAAAATTGCACTTTACATGTATGGAGGAGTGAGTTTTCAACGAGAAAACGGGGGAGGGAAACAATTGATTTTATGAAAAGATGATTGCTGAATAAAAATGATGTGGTATTTAATGCAGAAGAAATCCTTTAAATGCGTTGACTTAAATTAGCTTATTTTTTATATTCAACACACAAAATGGTGGATTTACATTTACTGTATTTCAGAAAGGAATTTAGCTAATTATAGCAAATTTTTTCGCTACAGCTGCTAAAAGGAGTCTTTAAAGGTATTATACAACATTTGCTTTTGCCGTCAGAAATGGACAGATTTGGGGGTTAGTAATTTGTATTGAAAATATTGTTACACTGCTATAGTTTTGTGTTCATAGACGCTAGAAAAACCACAAACAAAAATATTATGCTGTTCTTGTAGTCTGATTCTCTGACCCTCCTTCAGACGAAATGGAGCAATTTATAGACGTCAGGGCATTGTCAGGTCAGTGAACCAGACTAGCGGGCTTGCACCCAATCACGGATGTGTAACCAATTGCAAACAAAATGTGCACTAACTACATTTGGTGAATTGGGGGCAGTATTAGACAATAGTCAATTTTTTTAGAATGGCAGACCATTGTAACAAACGGATACAAAAATTCCACTTTTCTTGGGAATGACAGCGTACCAGGTGCCATGATTTCACAGGATGCTTGAGACTTTTATTCACTTATGGTCAAGCGAGGTCTTTCATAACAATTTGGTAGTTTTGTTTTTTAATGTTTGCAAATGTTGAACATAACCTTTAAATAACGAGTATTAATTATCAAATATTGATTATCGACTATTGACCACTGACATACCGAGTCTGTCGTTGAGATGATTCTGGTCGTTGTTGTGGCGCTCATCGTTTTGACATCTTGTACTGTCATGGGTAGAGTAGAGCTCTTAGACTCGTCTGATGTCAGCTCAAGATCCCAATCAAATCCAGCTGTTAAATAACGAGAAACAAACAAACAAGTCTCGTTATAATGGTCACTGTCACATTTGAATGAGTCATTTCCACAAATTAAAATATTTGGCGGCACAGGAGGAAGAGTACATGCAAATTTTTGTTAACTGAGAAAACAAAGAAAATGAAATAATTGTTTATTTCTGCTTAAAAATTTTTAAAAGTTTAATAATATATTTATTGATAAAGCATGACAAATATTTGTAATCCTTATTTTTTTTTTATACAATTACTACTTTTTAATTTAAATTGTACACGTACAAATTTCAATTTCTAATTAAATGAGCAATTAATGACATGTTAATAAGCAAACGTTTCAACATGAGAAAAGACAATTTTAGGAGTTCATTTTTTTCATTGAATTGTATATTCCTTCAACACGTCATGTGACTAGATACAGCCATCTGGTGGATATGTTTATTGCCTGCCTGGTTTTTCCATATAATTTGCATAATTTTGCCATGGTACATGTACTACATTTAGTGGTATTATGTTACGACTGGGACAATCAATAAAATGCACATCTGTACTGTCTAGTGTTTATTCTGAACACAAAAAGGCGAAGATGTTTGCGCAAACCATACTTTGCCATTATAATATGATTAATTCACTCCTGAAAGGCTTCTATTTTTTTACTATCCCTACAAAAAACCATAATATTTGTAAATGTCGTGCTACAAAAACCTTTTTTTTTGGAAAATTGTCTTCTGAGTAACATTCTCTAATGAACAAACCAGTTAATATGAACTTCTTTTTACATATTTTTTGTTCTTTTTATTAAAATCTTTTTGATGGATATTTTAAGTTTATATGACAATGATTAAAAATAATGAATTTGGAATGTCATAAATTGCTTATTGGTGGCTGAATTTGAATATTAAACTGATACTTAGAGAAAATAACAGAAAAAGGAGTTAACTATGAAGAAACGTTTTTTATTTTAACTTCACACATACCTGACTCGATTAAATCCGACTTATCAATGGTCGTCTGTTCCATGAGCATCTCATCTGAGCCAATCAGATAACTGGACATATCCGCACAGTCCATTATCACCTCTTCCAATTCGTCGATTCGCGATGGGCTGTCGCCCGATTGGCTATCGCTCTGATACTGTGGGGAGTTGATGCCGTCAGAGATACCACTGTCGCTTTGTTCTGGGGAGGCGACAGGATTGTCGTAGGAGGTCTGGGAGATGGACGTCAGGTCAAAATCCTCGTTGAGAAGATTGGAGAAGATGTCATCGGTCACGGCTGGGAAATTTTTGTCGTAGAGCTGCAAGGATACAAATTAAAAGTGAAATTACTTTTAGAAAAGTACTGGAAAAAAATAGTTGTTTTTATTTTTTTAATAAAAATAATGTCATTTCAACAGCAACTTGACTCTTAAGTGAAACAATTCATTGTCAACTTGGGTGCTTTAAACTCAACATTTTCTGTTTTTTTAACTCAGAGTAAATCTAAATAGGGAAAGGTCAACACACAATTGGAAACAATGTCGCTCAAAACAATGGATATACAATTCCTAAAAAGTATAACTTACCCGTTATTTTGGGTATAAAGTTTTGAAACAAATTTCCTTTTTGTTTAGATCACTTGATCAGTTGACACCACAGTACTAATGGCAAGTAAAGTATAAAGCAGAATAACGACAACATTACAGCTTTGAAATAACTTAATATTAACCAATCATTTAATAATTCAGTAATAAGTTAATAAATCAATAGATTTCCATCTGACCAAATAGAATTAGGTATCAATCGATTCTTACCAAAGGTTCGTCTGTATTGTGGAATGTGACACCTGATGAGAGGATGCCATCATTCTCATTGAAGAGAAGATCAAGATCTTCTGATGCCGACAGGGTTCTCCCTGTAAGATTCTCAATCTCCACCGACATCTTGCGTTGCAGTGTGTGACCGTCGTAAGGCGTGTTGCTTCAACTTCAATTTCAACTTCAAGAAAACTAGATGTAGAATGACTGATGCTGTTTTTGAGAAAGAAGCATTCAAATAATTATGTGAATACAACTTGTCACATTTCTGACATGTCTGAGGAGGCTTCAACTTCACAAAGATAAATTCAAGTAACACAGAAAACACGATTTTAAAAGGCCTTTTTCTGCTGGTATTTTTTTCTCTTCGGTTATTTACATTCATGGATTTCTTAACAAGATGATGCAATGCGTGGATGGCGGATTTAGAACATGTTTTGTTAAAATGAAAACTGTGGAAAAAGTAGCCTAATTCGTTAAGAAATTCACCATGTTTGCATGTCCAAATTTGAAATACATTTACATCAGCATCTTACCCTGCTTGTGATTATGCCAGGATTACTTCTGAAATGTGACACACACCTTGAAACATAAGCGAAAATCTTCACCGATAACTTAACTTGCCAACACACACAATCTTTGTACTTCGCCTCCGCTTGTTGCTATTTTGGGATCATGAATCATGTTTACGTCCAACACGGCAGGGATGACGTGGCCGAGCAATATAGCGCCCCCAAGGGGTCTATTCGCGCTTAATTGATTGGAATGGCACATTCTCACCAAGTGAGGGCGACATCATTGTTGAGTGATCGTTCGTCGCCCTCGTGTCGAGGAGAGACGCCGTTTCATATTATTGTGAAAGCATAGCAAGCAAATTCCTCAAATATGGTAGGTTATTTTAAAGATAAAATTGATCATTATTACGAATATGATATGTTCATTGGGTGTTTTATAATTCTTTGCATGAGGTCATTCATGTTTGAAGATATTGCACGATTTTGACTGTTCCACCATGTCCATGGAGAAATCCACAGACCAGTTTCATGTTTTCGCCCCCAAAATCAGACAGGATACATGTAACAATACATTGACAAATCGCCCCCTGTAATGGAACGCTGATGTGCATCAAGATTTCAAGTTTTCAAAGGAAAAATGTTGCACCCTGATGCCACTTTTTTCGTCATATATGATCTCAATGAGGATTTTTATTGGTAATCCTTACTTTTAGGACACCTCTATTTTTTACGAGTTTTGTTCAAAACTGACTTTTGCAGATGACTGTCCAGTACCAAAGTGACTTTTGCAGGCTAAAGCAATCTTTTTTCTTCATATAAACCCATGTTTGTTGTAATTTTGAAAGCACTTTTAAAGAAAATGTGACTTTCCTACCACTGCCTACCTTTTTTCGCAGTCAGACGTGCATGTTGTAGTTCTCACAGCACAGTGAAAGCCCTACACAATGAAAGCTCGATGCTGTTTGGCTGCTAAAAAAAATAAATAAGAAGTTTATTTTTTATCAGCCAATCAGCATCAAGCTTTCATCGCATCGAGTTTTCACGTTTGCCATCTTGGTTTTTGAGTCTGTTTTCTGGTTGTCATCGTCGTCTTTTACCCCTGAATTTCCCTCATAAATCAAAGCCCTGCCCTCTTTCCACAAAATTAAACCTGCTGATATTCAAGAAGGTGTCATTGCCAATTGTTTAGATGTGCTAAGAAATATCAGAATGTCACTTTTGAGTGTCATTTAGTCGACTGTTTTTGCGAGTCTTTCCCTTCCTATATACGAACGGGGTCCTAAAAGTAAGGATTACCTTTTTATTGTAAAAATGACATAAATCTGGGACTGAGAAACATTTCCAATTTTGTTAGAAAATAGGCCCTAGGCCTAGGCCTACTTTGTCTTTGAAAATGCACTCGACTCTCCATAGACATGACAGATTTCGTAAAAAAACGTTTACACTAAACGTTTACAAAATTAAACGCAAAGTCACATCCTTATTATTTATGGGCTACACAATTGAAACCTGGCATGCCTGGCAACAAAGATGGGTAATGCAATTCAGCCTGAGCAAATGCACCGTTATCAGAATGACCAGCCCAAGACGCAAGCCAAAAGTCTATGACTACTCCTTATTTGGCCACATACTTGACCCAGTCCATTAAACCCATACCTTGGCGTCAAGATTTCTCGCACATTGTCATGGAACCTTCACATTGACAATACTGTGAAGAAGGCAAACTCCGTCATGGGCCTAGTGAAGAGGAATCTCTATGCAGCACCCAAAGAAAGCAAAATTCTGGCATATCAATCCATTGTAAGACCAACACTAGAGTACGCAGCTACCATATGGGACCCTTACACACAGAAAAATGTAACCAAACTTGAAAAAGTGCAGCGCTGAGCAGCCAGATGTTTACAGTGACTATAACAGGCATAGCAGTGTGACATCGATGCTTGATGAAATGCAATGGCAAACTCTCCAAAACAGGAGGAAAGTAGCCAGACTCACCAACTTCTTCAAGATCAGAAATGGTGAGCTATGTGTTACTGCGGCAGACAGGTGATTGACACCAACAACTATATAGAGCACTCGCTTACATTCAGCAAGATACAAGCATCTAACTCAAGAACTGAGATATATACAAGAACTCATTTTTCCCAAAAACAATCGTCGACTGGAATGCTCTGCTCCCCGCTGTCATCGAAGCACCTTCTACGCCATCCTTCAAAGAAAGACTTAAAAGGCACATGAGCCAGCACGTCTAAGAACTGACACTAACCCCCATTGGCCTGATACTCCAGAGGAGGCATTGCCAAATAATCATCCAGATCCAGTCGAAGTAGGCCTACCACCTACTGATACTACATGTAACTCATCATTAGGCAAGATTTTTTTGGGACACGAAGTTCACTATAGTGCCAGCACAGCAGTGATGGAAGTGGAAGAGGAAGACAGGGCCACAAGAGGGCGATATTTGCCCCTGAAAAATAAATCCTCTAAAGCCTAGGACAACAATAAGCTGATAATAACGTGGCATCATCAAGTGAATGGGAAGGAGAGAAAAACTCTTCAAGTTCAAAGTCTCTGCAGCTGTGTGGCTACGGAGTGGTCATGAGTGGAAGAGGGGGCCACAAATAGCCACGAGGAGTGAATTGGGATAGTTAAAAAATGTTAATAAGTCCAATGCCTATACCCTGGGTCCACTATGTGGCTACGCAGATACAGAGTGAGAGTGGTGGAAGGTTAATTGAGGGCAGTTGACCATGACGACGATTTTGTAGCCAGCTGGTTACATGAGGTGCGCGGTATTCTGCTATTGTACCTATGACTATACCTGGACCTGCACAATTTTGATGGTTTTTAAATCTTTACCTATTTTTTCCCCTTCTTAATTATTCCCCCACAAACCAGGCAATGCTTTGGCCTACCTGATTCATTTCTTCATAGCAGCAGGGTTACAATTCTCAGTTTGACTTGACCCGATTCTTCATTTTAAATTTTTTTTTTACTTGCTTGCTTCCTACACAGCCTCAGAATGAGTATATGGAACTCCACCGGAAGCGGTACGGCTACCGGTTGGACTACCATGAGAGAAAGTAAGTAATAGTATCTAACATTAATCTTCACTCCCCTTACGGCCCGCATCTCCATTCATATCTGGGACGAGTTCCGGACAAGTTGCGGTCATTGTATCGGGTATAAGTTGCATGCCGTGTTGGGACCTCTTGAAGGGTATAAGTTGCAGGATTCTTAACAACTTCCCCACAATCTTCCCGCAATGAAGTTATCAGTATTGGCGAGTCAAGCAGTTGCTAATGAAAATGTCCTCCGGAACATGTCCGGGACAAATGCAGAGCTTCTTCCGGACGGAGTGAATATTTCTACCTGCAACTTGTCTGGAACTCATCCCAGATATGAATTGAGAAGGGCCCTTAAGTAGCTAAATCCAACAGCAAGTTTTGCAGTGAATTGATGGATTCAGGGGTGTATGGTCCAACCACCATCATAGAATTGAGCTCGGCATTACAGATTTACAAACAAAATGAACATGGATTTGGTGGATTCATGAAAAAATTCGGCAAAAGCTCAATGGAGTTCAAGTTTGATGTGGCATTAACTGCTGTGTACATAATTTAATGATAAATACGATGTTATGGAAAATCTTTCACTGTGAAGAGTTTGAAACTCGAGACGTACACCTACAAACCAATTGAGTTTACAGCAAACATCGGAAACAGGCAAACGATTATTAAAACCTTTAAGCATTTATTGGTTATTTTCGGTTAAGATAATTCTTGGATTTCGATTTTATTTTCAGACGGAAGAAGGAGGCTCGAGAACCTCACGAGAGAGCCAAGAAAGCCAAGATGCTGACTGGTATCAAGTAAGTATTTTCCCTTCCCAGAACTTATTAACACTGAAATTTATCCTTTAAGTTATCAATATTTAATTTCAGAACTTGGTAGAGATGGGTTTTTTATATTTGGTAGAACTGTTTTCTTTCTAGCTGGCGAGATTTTTACGAATTGTCTGTGTGTTTGTCATTGAATTACCACATTTTTCTCCCTTTCAGGGCCAAGTTATACAACAAGAAGAGACATGCAGAAAAGATACAGATGAAGAAGACGTAAGTTGATTATAGAGGGCGCTTTTATTATATTAATAGAGTTTGCGTGCTTGCCTTACCATTTTTGTTTAGTAGATAACGACCGCATGCTGTTTCAAAAGGGCTTTAGAATTTTTTAGGTTGTGCATTTTACAGTATTTTATACCCACATTTGAAGATTCAACAAAGATACCAATTGGGAATCCCAATTTTTGAAGAAAAAAAAGTTTTTCTTAAAGTATTTCTTGACAAAAACGATGATTCTGTTGGCTCTGGCAGTATCAAAATGCACGAAGAGAAACTCAACAAGAAGCGTAAGACGGACGAGGTGCCAGAGGGCGCTGTTCCCGCGTACCTGCTGGATCGCGAGGGCCAATCACGAGCCAAGGTCCTCTCCAACATGGTCAAACAGAAGAGGAAAGAGAAGGCCGGCAAGTGGGACGTCCCCATCCCCAAGGTACGAGGCGTGTCCGAGCAGGAAGTCTTCAAAGTGCTCAAGACGGGCAAGAGGAAAGGTGAGGATATGTATGGGAGATTCTTTAGAACTTTGATGTTTTATTTCTGAAAAGATTAGTCCAATATTTCCATCGATCCATTTGAAGCTGGTGCGTAAAATCACCATGTGTTGTACTTCAAAATCTTGAGTAACAAAACATTTTAATAGGAAAACACAAACTTGTTCAACACTAACCCTCCAGGGTATTCTGGCTAGAAACCCTGCTAAAAATGATAATAATAGTGGGTATTTATAAAGTGCACGGATCCACCAGGATTGGTGCTCAAGGCGCTACATCATTATTACCCCTGCTCAATGGGCCCATGAAACATTCCAAATACCATCTCAGCTCCCTGGGGAGTATACAGCTCGATGCAGCCTGTTAGGCGCAAGGAAGCTAATTCAAACACAATAACCATCTCTGCCCTCATAGGTACCCATTTACTCCTGGGTGGAGATAAAGCAATGAGTGACAAAGTGCCTTGCCCAAGGGCACACGCACCATGACCCCAGGCTGGACTCGAACCCACAACCTTGCAGCTTTACCCGCAGACCACGAATCCAATGCCCTTAACCACGAGGCCACAGCACTCCACAGTGCAGCAACATGCAACATTTGTCAAAATGACAAGCCTGCCCAGTGCAGCAAGATCCATCAGGTCAAAAATCCCAAGGCCAAACTGCCTCAGAGTCTGTGGTCACCGAATGCAGCAGGATACAGCTCTGGCACTGTGCAATGAGACTAGCTCTTGATTGTTTCAGAATTGGCCATTTATGCACTGGCGTTGATGGCTCAATGCAGCAAGGTCCCTCAGACGTTTACATCTGATGCTCTGTGTTGCGTCTGGCAGGGTTAGGGCTAAGAAATGAATGGAAATTAAAATAAGAACTAATATATTTCAATCTATTGTATTTATTTTGTGTTTTCAAGGTAAAGCGTGGAAGCGGATGGTCACCAAAGTTTGTTACGTTGGCGAGGGATTCACAAGAAAGCCGCCCAAATATGAGCGCTTCATCCGACCAATGGTAAAGCGCTTTTTTTTAATATTAGAAAATAATTCTTGACAAATAAACATTTCTGTTGGAGTTGTTGTGATAGGCAGGGTTAAATGAGACGTTACCTTAATTTTGTTTGATTCAGCAAGATACATGTTGAATGACGTATAGGATCATTTTTTTTTTTTTTTTTTTGCATTTTGTTCGTTTCCAATAATCACACCACCCAAAATCCAAAGTAGATTGTTCAAAACCTAACCTGTTGAAGTTTCAGCTCAGGTATATTACACTTTACGATAGTGAAGAAAAATGCACAATCTTTTCATCACAAAACATGATTTTGTCGATAGCAATTTTATTCCAAAAATTAGTCAATTGACTGATCGTTGGAAATCAACTACATTTCTTGATTTCTTCAAAATGACATCAAGACAAACAATAATTTCACAGGGTATTCAGTACCAGTACGAACTTTGATCAAATAAGCTTTTTGATAATAATTTGGTAGGTTACTTTTGGGATCCTGTATGCCTTTAACTACGGTAATATAATATAACCTGCATACTTTGCTGCCATTTTTAATTACGATCTAATACTGTGAAGTGTTTTTGTGCATACGAATGCTGTCGGAAGATTTTGATCATATTAACACACAACATAATTTTGTTTTCTCTGAAGGGTCTACGTTTCAAGAAGGCTCACGTTACGCATCCGGAACTGAAAGCAACGTTCTACCTTCCCATTATTGGAGTTAAGAAAAACCCAAACTCACCTCTGTACACACAACTAGGGGTCATCACCAAGGGAACCATTGTAGAGGTGAGAGGTCATATCAGAAAGTAATGGGACGTTGTCAGGAAATGTTCAATGTTTGGGAAAGTCCATTATTTCCTCTAGAATTGTTAAAGTTTTCAATTTTTTGAATTCCATACTTTTTTAAGAAGTGCTTTCTTAAAAATACAGTCCACCATCTGTAATTTGTGCATTTTGTTCGTTTGAAGCAACAAACGTGCTCAAAATCTAAAGAAGGGTGTTGAACAACTAACCTGATGAACTTCAGCTCAGTGAATGCTGCATATTCCGAGAACACAATATTCTAGGATCTTGATTTCAAATCAAAAGTTGCTGAATCATGTTTTGAATTGGGTCTGAATTCAGCGTTCGAGATACGTTCTCCTTGAGCCGATTGCAGCTACGCGATGTCGCACACTGATCTGACGAATTATAGCAACCACGCGCACGTTTGCGTCATGTCAACGCTTGCGCGCACTTTGCCGATAACAAAAAACAAACTACAGTGTATTAACAGAAATTTCTAATGGTGCGTCTTTAGACTCACCGTTGGAAAGGCCTTCTTTCATTGATTTCTTCAAAATGACAGCTTGCCAGAAAGAATAATTTCACAGGGAGTTTAGTCCCCTTACTATCTTTCAACCAAGTATGATTTTCAACAATAATTACGTCAGTTACTTTTTGGATAGCTACAAATGATGGACTGTAGCTTTAAAGGGCACTTATTTATTGAAGTAATTATCCACATAGAGATGATGTTGCCCTTTCTGATTTGGGGTTTTTAAATATGGATAGACCTTTTGTTTCTGACGTCATATCTGAGGACAGATCTTGTTCCTCTTTGATACGCACGAGTAGAGTTTGCATTTTGCTGAATCTTGCATTACTCAACTTTCTTTTTATTTTGGCAGGTCAATGTGAGTGAACTAGGTCTGGTTACACAAGGAGGCAAGGTGGTTTGGGGTGAGTCTAGTCACAAGTTCTCTCATGTAATGCTTTAGTGTTGAAGTGCTTTTAAGGACATACTTGGGGTGTTGCAAACCCTTTTTCCCTTATGTTTCTGATTTTAATTCCTGGTCTCTTATAAATGCGAGGTCTACTTTTTCCCCGGTAAATTCTGGATGCACTCCTTCATGCCTTTGCCACCTAAACTACCTACCCAACAAATGAGAACAGTTTGAAGTCATTTTTAAAGACACCTGAGTGGCAAAATAAAACGTTCAGAGGTTACAGGGACAGGATAAATGTCGCACTTTGGACCCAAAATGTATAGAATGACCCATCTATATTTTTCCATTTCTGCAAAAAACTTCCAAGACTAGTTCAATATAGGGTTTCCCCTTCACCGACGTAATTTCAAAAAAAACTGTAAACCCAGTGTTTATTAATCTATACATTGGTGGTGTCAAGACCAACTTATTTTTCACTAATACACAGTTGTAAATTTTCCTTTTTGACTGGTATTTCCAGCTTTAGTATTTGCTGGACAAGCTCCCTTTAGACAGTTTGTCTAATATATTTTTTCCCCGTTTCATCTGACATACAGGTAAATACGCACAAGTAACAAACAACCCAGAGAATGACGGCTGCATCAATGCTGTCTTACTAGTATAAACAGATCCCAGAGACTGACTGTAGCATGTTCAGATTGGACAATGGACTCTGTGCATGGACTCACGAGGGCGCCCTCCAGGGCGAAGCGAGAACCCTGGAGCACACTACCAATCTCAGATCTTGCAAATGGCGTAACATGTACATAAGCCAGTACTTCTGACAAACTTAGTTGGTTTGTATTATTGCCAATGTCTGGAGTGAGATTGCGGAAATACGAAAAAAATCTGCGAGATAATCTGCAGAGAGTTCGAGGGTCGCCAAGGGTCCTGGAGCAACGTAGGGTCTATGATATATGCAGGCATGCAACTTTTCCTCGGATCCGCTGATTTCCTCGTTTTTTTTATTTCTCATGAATGCCATTACAAATTGAAAAACACTGTACAAAGTCTTGTGTGGTTTGGAGTTTCCTCGGTTTTTTTCTACATTCCCAGTTGCATGCCTGTATGTGTTTGTATTTGCCTACAGGCATCCCTTAAAATACCAATTTTTTTTGTTTTGTATAAATCTTTAACGGTAAAAACACCTTTACATAGAACCTCAGGCATTCTAGATTTCAAAAGGGATTTGTATTACAAATTCTGAAATTAGGAAAGATTCCGAGAAAAAATCTTGAATCAGGAAAAATCCTGACAAATCTTATACCTGCAGTATTTTTGTCTCGGGAAAGCTAATGTACTGCAGAATATAAATTTTTGAAGAGCCCTTATTCAAGTCAAATTTGCAGTCACCATTATCAAGCGACTTTTTTTTAACTTTGCTTTGGTCGTCTATGGATGTTCTCCCATTTGGATGTTATGATATCCAAGATTGGAAAGAATTCCATACCTGGACATCACTTGACACCCTGTGCACAAACCCTATGAGACTGGTCTGAAAAACTCAAAGTGCTTTCTCAATATTTTCCCAAATAAATTTGACTTTTTAGGACATGTTATTGCTTTCTGAAAAATTAGTGATGTCCATGTGTGGAATTCTTTCCCCAAGATTTCTTCATCAATGATGGGTTGATTCTGAAGACAAATTTGGTTGATTCCATGAGGCAGAGGACTTGTAATAAACATGTATAGCCTGTGATTGATAGAACTCTATGATGGTGATCTAATCTAGGGATGTAGTCGAATCCATCACAAGTCCAGTCACAAGTAAATCACAAGTCTAATTGCAAGAAACAGTGGATGAACAACAAGGAATGCCTTTTTCAAAGCTCTTTTGAATAGCTTGTGATTTGAAGTTGGACTGGAGGACTTGTGATGGACTTGTGGTGGACTTGACATCATCCCTTATCTAAACCACAAAGCATACACCAGGGAAGCCCAGTATTCAAATTCAGACACAAAATCCACATTTTTGTTTAATTTAAAGCAAACTGAACTCTAAAATATCAGGCATCTTTTTCCTTGGCCAAATTCTAGGGACAATTTACATTTTTAAGGTAATATCATACAGGGGTATGGTGCTACCATTTCCATTTTTTTTTGAAAAGAATTAAATAAAAAGTATTTATATTTCAAAAAATTTAATTGTCACTTTCTGGTTTATTTCAAGAATTCATTTCATCGGACTTGTCAAATATATTACTACAAAACAAAAGGCAAGCATATCCTTTCTATAAACAAATTATAAATAAAATTCTAAGGCATGTAAATTAATCTTGCACGTATGTGTACATGCATTAGCTTACTAATGAAAAGCAAGCAACAAAGTATACAATTTCATAAAATTTAATTAAATTTTTGTGAAAGGTTTTCTTTTCAAGGATATATCTCAAACATCAAATTTGTTAAAGTGGCCCTTTTAAACATATGCTTTCTTGACAAAACAATTATTATTTTTTTAATTTTACAATGTCACATTGATGTTCACGGGAATGATCTTGATTAATAGGTGAAAATAACCTCCCTTCTATTAATTCTCCACAGCAGTGCCTTTATGAAAGGCTCTCGTATTTATTCATGCATGTTTTTAGCATGTAAAGTTCTTTAATATCAAGATGCTCTTTAAGCCAAAAAAAAAAACGTCTCCGGTTTCTGGTATGGAGCTTGCCCCAAAAAGCGGTGCGGTGACGCGGCTTTTTATTTTTTTTACCTGATTTTTTGCTTCAAATGTCGGCTGATGACTGCAAATGGTGCCCGACTAACTTTGTGCAAATATATGGGAGCCCAGAGAGGCCACATAAAGCTTATTCTCGATCGTAACCCCATCTAAAAACACGTTAAAATTGTGTAGCAGCAGGATTCCAGTCAAACCAGTGAGTTTGGCGGTTTTGAGACATCATCTTTCATTGAAAAAAAAACTTTTTCATTTTGCCGACGCGCATGGCTACGGCGACGCGCGCGCATACCAGAAACCGGAGACTTTTTTTTTTGGCCTTAACCTAGTTGATTCTAGTTTTAAACAAGTGCGTGTGCACAATAAGCTTTGGCTAAAAATGCCGCACCGATGGCACATATGGAATACCACACTTCTGGTCAATTCTTGGGACCAACCGACCACCAAGTGACATGTAGAAGCTCCTGCCAGAGCTTAAAAATCGCACCCCGCCCACCTTTTGGGGGCATTTCCTCCTGGATACCGTCCAACCACTACACAAAATGGCGTCCATCTTGTTCGAGGAAGATGTGCAGGGCAAGTGCTAGTATACAATAAGCTCTGGCCGTGTTGCAAGAAGTCTTGCATACATGAAAGTCTTGCATGAAATCGATCAAAATGATTCGTGCCCGAGCTTAAAAATGTGACGCCGAAAAATGGGATGCCAATGGTATCACCGTATGGAACACCTTACTTTTGGTCACTTTTTGCTGGGCAGTTGCTGGGCAGACCAACCGACCACCAAGAGACATTTTATGATGGAGAATCTCCTGCCAGAGCTTAAAAATTTAGATTTTGTGGGTGCTTGAAAGAACGGGAGGCAAGGGGTACAGTCCTTGTTGACTGATCCTGGCACAGTTGCTGTACACTCTCAGTGCTCCTCAGTGATGGCCGAGTCATTGTGCCTGTGGGTGTTTTGTACAAGAGCTGGCACAGTGTTCTCTACCATAAACGGGGGCCACCATGAGCGTACAGCAACGATGAGCCTTGAGTGGTCAACAGCTGACATTTTCCTAGCAATAGAAAAATTATTCGCTTTTGAATAAGATATCCAACAAACAAAAACGATGACGTTTTAGTTATTGAAATATTGCTTCACAAAATTCAAATTATTGGCTGCCATAATTATTGGGGCCTCGCAGCCGAGCGGTTAGAGCATGGAGCTATGGAGTGGAAGGTTGGCGGTTCGAATCCCATTCGGACCAAAAAAGACGACCCAACAGTAAAATGGGTACCTGATTCGTTCAGGGAAGGTAAGACGGCGAGAGGAGAGGACTGGGCACCGCCACTCATATGCCGCGCCCAAGACACAGTGGACCTAACATCCCACTGCCCCTACGGCCAGTAATGGCTATGGGACCTTTACTTTTACCAAAAAAACATTCGGCTCTCGCAAAGCAGGTTATTTTTGCGCTAAATGAAAGTCCTTTTTCAGAGGGTTACAGACGCAACGCACAAAATCTGAGTTAAGTAGTTTTTGTTTTGTTTATAAAACATACCAACTGAAACATGAAATTGGGCCCAGATTCACATCTTGTCCTAACCCTTATCATCTGTGTCATGGGCATCCGATTCTTGCTTATCCTCATCTCCTGATGCTTCATCTTCGCAATTCTCACTGTCGTCTTCAGATGATTCGTCATCATCACTTTGTGAGGCAGACTGAAACAGTTTCATCAGAGTCGCAAACCTATCGCCAACCTGCACACAAAACAAATGGATGGTCAGCTTTTCATTCACAAGAGACTCTCGACAGACTTATGATGACATAACTACAATTATTATTTATTTCTGGTGATGAAACCAAGGATTCCTCAGAAGTGCCCTAGGCATTGTAGCTCGCAAGCCTGAAGAAACCTGTACAAGACGACAATGAAAAAAAAACGACAGTTTGAAGGTGGGAGGAAAACTCCAGAAGAATATTCTGGGGAAAACCCACGGAATCAGGTAGGGACAGAAAACCCAATCCACATGTGGACCAGGACAGGTATCGAACCTGGGTCACAGCAGTGGAAGGAGAGGTCAGAACCACTGCGCCAACCTGACTCTTGTGATGTACACATTTATCCCAAGGAGGGCTCATGCCAGATAGCTTGACTCAAGATGCTGACAGGTTTATCCTGTAAGCTTCATCCTCTGACCTGTTTAGATGTCTTGTCGCCAAGTGTTTCCGCTACTTCTTCAAACACTTCTTGAGTTGCTCCTTTGTCACGACACCATTGCAGTAACAATCTGTCAGCATCCCTAAATGACAGAAACACGGGGAGAAAAAAAAGGACATATTTGACAATTTACTATACCCAAGAGCACAATGCAGACTATGTACTGCGGTGTCTAAAACTTGAGACACAAAAACATCAGAAAACTTAGGAAACATCAGAAATTGTGTCTCCCTAGGGACACAATTTCTGTACATGCCCTGCAATTTCACAAATTATACATAGTAACCCTGACCAAAGGAACATGCTGCTCTCCAGTAAGCCAAGCACTGCTCCCAGTTGAGTCCATCACAAGTCATCTAGTTCCACGTCAAGTCTCAAGCTATTCAAATGAACTGTGACAAAATATTCTTATTTGCATTCTTATTGTTCACCTGTTACTATTGTTCACCTGTTACTTGTGACTAGAACCTTTGACCGGACTTGTGATTGACTTGTGATTGAGCTGTGATTGAGTTGTGATGGATTTTTTTTTTGGAAGGACTATGTGATGGACTTGTGATGAAATTGTGATGGGCTTGTGTTGGTCCAGTACAACACCGAGTCCTTGAAGTCTTACCTCGTCCAGACAATCACCGCCCCATCCTTTCTATCCACGTTGGCAGCAGACAGCAGCAATGTCCCTCCAGCTTTCCCTGAGTCACTTCTCAAGTCTTTACTGATTGGACTCTTCGTTGATCTTGAAGACTCGTCCCCAGACACGCCCTCTTGAGACGAACTTTTAGCAGCTTCTGTCGCATCATCTGCCAGTTTTTCAGGAACATCATGTTTTTGTACAGATACTGAAACTGCCTTAACAGCTTGTCCGTCATATTGCACTTTAATCGAACCAGTCGCATTTTCTTCAAGGTTTCCCTCAGCAAGTTCTGACGATGATGCAACGGGACTTTGAACTGGAGACGATCTCAACTTGGCCAGACTTTCAAACAGCGGCACACGCTCCGATTTTCCAAACGGCACTTTGGGACTGTGAGTCAGTCGGACAGTCTGCACTCGCCGTATGGTCTTTGCTGGTTTCCTAGGTAACGACCTCTGACCTTTCTCTGTATCACCTACGCGATTACTGTCCTGTGTTGCAGGAACAGTGGAAACTATCTCCGGTAATAGAGTTTTCTTTGGATCGGTCTTGTTTGGCTTTGTTTCTTGCACAGATGCGTCAATCTTCTCATGTTTCCCCACAGTGCTAAAGTGCCTGACAGGGGAATCAGGCAGCGTCTCCTCACACATCAAATTCTTGACGGACGGTGGGTTCGAACCCTCCCCATCCTCTGTCTTTTCCTCGGCAAGGCGTTCCTTCAGCTGCCTCATGTGGTCCTCTGTGCTTTGATCGTCTTCATCGTATGTGACCGGCGAGTTGGCACGGCTTCCGTTGCCCTCTAGTATGACCCCTGACCCTGAGAATAAAAGTGCAGTGAAATCTCGATAAGCCAAATCTCAAGGGAATGGATAACAATTTTGAGCTATCAGAGTTGGAGTTACACAAAGTTCCCAATTTTTCCCAAGAGTTCCCCGAAGTTCCCAAACTATGCATATGTACCATGTACATGAATGGCTTTCACTGTAACTTGCTATGCCTGACACATTATTTTTACTGATTTCAATGGTGTATATTTTCGATCACAAATCATCACTTTGCTAAGATTTTATATTTTTCTTGCCTAAATGTGTCTGCTGTATTGATAAATATAACAATAAACCACTCAAAGTGTTTAACTTTGTGTAGCAAATCCTTGTTTCATGTCATTTGTCGATGTTTAGTCGCTAGCAATTGCGAGATTTTTTGCAAGCACCACTCTCATGGTATTCCCGATGTGCGGTCACGTGACCGGTCATGTGACCGCTCCTATTTGATCGATAGAGGGCGTGCTATTGACATTTATAAATAGGTATACTTTATTTTGAGACACCCTGTCTAAGCCTAAGAAGTTGTCCAACAATGGCACAATTCATCAATTGTGTCCGAACTGTCAATTCAATATCACTGAACAATTCAATATCACTGAACAATTCAATATCACTGAACAATTCAATATCACTGAACAATTCGGGCGATTCACAATGCAATGCGCCACCAAGAGTTTGCCTTGGAGAGTCCATTTTTCAAGTTTACGGTCGACAAAACATGGCCCATTTGAATGAGTGTCGGTAGACAAATTGAGCTTATTCGTTATAGATTGGGGCATATACATTTGTACGTTCTGCCACCTTACAAAAAAACACCATATTGATAACAAGAAAAGAAAAGGGCAAACAGATCCTCGAATCATACGCTTACGAAACTACTGACCGGAAAAACGAAAAATTTCAAATGTCCCGCGCGGCGAATTTGTCAACCATCTCCCACAAAAGCACTGAGAAAAATTAACTCTCCGTGGCAAACTCTTGGTGGCGCACTGCATTGTGAATCGCCCGAATTCGTCAAGTATACGACGTACCTAGTAGCGTGGTTTGTGAGCTAGGAGCAGATACTTCAGGTTGTGGGCTGGGCTTACTCTCGCTACTCCCCCCAGACTGACAGCTATCGTGACTACCCTGACTAGTGATAGGTGAGACGGTGCTCTCGGGTGTGGCTCCTTCAACTCCTCGACTCTCCTCTGAAGTGACAGGTGCATCATCAACTCCATCATCATCATCATCATCATCATCGACGTCGTCGTCATCTTCCTTATCATCTTGATCGTCCTCATCGTCCAAGTCTTCAAATTCATCGTCATCCTGTCCATCCTCAACATCATCATCCTCATCGTCATCGTTGACGTCGTCTTCATTGACGTCGTCATCATCAACGTCCGTCTCTTTCCCGTCTTCGCCGTCCTCCTCATCTTCCTCTGATGGGTTCTCGTTCAGGTAGTCGGCCAGATTGTCACACATCACCGAAAGGTGTGCCACGGCATCATTGTACGTCCCCTCTTCTTCCTCCTCTTCTACTTCTTCCTCAGCATCCTGCTCCGCATCCTCAGTCGACGCCCAGTGAACCTTCTGCGTCTTCCTCCCCGAGGGATTCCGACCGGACCCTCTCTTCGGGTTGAGACTCTGAGTGCTATCCTCACTGGTACCCGGTTGCTGTGAGCCAGTGAGGAGGTGAGCTCTTCGTTTGCTGCCCATGGTGAATCCTCTCAAAGAGCTTATCAGCTCTTTTCTTGTAACCTATTGAAAAGGAAAGCAAATTGAAAAAATAAAAACATTTAAACAAGTTAACAAGACTAGGATTGCCGAGTTGAACTTCACCAAAAGTCTCAGTTTAATACCTTATGTAATACTCCCAGACACAGTCTGTTAGTGACTCATTGACGCAGTCAGACAGAAGACATTAGGCTGGAAAATGAGAAGTATCCATTTACCCTGGCACTGCAATAGGCACAGTGACGGACTTTACGTTGGACCCAGGTGTCATGCGACTTCTCATGGCAACTACAGTTACATCCCTGAGTTCCGCACTGGAGATGAGTGTTCAGCTCCTGCCATGGATCCAACGGCTGACTCTACAAATGAACGACAATAACTGAACATCAGAACCATCAAAGAATGAATAGCACAGTTCATTAAGGACAAATAACCGGACATCAGAACCATCAAAGAATGAATAGCACAGTTCATTAAGGACTTTTGTTTTTCCAAATATCTGAATATTCAATCATCCGCTAAATATCCAAATTGCATTTTACCAAATTGAATATTCGAGAAAAAAAAATGTAAGCTGTCTTGAAAAGATGACGAAAAATATCTGTGATGTCATTTTATTCGTATAAGTTGAGTAGTTTCAGCTTGTTGACCTGTCGGCCTGTGCAGGGAAATAGCTGTAGTCACAGCTGATCTGTCAGTTTGGAGGCGAATTCAATGGTCACGTCGCAGTAATAATAATAATATCGGAGTCTTATATAGCGCACGTATCTACCAACTATTAGGTACTCAAGGCGCTGGAGATATGTCTGTTATTAAAGAAAGGTAAATAAAGTTTATGAGAAATATGAGACCCATTATGTAGCACCTTATAAGGGTTTACAAGGTGCTGCGGCGCATATTGCAGCCACTGCCAGAAACACCGGGGCAAACCCCTTCTCTTAGCGATAAGTGTTACTGGGTTCTTTAACGTGCATTACACAACACACGGGACCTACGGCTTTACGTCCCATCCGAAGGACGAAGCAATAATGGTAAAGTGCCTTGCACAAGCACCATGTTCCCACGGTCAGGATTCGAACCCATGTACCACGGCACACGAGTCGAACATCGTGACCATTGGACCACAGCAGCCCACTGTACGAGTCTGTGGCAAAGTTTTTTGCCAATGTGACTCGAGTCGAGTCCGAGTCACCGAAATTGAACTCGAGTTGGTCTCAAGACCAAGTCATGGACCAGAGTCCTACAACACTGGCATTCAACATCAGTCTAGTCAGAGAGAAGCAGGATTTATGAAGCCTTTTTATTCCCTTTCACAGCCGATGGACTATCATATCTATGCTTCTGATCTGAATCTATCTCAAACAATCATTATCAATTACCTTTGACCCAGAGGCAGATTTCTTCCTAGCAGGTGACTTCAAGATGGAGGGCAATCTTCCCTTCAGCAGGGCAGCTTTAGGCAGGAGGCGATGGAGTGTAGATGGCCTGGGGCCTGATGAACCTTGGGTACTAGACACAGGCTTGTTGGGTGGTCTACCGACACGTGACTTGGTGATTGGGATTTCCTCATCACTGTCTGGGATTTCAATCTCTTCAAAGCTGTCATACTGAAACAAAAACAAGTCCAGCTGTTATTGATCTCGTTTCTAAAAGTCTCTATCAAGTTTAAAAGTTCCTAATGAAAATGTGGTTTGTTCTGAAACTGGTCTTTCTCAAGTAAGTGTTCTTATCCTTTAGGACAACCATTCTCACAGTTAGAAAAAAAGGGGGCTTTATTTTGAAAAGGTGATAATCCCCTTTCAATGTTAGCATTCAGATAACTTTCAAGCAAAAAATACTCAAAATTTCCAGATTTTTTTTTTAAACAAGGACTCATCCTCATCTTAAAGAACAACTTGATACCTCCTTATCCTTGTCATCATCCATGATGATTTCCTCAAAGTCCATCATGTAGTTGTCAGGTGGTCTCTCATCAGGGAAGAGAAGTGAGAACTCCTGCTCCAGATGAGGTTGTCCCTTCAGTAAGGGTAGGATACTCTCCTTGAGCTGCAGGTGGGATGAAAGATCAATCAATTAGATATGCAAATGAGGTTGTACCTTTGGAAGGAGTAAGATGTTGCCTTGAGCTGCAGGTGGTATAAGAGCCAATCAATTAGATATGCAAATTAGCTTTGTCTCTTCAGGAAATGATATTCTCATATAGACCAACCATTTCTGCAAATTGACTTTGTCCTTTCAGGAAGGGTATGATGTTTCCCTTGAGCTGCAGGTGGTACAGAGCGAGTCAAAAAAAGCGGAATCCAAATCCCAAAAAATATATTTCATATTTAAAAAAATATGTAGCACCAAAAATTATAATGACTGGAAAGCCAATTTCATAAACTACTTTTAGATAAATAAACAATTACTGAAATTGCTCAATCCATACAAAGAGTATCACCATTTAAACGCAGTGACCCTAAAACCTGTATCGCCCAAAAACAGCAATTTATTGTGTATTCTGACAACAAAGAAAATGACACAGAACACTTGTTTCAACAGCTGTTCACAACTTTGGTACACAAAAACTTTACTAACAACCCTGGTAAGGCAAACAATATGATTTATAAAATCCACTGTTTTTTTAAAGGCGGGCCTTCAAAAGGACTTTGTTGAATATTTTTTACATTTAAACGGACGTTTTATCGCTGGTGATTTTTGAAGACAATTGTGACGATGATTCTTGAAATCACATTTTTGGACGAAAGAGGTTTTAGGGTCATTGTGTTTAAATGGTGATATTCTTTGAACGGATTGAGCAATTTCAGTATTTTTTTCATCTTAAAGAAGCTTATGAAATTAGCTTTCCAGTCATTAATATTTTTGGAGATACATATTTTTTAGATATGAAATATAATTTTTGGGGTTTGGATTCCGCTGTTTTTATGACTCACCCTGTATAACTAATCAATTAATATAATTACTATCAATTAATAATCAATTATATATGCAAATGAGTCAAAGGTCTATTGTTATTGTGCAACTCCTGAGCATCCTTCAGATCAGTTTCTGCTGATATAAGATCAAACCTCACAGTAGCCTATAAGCAATAGAAATGAAAATATTAATTTTTTTTCTGTAATCACTTGAGGATAACTTCACTTCGTTCTTGAGACCAGGCCACAGCGCCCTCAATGGCCATGCACAAAGCCAATACCCACATCATTATTTGTCCGGTCATCATTGGATCCCCACTCCATGATTGTGCTCAGGACTTTCTGGAATTGAGAAGGGTTCTTCTGGAAATGAACTTCCACTTGACGAAGGAAAATCCTCGCCTTGGCAAACTCTAGGTTCTCCATCAACTAAGGAACGTAAAAAAAAGGGCTAAATATTTATATTTTTTCAAAAAAAATGCTGAAGCAATTCCGTAGAACTTGCTAAATATGTCAATGTAAAATTAGGTATGCTTCTACATCCACTACATATTAAAGGGAAAATACAACATTTGCAAACATCAAAAAATAAAACTACCAAATCATTTTGAAATACCTTGCTGGACAGTGTAAAGCATCCTGTAAAATCATGGCACCTGGTATACTGTCATTTTCAAGAAAAGTGGTTTTTTTTGTATCAATTTCCAACGCTGGTCGGCCGATCAGCGTTGGAAAAAACTGGGTTTTTCTCAAATACTGGCCCCAATTGACCATCGCACTTGTTTGCAATCGATTACACACCTATGAACGGGTACAAGCCAGCTAGACTGGTTCCCTGACCTTACAATTCCCCAATGTATGTAAACTGCTCTGTTTCTTCTTATATGGAGTCAGGGAACCAGACTACAGGAAAATTATTGTTTTTCTTGGTTTTTATAGCATTTTTTAACCCAAAACCTCAAAAAAGTCAGTGTAACTATATTTGCTATATATTTCCAACCCCCCAATTCCATCCATTTCTGAAAATTACAGCAAAAGCAAATGATGTATATTCCCTTTAACCTTGGGAAAATGAAAGTACAACTCAAACTAGTTCTCTAAATTCAGTACTTTTCAACATTTCTGATGATCCTCTTTTGATTAACATAAATAAAAGATAACCGTCCTCACCACTCCACATTCTAAGGCGATGTCGGTGGGCAAGAAAGCAGTGAAATCTTCAATCAGATCTGGATGACCCTCCAACGCCTGACAAATCTTCTGGTAGACCTGAGTAGTCGGAGAAACAACATTGGCATCAGTCCCAATCAAATTACCCAACGAAGCACCGTAACAAAAATAACGTAGCAAACATAAAAAAAAAACCAGAAACCAACATATTGTAAACTCAATTTCTGATAAACAACACATAAATAAACATTTCATACAGTACAGTAAACTCCGGCTAAGTCGACATTGTACAACTCGCCAAATCGCTCAAGTCAGCCGTCTGACAAAAGTCCCAATTGTCTGTAATGCATTTCCATTGAATTTTTTATTTTTAAGTCGGCTTTTATAAGTCGCCATTTTGCTCAAGTCATCGTGTTACTCTCGGTCCCCTTTCCAGAAAAAGCATAAAAAAAATCCTTTGTGTAAGTCGGCGTTCAAAAAAATCACGCATTGGCATCAACTTCCTACCTCCATGCTGCACTGCGGTTGGCAAGAATAGTTGAGTGAAAGGGGTTTGGCACGGCCCGTGTGATCGCTGCATCGTGAGCATATCAATACGAGTACCCCCTCTAGGCTGTATGCATGCGCTATGTCCATTTTGGGGGTCGTCTTATTGAATGATGTAGTCAATACCACGCCCGCATTTAATTCGTAACTGTACACGTACGTGTAGTACTATTATGTACACGTGGTCTCCACTATCAATACCCCAGCCCGTGATGATAAAATTCGAGGATTAATTTGCTGGAATCAACTCGAGCATTAAGGAGATAAACCAGGGGAAATCGAAACCAATTAGTGCAATGAATCATATGTGCAAAAAGGCCATTCATGTAAGTCGGCAAAATGACGACTTACAGCAGATGTCGGCATTCGCGTAAGTCGTCACAAATTTCCAGGTCCCGAGAGTGCCGACTTGGCCGGAGTTTACTGTATTACATTTTGTTTTCCTGAAATGATTGTACTAAGACAGTTTCAGTAAGTGTTCTATCTACTAGGCCCTTGACACATGTATACTTCTCACAAAACATTTATTACTGTGAAAAAAATGATGCAAATGGGTACGCAAAATTTTGACGCAGTAGCCTCGCAAAGATTGGAAAACAAAAGAAATATTGAACAGGCAAAGCGTTTAGCCAGATAAAATACGAAGCAAACGGAAACGTTTACTAACCTCATCTGCTGGTATCTCTGGCGCCTGTGAAAATGAGTTGAATATTCCCAGGAAATCAACGTATCTCTCTGGATCGGCTGAAAACCTCTCCTGTAAAAAACAGCAGAGGATTCATTTCAAGGATAAGCAGAGAATGGTAGATGGTATCGAAACTACAACAGGATTTGACCGAACCAACAAACCCCACAGACCCTCAAAGCAAAAGTAAACAATGTTGAGAATTTGGTATAGCCCAAGTTTCCTATAGTTGACTGCAATTTCCATTACCTTGACTTTGTCGAGGTACGCTCTTGAGAAAGACATTTCCCGTTCCTCTCTCTGCATCACAAAAAAAACAAAGGAAAAATCTAATCAACGATAAAAGTCCAGAAGATATTTAAGAAAGACAACAGAACTTTTCTGACAATATCATCAACATGACATTTTTCTGTGTTAATTTAATATTTTTCAAAATTAATTCCAATATCCTTGGAATGAAATAATTATAACAGATTTTACTCATAATATAAGTCTTGCCTTTGGATCTTTAGACACAATGTCCGAGTCTAGCAGCACCACAGTGGATTCTAAATCTCGTCTCAGCTTAGTCTTCATGCGTTTAGCAGCCATCTTGGTGGTCAGTATTGATGCTTTTTCTATGTCCGTTGCATCTGTAATCCCATCACCTGCTCTGAGATGAGTGATGGGCAAGCCCTCTGCGTCAGAAACCTCTTGGCTGTTGGAGTCTGCATTCTCCAGGATGTTCTCTCCAGGAGATGCTACAGCATCCTCAAGATTGTCCTCTTCTGCTCCTTCATCATCAATCAAAGAGTCAGGGGTACTGCTCTTACTTCTTGAAGGAGGGCTACTCGTTTCCTTCAGGATGTTCACATCCTCCTCCTCCTCGAGCACTGGTGAGTTTTCCTTCATTGTGGCTGGTTCATTTGCACTTGGGCTTTTAATTGAAGGAGTTGGGGAAGACTTGGTTGAGGAAGGCGTGAGCTTCTTGACCGATGGAGGACTGTTGTCTGAATCTGCAAAGTTCTTGTTTTCAGAGTCTTTTGTGGTTTTGACAGTTGAGTTTCCTGTTGAAGATTTCTCATCAATGAGAGTCGGTTTGGTAATCAGATTTGACGGCTTCGAGTCAACTGCATGGGATGCAGGCTTCTCGACTTGTGCCTTGGAAGATATTTGTCTGCTCTTCCCCTCTCGTCCTTTTCTCTCTTTACCCGGCTGATTGTCACCTTTACCAATATGAGAAACACATTCACTTTTCACTGGCTGGAAGTTCTGTAGGGCCGCGATACCACTGGGACTGATGGATGTTGAGGCTGCCTTGGGGCTAGTATCTGGGGTTGAAGTTGGTGTAACCGAATGGCAATCCGGGGAGTTGACATTGGTGGCAGAAGTGGGATTGATTTTGGTGTCAGCGGTGGGATTGGTCAAAGCATGTGTAGCACTCGGCTGGCTTATTACTTGTGTAAATCCTCCAGCAGAGGAAGTGATAATCTGCACTGTTGCTCCTCCCATAGTGCTTATGACGCCTTGTTGAGGAGTTATCACCAAGACCGAGGGTTGCGAAACTTCCTTCGGAGCATTTGCACTATTTGAAACCTTGGGTGCAATTTTTGTGGGAAATAACGTTCGGATCCTTAGCTGTCCTTCTGACCCAAGACTGGGAGACACTGGATCCAGCTTTGAGAAGGAGGGCGTGTGCTGCTTGACCTTGGAAACAGTTTCTTTGACTTGAGGCGCGGAGACTGGAGTGATCCTGCCGGACTCCTGGTTTTGAGGTTTCTCTTGTTGAATAGCCGGCGTTAACGGAGCTAACCGCTTGGGATAAAATGCCGACATGTGTTTCTACAGAGAGATACAAAAGGGATATGAAACAAACATGGATGAAATTGCCGTTTAAAAAAGAAGTCTGAAAATTTGATAAAACATCAGAAAGATTTTTCCATACTGATGGCTTTCTCTCCATTTCAAAAAGTCTTTCAACTTATTCAAGTCTGGAATTGTAGTAAAGTGTCTTGCCCAAGAACACAAGCACCACGTTCCCCGTCAGGGTTCGAACCCACGTACCACAGCACAGTTTAGGGAAGTAAAAGGGAAATGGGTTAATCTTTCAATCCACAAAAACATTTTCCATGGGTACAAAAACCTGAACTCGCAATCATATTAAAGAAACAAACCTTCAACCATTCTGGTCTCTTGTCGTACAGCTGGAAGTTATCAACGGGGGCCTTCTCACTTCCAGGAAGGACAGGTGTGCAAGTTGGTGTCAGCGTTGGCTTGAGGCCACCTTTACGCCAGTCCTGAAAATTGAAATCACACATTCACAAAGAATGAAACATTTCCAACACTGAACCCCCTAAGTGACCACATTTGCTTTCTAAGTGGAGATATTTGTAAAAAGCAACATACATAAAATTGTTTATGGTACCAGATTTGAGCAACCTTTGCTCAACCCTAACCCCCTTGAGTGATTTACTAGGAACCTTCCTCACGCTTGCAAAATCCAACACCATGTGGTAAACTCTTCACCCAAACTGTTGGACTCTGATTATGGTGGTATGCCTGACCCCATGCAAAGCATAATCAGTTTACTAGTGCAGTACTCACTCCAACAGATTCCAACAAACATGCATTTGGATTTTGATGGGTTGGGGTGGTTAAGGTTAAGGACAGAATTTCACAAGACAAAGAACATCAACAGGAAAGTGGATCCCGGACTTCTGTATTGCAAATCCAGTGTATTACCATTCAGCTATCTGCCCGGTTGTCAGATATTTTCTCGACAGTAAGGCCGTGTCCGAAATGGGCTTTCAGAGCTACGGCTACGTCTATTGTCAGCCCGTCCCCGCGTATTTTCAATTGGCGTGAACCTAGACCTAGCTCTAGACAGTTGATTCGGATGCAGCCTAATCTATCTAGGTGTCAGGTTGGCGCAGCGGTGTTTTCCTTGTTTTCTAACACTGTCCCGGGTTCGAATCCCGCCTTGACCATGTGGATTGAGTTTTCAGTCCCTACCTGATTCCGTGAGGTTTTTCTTAGAACTGTATTTCCCTCCTTGTCAAGGGCTATTCCAGCCAACTACCGAAATAAATCAATCAACTTATAGGCCTTAGACCTAATGACGTTGAGCTTTGTTCACATGTGCACTTTCCTATGTGGCAGATGGTTCCTACTTCATCTGGCGTCCCGACTTCGCTCCCATTGGAAAGAGCACATGTAAACAAAGCCTTTATGTCATTAGGTCGTAGGTCTATTGGTACATTAAGCATCTCTCACCTTGATGACGTTAGCGTGCCTTTTACTGCAGACGTTCTTGACATGCACCAGGACTTGCTGCGATGTCTTGATAGGCAGCATGTTCTGACAGATCATTCTGCACTGCGTCTGCCGATCTTTGCAAGCTGGGTACTGCATCAGACCAAGAACTATTAAACTAAAGACAACAGGTGGAGGGAAAAATAATGGATGATTTATAAGCAAGGTTTACCTCAGCTCTCTCAATCTTGGCGATTCACATTGCAGTGCGCCACCAAGAGTTTGCCATGAAGAGTTCATTTTTCTCAGTGCATTGTGGGAGACGGTCGACAAAATCGCAGCACGGGACGTTTGAAATTGTTAGTTTTTCCAGTCAGTAGTTTTGTAAGCGTATGATTCGAGTATCTGTTTGCCCTTTTCGTTTCTTTTTATCAATACATGGTGTTTTATGTAAGGCAGCAGAACGCTATGCCCCACTCTATAACATCTACTGACACTTCTTCAAATGGGCCATGTTTTGTTGACTGTAAACTTGAAACATTGACTTTCCATGGCAAACTCTTGGTGGCACACTGCATTGTGAATCGCCCCAATTATCAGAAAATTCTTGTAATTCTAACAAATTCTTGAAATGCAAATACATGTACCAACGAATCCATTTGCGTTGTGTTTATAGCTATATTTCGGTTGTATTTCTGAAATACTTGTATTTGTTAATATCAATGTCCGTCGTATGTTTGACCAATGCACTTTTAGCTTATGAGTTTTACTTCACTTAACATTATTTAATAATTTGTAATGTATGCATGGCCCCAATGCAAACCAGTTTTTAGCCTCTGAAGAAGAACTTGCTAAGTTCGCAACGTCAGGCCACATAAATTTTTAGATTTATATATTTCAGGTCCATCCAGTCAGTAAGCAGTTTGCAGCAGTCTTAACTTTTTTTCAGTTTTTAAACTGTTTGGGCATACCCTGGGAATAAATAAATAAACAAATAAATAAATAAATACATAAATATACAAATATTACCAGTGGCTCCCATTTATGTACAGTTATAGTCTAGTGTTATAACGAGTACTTTGCCATGAGTACTAGTTATGAGTACAATGTCATGTGTACGACTACACATACGAGTACAAGGCACTTTTTTTCCATGAATACGAGTACAAGTATCAAAAATGTACTCGAGTACGAGTACGACTACGAGTACAAGTATTTTCCGCAAGTAGGAACAAATTTCAATCGGTGGGGCCTACACGTGGTCTCAATGGCTTTTTGCTGTCAACCTAGGCATTAAACAATATGCAAAAGCCTCCCAAACAGTAGAAAATTGTTTCTTTTCCTGCAAGTACCTCTGACTTTTTTTTTCAATTCTTATGGGAATATGAGTGCAACACTGAAGTATTTTGAGCAGTGGTGGCTGACATTCACCGGACAAATGCTGTACCATGCAATCTTTGGTAGACCCCACTGTGTTCATTCTACTATCAGAGATACCACCAATATATCAATAAAAAGCCTGAAACACTACTAAGAAACCCGAAACTACCCTTACCCCCTTTCAAACATGTGTTTTCTGGACCAATTTGTCACATTTTTGAAAAAACCTGAATTCAGGTCAAAACCTGAAAAGTGGCACCTCTGTACTATGAGCTCCGAATATTTACCACATTGGTTAGCCCCTTTAGTGGGATACGCCGCGTGTAGCATGACTCTTTTTTATTCTGAAAGTGCGCAAAGCCATAGCGTCTTTGCGTGAGCATCAGGCGTCATCGGCGATGCATTTGAGTGTCTCTCCCAGTGGTCTCCCCCAACTCTTCCTCCCTTACAGATAGTAGCTGCGACAGTTTACTGTTGTTGCTGTGCTAGACTGTACTGAATTATTCCCAAAATTTCAAAACTGCAAATACTGTTAATCCAGAAGAGAGTGGAACTAAGATTGATTTCTTACATGTCCTCCGATTTCTCAAAGATCGTCTTCTCCAGCGGTTTGTCCGTCAGGCTGCAGACAGGCAGTAACTCTGAGAACATGAAGACGCTACTATGAGCGATGATTCGCTGAGCGCCCTCTGTTGGTGAACTGTAGACACAACTGGCTTTGACCTTGGAGGAACTGGGTTTGTCGTTGGATTTGGTTTTGACCTTGGGTAGAATGGGTTTTTCGTTGGAGTTTATCGAGGCAAGCTCTAAAGAAAAAAATAATTTGAAATTCAAGGTTAAAAATACAAAAGCTATGAGTAAATACGGGCAATGCAGACTGTCTTAACGTCACCCATATTGCCTTATTTATATGAAGATTTTCAAAATTTAGTTGGCATTTCCATTGCATGATGATGATAAACTACAAGCATTCTATGACATCAACATGAAAACTTGTGACAAACTTAACCTTAACCAACCCAAAACCCTTCAAAATCCATCTGCATGTTTTGTTGGTATCTGTTGGAGTGAGTACTGCACTAGTAAACTGATTATGCTTTACATGGGGTTAGGCATACCACCATAATCAGAGTCCAACAGTTTGGGTGTAGAGGTACCATATGATCTTGATTTTGTAAGAGTGAGGAAGGGTCCTAGTAAATCACTCAAGGAGGTTAGGGTTAATGATACATTTTAAAAGAAAAATGGATTCAATTGATACGGATAATTTTGTTCAACATCTCTCTTTATAAAATTACACTTCTAAGAACTGTCCGAACAAAAATCCTTTTTTTAAAAACTTATTTTGAATATTAAACCCCATAAATAAAGCAACGGTGGAACTGTCAAATATCAAAATTTGCAGTAAAGTAAAACATTTGTTCTTTTAACCAAAATTTGGATATAAACCTTCAAAAAAAGTAACAGGGCAATTCCACGGTTACTCACGTTACATTTTTGATGTACTTTTGAGTTTCCTTGGGCTGTAATTACCTTACTGAAAAGGTTTAATAACTGTTATCCCCATGGTAGATAGAGTAGACCTAGACCTACCTAAGCACCAAAGATGACATCCAGAAAAATGTGTTATGTATGATAAACAAGATGCACAAAATCGGTTACTCACATTACATTTTCGTAACAAAATCGGTTACTCACATTACATTTTCGTAACGTGAGTAACCGATTTTGTGCATCTTGTTTATCATACATAACACTTTTTTCTGGATGTCATCTTTGGTGCTTAGGTAGGTCTAGGTCTACTCTTTCTACCATGGGGATAACAGTTATTAAACCTTTTCAGTAAGGTAATTACAGCCCAAGGAAACTCAAAAGTACATCAAAAATGTAACGTGAGTAACCGTGGAATTGCCCAACAGCAGACAGACTAAAGAGTCCTGATGCAATCCTGTTGTTTGATTTTGGCAGATTCGGGCAGTTAGGGTTAATCAAAAATATTTATATTTCAGTACGTGAACGAAAATCGTTGAGGTGTGCGCTTCTGTTCAACATGGATACGCATGAGTAGACATCTTGTGCATTCATTGTTAATGAATTAACACAACAAAAACGCCACAAAGATGGCAGCTTAGTGCAATCAATCTATACCCAACCTTTCTCGGTGACAGTGACTTCTTGCACGGTTATCTGCAGGGCATCAGCTAAATTGCACGGTCTGAATGCAGAGGTTGGGTATGTGAGTTGCTGGTTACCAGTCCCTGTGAATGGTCCCCTGAAGGTGGCCTCGCTACGGCCGGCGAGCATGTCCAACTCGCTCTGTGAAAAAAAAACGAGAACATTCTGATCACAGCAAAAGAACGATTTTCAAAATCTGAAATTTCAGTGAGATTTTTTAAAAGATGTTCCATCTGTGATTGGCTTCAGCGATCGAAGTACAAGTACCAGTAGGCCTTTAACCAGTTCGCGCCGGCGGCCGTGTATGTACACGCACAAGTTTTGCGGTATTCGGAATGGATGCAAAAACACACAGGGAATGAGGCCGGAAATATCTGTCAGTGACGCGAGGCAGCGAGCGAGGCAGGAAATATGAGTGTGCTGCCTGAGGGTGATGGCTTCAACCTGCCTGGCTTGAGGTGGAGTGAAAAGTAATCTCACGCCTCGTTCCATTCTTGTCAAAATAATCCCGGCGTGAACTGGTTAAATCTATCCCAAAGACAGCTTTAAATCAAATTGAATATTTTTTTTCAAAGTTGAACAAAGATTTTGACTGGAGCGGGCTGTGAACCTGCAACCTCCAGATTGCACTACCAACTGTGTGTTAGCAGCTGCCCAATTTGTCCATCTCTGAGTTCGAGGGGCTGGATAGCTCAGTTGGTAGAGCACCGGAACGACAATCCGGAGGTTGCCGGTTCAAACCCCGCTCCAGTCAATTTCTTTGTTCAACTTTGAAAAATCATTATAATGCACCAGTTTCCAGTTTCCCTTTGTGTTTAGTAGAAAATTCAATAAACACATGAACACACTAAAATGATAAAATCAGACACTGGCGGATATTCTTTACAGACAACAATAATGCCTTAAAGGGAAAATACAACATTTGCAAACATCGAAAAATAAAACTACCAAGTTTTTACAAAATACCTTACTAGGATGTTGGTAAATGACAGTCTAAAGCATTCTGTAAAATTATGGCACCTGGTGTGAAGTCATTTTCAAGAAAATTGTATTTTTGTATGTATTTCCAACGGTGGTCGTTGGTCGGCCGACCACCGTTGGAAAAACCTAACTATTTTTCAACTACTGCTCCATATTTACCATTTGTTTCAGTCCAAATTGTGTTTGCTATTGGTTACATGTTCATGAACGGGTGCAGGCCAGCTAGACTGGTTCCCTTACCTTACAATTTTCCGGCATCTAAAAATTGATCCATTTCATTTTTAGTGGAGTCAGGGAACCAGACTACTTGAACATTTTTGTTTTTCTTGGTTTTTCAAGCATTTTCGGACACAAAACTTCAAACATATCAGTGTAACAATATTTTGTTCTATTATACTACCCCTCAACTAGTTCATTTCTGAAAATTACAGCAAAAGCCAATGATGTACATTCCCTTTAATAACGGAATAAATGTGTGTTTGGGAGGTATTATAACACTCCGTTTAAGTCTGGATGGGTAATACTGACAAATACCGACCAATAGGAATGGGTAAACTGTATAAGGTATTTATGAATGAGATTTAAACGTGAAAATCCTTCACCGAGCTCATTTATTAACCGTATCAATGCAGATAGAAAGCCTTGGAATTTTTTAACCTGGATGCATTGCACCCTCGTCAATTCCTGCACAGTGCCAATGCATATACAATTTTATCGATCACAAGGTGCTACAAACAAGAGAATGACATGACTTACCAGGAAGAGTTTGGCTTGGTTCATGTGTGGTTCCAATGAGTCCTTGCCTCGGCTGAGTACATGGATCTGAGCCAGTAACTGCACATGCTGTCAGGACAAAATGAAAAACAATGTTTCCATATCAACAAAAGTACAAAATGTATTCTGTGAAACAGTTGTAATCTTAGCTGTAGTCAATTTCATCACAAGTCAATGTTTACAAAGTAACAGGGTAAGAACAATGAAAATGGACCATTTCGTTACACTTTATTTGGCTGGCTTATCACTCCAATAGAGACTGGGTGATGTGTGCTCAGACTTGCATTCAAGTCTTCGAGTCCGAACCCGAGTCACCTCTCCTGAGTCCGAGTCATGCAGGTTGAGTCTGAGTCCGAGTCACAAGTTACAAAAGTCTGGTCTGAGTCATGAGTCACCTTTAAGTACTATATATTGGAAATAAATTTTGAGGCGCACACACTTGTATGTACTGTACTTGGATGCGTTTTTTCTGCACAGCACTGACTGTATCGCTTGCACAGGAAGGGATAGTCTTCAGGATAATTTGTTATTATATTGCTGGAAAAAAGTGATTTGTGGTATTTTAGGTCGATTCCCGAATCACGCAGTCAGGAATCCGAGTCTAAGTCCAAGTCTGCTGGGTAAGTTGTAATCCTGACTCGAGTCTGAGTCCGAGTCACGGAAAATGGGACTCAAGTCCGAGTCACGAAACTCTATGTGTGCTTGTAGTTGTGTTTGATTTGTGATTGACTTGCAAGGACTTGTGATTGTCTTGTGATTGACTTATGATTGAATTGACCTATCGCTGTAGAATCGCATTAGAATCGCATCAACGCAGCTTGTGAAATATCGCCAATTGCATGATATACGAATGGACGCGGAAAGCGCAAAATCTGAGACAGACAAAACTTAGTGTATAAAAATTCCATAGGGTTGTCTAAGGGGCGTGGCTAACTCGCAAACGGCGATAGGTCAATTGTGATTGACTTGTGATAGACTTGTAATTGTCTTGTGATTGTCTTGTGATTGTCTTGTGATTATCTTGTGATTGTCTGTGATTGACTTGTGATTGACCTGTGATTGACTTGTGATTGTCTTGTGATTGTCTTGTGATGGTCTTGTGATTGAATTGTGATTTGTCTTGCGATTGACATGTGATTGTCTTGTGATTGACCTGTGACTTGACTTGTGATTGACTTATGATTGACTTGTGATTGACTTGTGGTTGATTAATGATTGACTTGTGATTAACTTGTTATTGTCTTGTGATTGACTTATGATTGGCTTGTGATTGAGTGGAACTTTTGAAGCTTTCCAAGTTTTGAGCCATTCTCTTACCTGCTGCATCTGTTGCTGTAGCTGACATCTCTCATCTGCAGTAAACAGCATGAGCTGTTGCTGCGGCTGCTGCTGCTGTTGTTGCACAATCTTTTTGCTCTTATGAGGCCCCTCCTTCGGTGTGATGGCCTGGCGTTGGGCTGTGATCATTTCTGACAAGGTTGGCTGTGGAGGCTTGTCAAATAGCCGCATATCAAAATCTGCCGCCCAGTCCTCATTTTCATACTATGTAAAGAAAAAATAACAGAAACTCTTCGTTCAAAGAACTTTTTTATTTAATTCTATAAATGTAATGTCATCGAGCAAATTTTTTCCAGAATCATTTTTTTTCCCATATCAGTTAGGGTAAGACCATCTTCTGTTCTTGAAAGGAGTCTGTTAGTTTATCATTTTCAATTTTAGGGGATGACTGTTTCAAGTTGTTTTTGAAGAGTGAAAACAAATGTGTATGTTTACTTACAGCATCAATCAGTTCATCCAGCAACTCATTGACTTCTTTTTCTGTAGACAAAAAAATGCATGGAAAACATAGATTAGAGAGACCACTGGGCGAGACATTCTAATGCAATGCCGATGACGCATGATGCTCACGTGAAGACGTTAGAGCTTTGTCCTCATTCAGAGTAATTAAGTTGGGCGTACTTGGAGCAATATGCATGTGAACCACTGGGATCTCGACAGTGGTCAAAAACATGTTATCTACTGTTTGTGCACGTGGTTTTTATGGTTGAAAGTACTAGTGAAATATATTGTTTCACATCAAATGCTAATCTCCAATTCCATCAACTCTTACAACGTTTATTGTTAGAATGTATAGATCCTTTGTATTACAGCCATTCTGGGTGTGTACTCTGCTCCTCAGGGCATGAATAGACTTCTTGTGCATTTGTTTTTACTGATTGAAAAGAAACAAAAGAGACTAATTGCAACATCTTAGACTTACTGCTTATCCGGACAGTCTTATCGTTCCTGAAATCCTCTTCGTCTACCGCTTCCTCCTCGGCCAAGAAGTTGTACTCCGGATCATTCTGATCATCTTCACCAGTATCACTGACTTCTGGATCCACTAGAAAATCAGCAACGCAAAATCATCATATTTAAAGTCTAAATTTTAAAAATGTGTAGATCCTAGTTAATATGGTTCGTTTCAAATACCTGTTTCAGACTTACACAATCACTTTGAGCAACTACAAACGATGACATGGAATGACTCCAGAGTCTAGTTAATAGAACATTCAATACATAAAGTTTGCTGTTCTGAAACCGAAATCCATTTGGGTCAGCCCAAGTTGCTTCTAGTACTATTTGGTTTGGTACGACTATGGAACATAAGCCTGAAACAGGTACAGTGGAATGTCGCTATACCGAACACCACTATACCGAACATTCGGCTATACCGAACATGGTCCTTGGCTTCCGATTTTTGTGTGCAAAACCAACCAAACATTGTTGTTGAAAAATGTCAAGAGAAGAGCGACAAGTGGCTATTATTTCCCCAAGGCATAGAAGGGGAAAGCCACCCATTGCTGTAGGTAGTAAGCTCAAAAACTGTGTAATTACATAATTCAATAGTCAGCACGTGTTCAAAGTCATCTTTCAGTAACCACCAGGGCATGCAGGGTGAAGTTTGGAAGGGCGCTTTTTATTGAAAAGTGAGTACCAGAGCACCGGCAACTTAAAATCGCTATATTAAACTATCACTATTTACAAATAACTTCTGTGGATCCCGCGATGTTCATTATTGCGACGTTCCACTGTATAATGATTTAAAGGGAAAATACAACATTTGCAAACATCAAAAAATAAAACTACCAAATCATTTTGAAATACCTTGCTGGACTGTTAGTGAATGACAGTGTAAAGCATCCGGTAAAATCATGGCACCTGGTATACTGTCATTTTCAAGAAAAGTGGTATTTTTGCATCAATTTCCAACGCTGATCGGCCGATCAGCGTTGGAAACAACTGGCTTTTTTTTCCAAATACTGGCCCCAATTGACCATCGCACTTGTTTGCAATCAATTACAAACCTATGAACGGGTACGAGCCAGCTAGACTGGTTCCCTGACCTTACAATTCCCCAATGTATGTAAAGTGCTCTGTTTCTTCTTATATGGAGTCAGGGAACCAGACTACAGAAAAATGATCGTTTTTCTTGGTTTTTATAGCATTTTCGAACCCAAAACCTCAAAAAAGTCAGTGTAACTATATTTGCTATATATTTCCAACCCCCCAATTCCATCCATTTCTGAAAATTACAGCAAAAGTAAATAATGTATGTTTAAATGTTTGAACCAAATGGAAAGACTTTAAACTTTGGCTTTGTATAAACTATGTGTTGTTCCTGTAACCAAATGGAAGCATGTGAGCTAGAAATCCTGTGGAACACAGCAACATGCAACACTTGTCAAAATGACAAGCCTGCTCAGTGAAGCAAGATCCATCAGGTCAAAAGTCTCAAGGCCAAACTGCCTCAGAGTCTGTGGTCACCAAATGTAGCAGGATACAACTGTGGCATTGTTCAATGGGACTACAATCCCAGCCAAAATGGTTGGGACACTTCCTGAGCCTGCCACGGTCACCCACTCCCCCGCTCCCCCGGTCAATGTTGTTCTCTCCAGCTGATGGAGCACACACTGCGCAATGAGAGACAACACTGAACGGGGGCCGGAGGGTTGGGGGCCAGCGAGATTTGATCAGGATTGTAGCTCCCATTTCTTCAGAACTGGCTGTTTATGCACTGGTGTTGATGGCTCAATGCAGCAAGGTCCCACAGACTCTTACACCTATGCACTGTGTTGTGTCTGGCAGGGTTAGGGTTAAATCAAAGTCGTAACGTCAGAAAGATGGAGCCACAGTATGAGGTGTCGTAAAACAAAGCCAAAAAAAGGATGGCCCAAGACTCACGTTTGGGTCCATGGTAGAGCCCCGCCAGCCATCGCACCCATTCCTCATTATCTTCAAAAGCATCCTCCCAAGTATCAAACATATCTTCTGTGATGTCCGGGGCGATGAACGATGCCTCAATCTCCTCAAGAGGTTTGTCAATGGGGAACTTGGACCTGGTGCGATGGGCTATAGTATCCTAATAGACAAAAAAAGAAAAAAGAAAACACCAGGCATCTATTAATTAAGTAAGAGACTTGAAGATGGGGGGGGGATTCAACAAGAATGAGGCTTGTTGTAGCACCATGCAGAGATTTCAGTACATAGCGCTACCACAAAACCCAAACCCATCTTTGAATAGAGTTTTTCTGGGGCGGTCAAATATTCCTGCGAGTCCATCAAACAGTGCGTATTGAGCAATAAGATGGTCAGTGTTTGGTCAGGTGGCTAAGGTAACTCAGTACACAAACCAAAGATGGGTGGCGCTTATGAACAATCCAGAACAACGTTAAAGGCTGAGCTGGTGATTCCCAGACCTACCGAATTCTATTTGGATTGATTTGAGTCACTCTAAATACATTTTGGCATAATTTGTTTTAAAAATTTTGTTTAAATTATGTCTTTCTTGTTTCAACTGGGTAGCCTATTCAGTGGAATCCACTGGTCTCCATTGGGCCCAGCAAAGAGAAGACAATGTGAAGCAAATTCTGAGGAAAACCCAAAATCAAGTACGGACTGAAAACCGAATCCACATGTTGGCCCAGGCAGGATTCGAACCCGGGTCAACAGCGGTGGAAGGCAAGGAAAGTACAGCTACGCCAACTTGACTCCCTCGACTCTGCTTAACCAGTCTGAAACAGCGGTCAGCATCCTACCTCTGACCGCTCTATCTCCTGATCCAACTCGTCCAGCTGCTTCAGAAACTTAGCATCCTCCTTCAGCCTCTCGTTCCTTGACCGAGGAAGAGGAGGACCCATCGGCATGGCAACCGCCCTGATGTGGGTCCCTTTGGCTGGTGATGAGGTGCTCGTTGACGGCATAGGGGTCTCCGAGGGGCTGCTAGGAGGCTCTTCCGTTTCCTCTTCCATTTCTTCCTCCTCGAGGTCTTCCAAGAAGGAGGTGTTGAGAGAAGAGCGAGGGGTGCTTGGGCAGGGAGACCCAAAGGATGCGGTGCTTTCATAATCACTCTCTTCCTTCAGCTAGTTCAAAATGAAAAAAAAATCATTAAGAAATAGTCATATCAGTAATATTTTTTTCGGAGAAGAATTGGACTCCTTTAAAGTTGAATTAACCGCAACCTTGCCACACACAACACAGTGCAAGTATGTGGGACCTTGCTGCATCGGGCCATCAACACCAGTGCATAAATAGCAAATTCAGAGACTATAGGATCTATTCCCATTGAACAATGCCACAGTTGTATCCTGTTGGCCTTAGTTTTTGACCTGATGGATTTTGCTACACCAGGCAGGCTTCTTTAACTTGGAAAAGTGTTGTATGGTATTGGATTAAAAAGAAGTTTGAGCCATCACACCCTGGAGTGTTTAGGGTTTAAACCTGAAACCTCAATGATTACCAGATCTTCTTGACTTGGTTTATATTCATCATCGTCATCGTCGTCCGAGTCGGAGAAGTTGAGGTCAGTGAACTGAGGCTTGGGCTTCTTGACAGGAGAGACTGGCCAGACGAAGGGAACCTCAAACAAACAAAACAAACATTCACATGAAATGATGATTTGTAAATGTGGTCTAGGCTAAAAAAGGATTACTTTACTAATTACTACTTTCCAAACAAAGACTTAGCCTTCAGCGCTGAACATTAATTACTGCACGCGACTGACTATCAATTATTTTGCGATCACTAATTGGTTCCCTCAGAAAGCCTAGGGAGAAAACAAAGTTAAACACCTACGACAGGATTCCTATTAATTACAGACATTAGTGCGAGTAGGCGCGCTGGTCTAATCATGCCCTTAGATGGCGCACTACTGCCAAATGAACGTGAAACAAAATGCACGATCTACTATCGAGCACTGGCGTCTTGGGCCAAGACTAAGAGCTGCTAAGCTGAAAAATTTGCTTAATAGCCAATTTATGCTATAAAGCATAAATTAACAGAAAACCTGTCACATACAATGTATACTGACATTTTAGCTTTGAAAGTATTTTTGCTTAGCCAAGTTTTGGGGTACTTAAAGGGAATACATCATTTGCTTTTGCTGTAATTTTCAGAAATGGATGGAATTGGGGGGTTGGAAATATATAGCAAATATAGTTACACTGACTTTTTTCAGGTTTTGGGTTCATAAATGCTATAAAAACCAAGAAAAACAATCATTTTCCTGTAGTCTGGTTCCCTGACTCCATCATAAGAAGAAACAGAGCAGTTTACATACATTGGGGAATTGTAAGGTCAGGGAACCAGTCTAGCTGGCTTGTATCCGTTCATAGGTGTGTAATCGATTGCAAACAAGTGCGATGGTCAATTGGGGCCAGTATTTGAAGAAAAAAAACAGTTTTTTCCCAACGCTGGTCGGCCGATCAGCGTTGGAAATTGATACAAAAATACCACTTTTCTTGAAAATGACAGTATACCAGGTGCCATGATTTTACAGGATGCTTTACACTGTCATTCACTAACAGTCCAGCAAGGTATTTCAAAATGATTTGGTAGTTTTATTTTTTGATGTTTGCAAATGTTGTATTTTCCCTTTAAGTAAGCACGTTTCTGAGCTCAGTAGTCCCATGAATGAAGAAAATATTAGCAACTTGACTTACTTTTCCAGACTTTTCAGAGACTTCTTTCAGCTTTGCTCTGGTCATCTTGGGCTCCTTTTATAGAACAATACCAGAAATAAAATGATCATGAAGTGATTTTATTACCAATTTTGTTATCAAGTTCAATTAACAATGTCACTCAGGCCAGCGTGAGCCAGATAATAGGACATGGCACAATTTGTTTATAGCTGGATGGAATCGAGGGGGGGAAAAGACTTAAAATATAAAATTTACAACAGCATTTTTTGAAAACCAAGAGTGGACTAATACAAAATGTACTTACAAACACAACGGGTCTACTACCAGACGGATCTGAAGAATTTGGTTTATCTTCAGTCGAATCATCTTCCATTGTGTTACGAACCATGGCCAGCACATGCTCATTAGTGATTACATGCTGAAAGAAATATGACAACGCATGAATTTAGACAAAGGTGTATGTAGCACCTTCAGCATATAATAACCTATAATTTTAATGGTCCCAAATCCCAAATCCACCAAAATCCATGTTTGCAGTATTCAACCACAATTGCCAATGGGCCACTTTGTTACCACAAATTGATGAATTCTGAATGGTTTAGAAAAGCTTCATTAAAATACAAAGGTTAAAAAAAAAGAGCATTTGAAAATTTCCAAAATGAAATAATTTCTTACATGCAAGATGTTCTTGACATTGACTACTGAGAGGTTATTCTTGGCTGCATTCTCCTCAAGACTTTTCTCCAACACGTCACAAGCTTCCTTAGCCAACTGTACTTCTGCCTCATCCAGTGATGGACCTTTGCTTCCCTTTTTTCTTCCTCTCTTCTTCTTAGTCTCTTCTTGACCTTCTTCTCCGTCTTCCCTTTTCGGGAACCTCTTCTCCAGTTTTACTTTCTTCCCCCGTTTCATCATGGTGCTCCAGGGTTTCACTTTGTCTTCCTGCGCGGCCTGACGCGCTGACTTTCTGGTGGGTTGCAAGTCGATGACCATCCTCTGTGGGGAGACAGATGAGGAACTCTCCTGCTGACTGTCCGAGTCGGTGTCAGCGCTGGATCGCGCCGGGGTTAACTTCTTCATCACACTCTTCTGAAGATGATGTTTGGCAAGACTGTTCTTGGTGAAGCCTTTACGTCGGATGCTCCCGGTGTAGACTGAGGTACTGCTTTTGATTGTTGGATGCGATTTCTCATCCTTATGAGTTAGAGAAGATGCATTTGAACTTTTCATCGGTGATGCGGACTGCTTGAGAAATGTCAGTGCCTGAGCTGCCTCCATATCGACAGAATCAAGAGCTGGCATGCTTGTTGCATTCTTCAAATCAGCCAGTTCTGATTCCTCTTCTTCACTTTGGAAACTCTTCACACTGTTATTTTCACACTGTATTGTGCCTGCATGTTTCTGATCAATTGTAGACTTTTGGGAATCAGACTCAAGCAGATCTGAGGCTGTGCTTGGTTTAGCCCGTGCAATACCTTCGCCTGAATCTTTTTCACCAGTGTCAGTTTGATCTCTGGGAACAGAGTCGTCATCTTCTAGTTTGTGAAGTGGCTCATCTTGTGGCTCAGCAGACCCAGTATGACTTACGGCGCATTGGCCAGCAACCTCTGTGTCTTGTGTCTGTGCTTGCGTCTGAACCAACAATGAACCATCACCATGTTCGGCTTTTGCAGGCCGTGAGTCTGAGACCACATGATCATTGATATCAGAGGATGCCTGACTTGGGCTTTCTGTCGGAGGTTTTTCTGGAACAGCAGTAACCCCTTCAGATATGTCACCATCACATTCTTGTTTAGTTCGTTTGGGAGGCTGTTCCTCTTCATGTTCATCCTCACAAGCTGATGTGGAAAACCTCTCCCTCTTGCGTTTGCTTGTTTCGGACATGACGATACCTACAAAAAAAGGCTGACACTGGGTTGATAAATTCATCCATAACGTTAGAGCATGGAGGAAGGAACACAAACGATTGTGTTCCTGGCTTCCTCCATGGTTCGACTAGAGCAAGAAATTTCATATCTCCTGTATATCTGTAATTTGGGGAGCAATTTATTTATCAATGACATTACCGAAAATAATTAAATTAATTTTAATGACTAGGCGCCCTAAAATATTGATAAGCCTTGCATTAATTGCAATCTCAATGCAATGCAATAAAACCAACCTCGCATTCACAACAAATGTAATTTTAGTGTTTACAAATTTACATTGATTGACGTTTCAACTGACAACTGACATTCATTTTCTTTGTTTTAACAATCTGCATAATTTCGCGGTTTCTGTTGATACAATTCATGATAAAATGCAAGACCAATGGTTTATTTCTTACCATCGACATGAATTACAAATTTTAGCAACGCATATTGATAAATTTGGGCATTTTTTGAAGCATTCACAACTGAAACCGCTTCAGATTCAGCGCCGACTGTATTTCCAAATAGCGCCCTCTAGCAATTATTTGGCGCAAACCCTACTAACTGGTTCCTTTCTTTTCCCAAGCTTTACTAGCCAACAGTTGGGAACCAGTACAAATGTCAAAGGTCACCGGAAGTACCATCGTGTCACCGTAATATTTTGTGCAAATCGCGTGCGACGTACGGAGCGATTTGCCAGTGATTTTTCTCCATTTTCTTCGATAATTAAAGTAGTGGATTGGACTATCCTGTAGGAAATATTCTCATGATCTAGTAGCTTTGGTTGAGTAGAATGAATGGCATGTTAAACACCAGAACGGTGCCTTTATTATGACCAGCACCGCGGTCGTGTCGAGCCTGAAGTCAGCGGTACGGGACAAGCATGAAAACACGCTGTACACGGCGGGGGCAGTGGCCGTCACGGACCCGCGGCGATCTGCCCTCCTACCCGCTAAGGGCCAAGTGCAAAATGTGCCCGCTTCTCGTGTCTATGTCTTCGGTAACGCCGACGTGGCTGAAGACGAACTCAATGCAGACTCGCAGAAGTCGCAGAACTCTATCGAGATGTCAGATCTGCGACCAAGATCGGGAAAAGTTAAGAAGAAAAAGAAGAATTTGGAGCCGGTTTTCATTGAGAGGGAGATCGAAAGTGGGGACACACTTCAGATATTTTCATTGCAGTTTGGATGTCCAGTAAGTTGTTGGAGTACTGACAAAAACATGGCATGGCTGAAAATAGATGTTTACTCTATAAAATGTTTTTAATTTATCGTTACGATAATGATTTATTGTTAAATCACAATTCCAATTTAAAACAACACTCAACAGACAAATTACTGAGTCAAAACCAGCACTGTTGACAGTGTTGTGTTGATAAATTTGAATTTCTTTAACATCTGAAGTTTAGAAAATCAGTGCTGCTAATGTTCTCAGCTAGTCGATTTAAAATAATAATAAAAACATATGGATGCCTTAAACTCTTATAAAAGGAAATTTTGTTTCTTTTGTAATATTTAAATATAAAGCAATGTTATACAAGAGATTATTTTTTACCTTTTCCCCCAATAGGTAGCAGAGTTGAAACGATGCAACAATCTTATCAATGACCAGGACTTTTATGCTCTGAGGAGGATCAAGATTCCAGTCAAACAGCACGGTCTTCTCACAGAGGAGCAGGAAGAAAGAAGGCGACGTCCGGATGCAACCTCCAAGACGGAACCTCCCAATGGAAACCATCTTGTGAACGGAGGCTATGTCAGTGATTACGAAGAGGATGAAAGTGATTATGGAGAGGAAGACAATCTCCTCGTGAGGCAAATCAGCATCAGGGACTGCATGCGGGACAAGACGACAGCAAGACAGTTCCTGCAGAAGATGGATCAAGATCTTGAGAAGATCTGCCAGGCGACACAGACACAGAAGAAGTCTCTTGAGGAGGTGACGTCGACCCTGACTGAGACCCGCATCCATCCACTCCTACTGCCTTACTTTGAGAAGAGGAAGAAGAGAACTGCTTGTGATGAAGCGACGTGTGGAATGACTTGGAAATCAGTGCTTGCTGTTGTCGTCTTGGTCGCAATAGCTATACCAATTCTTATCGTGATGTATTATCAGCTAAACAAAACATGATGACTGGTCATCCAGTTTCTAAAAGGGTAGTTTTAAAATTTTAAACAGAAAAATTAATTCATCTTTACTCAGTGAAACTTGATAGAGGAATATGACCAAGACATCATGCACATACAATGCAGTGGCCTACCGTGCATGAAATTGTTCTTAGTTGCATCAAATTTAGAGGTCCTCCATGAGAATGTAGCTATTAATAGACCAATCCATTTCGCCCCGCCTACTGCAAACACAGACAACATGTGTACCCCTCAAATGCTGCAGCACAAGTGCCAGCTTTGGCTGTCATACGCACGTACGTGCACGCATGTCAGACTTTGTGCATGCATGTCGACTTATGGCTACTAACCCTTTTGTTTGATCAGTCACAGCACCTACCTCCATGGTCACAGACAGTTAATAATAATTCAATCCTGTTCCCCTGCCATTACACAGGCTTGTCACAAACAGTCGGACCATACTTCTTGTAGGCACTGTGTCAGTGAAATTCCATCAACAGACAAAAGCAGGTGACTGGTGGGCACAGCTGGCTTATCAATCACCTACAGTCCAAGCATAGCTACACTGTACATCAGGGTCCTGTTTTATGAAGGCAAGGAGCACTCAACTGGTACAAACAGTCATTTGCTATATTTTGACTGCTGGGCTGGCCTTGGTGAAATTTGATTGAAATTTCAAAATAACAATGGAAGGGGCTAAATAGATCTGTCTACACTGAGGTGAAATGAGGATTTATGAGGGGAAAAAAATGTTGCAGAAATTTTATTGGGCTTTTGATAACGACTGTCTATTACATGTATCTGCGGAGGTACTTGTAAAGCTTTTAGCAGTGTTTGAGCTTTGCGGTTGCACTTCTGAAAGCTTGTTAATACTGTTAATTCATGATTACAGCAAAACCAAATTCTGAGCCTCCATTTTCATTGTCATTTCTATTTTGTGCACACTTGTAATGTTTTCTCTTGTGGTTAAATTACGTTAAATTATAAGCCTGTGTACCATTTTGGCCAAAAGTGCATACTTTTAGTTTGCATGTAATTCACTCAATGTGCCTTATTTTCATAGGAAATAAAGTCAGAAGTCCTGTACTCATCACTCCAACCATTGCATGCTTACAGGAAAGGGGACACGTCCAACAAAAGGAAAAACATTCAAAGATTACTATATGATGCAGTTTTGGCCAAATGACAAAGTTTTGAATGATGCAGTTTTCACTTAATTATGAACCGTGTTAAATCCAACGAGTTCAAACTATAGGCACGTTATGATGTCTTTTGTTGATCTTTGCAGGGGAAAAAATCAAACAAGCTTCTCTTTTAAAGTTTTAGCCTTTGGAACGTCCTGTAAATCAGTGAATTTTGGTGTGATCACTGAATTTTTTTGAAGTGAACATAGACAAATATATCCAACCAAAACTCTGACAGAACTTTCTTTTTTTTTTTAAACCAACCTTCCCATAATAAATGCAGGGTTGCTAAAGATATTATGATATGATAAGTAGAAGCTGACTAGAAATGGACATAGACACGTTTTAATTTAAGTGTAAATATGTTAGCTATGTATGCCCAGAAATGTTGATAATTTTGACAGTGCAAATCATCAGAATTGGTTTAAAATTGTAAAATGCAGTCAATGAGAGTCCCAGTTTGAGGGAAAATAAGGTAATTTAGGAGCTTGTATAGTGTGAATAATAGAGAGATACATGTATGATATTTTACCCATATTTTGAGAAATTCTCCAAAATGCTAATGTACATGTACTTCGGTTACATATACAAGCACGCATACGTTTAAGTTAACTGTCTGTAAAGCATGTTGTCTTCAATAACTTTCAACTGTACATGTCCATAACTATCTTCTAGTATGTGTTGCAACTTGACGGTGCTTAGTGTCTAACATGCAAGTATCAGCAGGGTTCAACCTTAACTTTTTTTTCACTAGCCATACCATTGAAACAAACTCTTAACTAGCCCACTGACATTTTCACTGGCCCGCATGTTCTTCTTTTAGTGTCTCATAAACAACAATGTGCATATATGTAAACATGCACACTTATCCTGAGGCAATCTTGTCATTGTTTTTTAAACAGATCATTTAACCCTAAACAGTTAATAAAATTAGACACAAATTGATACAGGTTTGCTTTCTGAATTTAATGATTTATGTCTTCCTGTCCTTTCATCTTGGCCGTTGCCCAATAATTTTTGACTCGCCAGCCGGGCTACTTAAGGAATAGTTTGACTAGCCCGCCGCTATTTTGACTAGCATTTGGCTAGCGGGCTACCCTAATCAGTAGCTTTCTGCGATTGCACAGGTGAATTCAGAAAAAAATAGCTCCCTCAAATACATGTAGTTTTAATAAAGTAATTGTATTGAATTTTTTATGAAATTTATCCTTGAAAGAATTAATAAATGAAGGACAAAAACGTATATCATAAGAATAACTGTATACATGTCAAAAGCAGCTGGCTTGGAAAAATTTAATTCTGAATAATTACACTTTGACCAAATTGAAAAAGTATGAAAAGGAATCTCTACTTCTGTTCTTTACCAGTTGGAGGTGTTAGAATTATTTTCAAATTTATATTGTTATTATAATTTTTCTTTTGTAGGGGGGGGGGCCTATGTCAGTTTGATGACCAGTTCAGAGAATTAGTGAAGAAAAACTCCCCCAATCAGATGATATGAACGGTAGGCTTATAGTTATATTAACTATGGCTTATATTCAGTCAACCACTAATTATAATCCCTGATGCTGGTTCTTGTATATCAATTCATTAATACCAGACTTTTACAACCTGTTATATCCAATTAATTATGCATGGTACAGGTGTACATGTATTGTTTTTACCACATGGTTGCAGTTTGCATATACACGTATACAGTTCATTGTTCAAATGCCATATATATTTGTATGTTCTGCATTTACATGTACCAGTATAGTACAGGGAACCATTGCTGTCACTATAAGCAGGAATTATTTCAGTATTAATTTACGAGTACGTACTTATGGACAAGCCCATCTGTTAAACTGTTTTATGTATGTCTAGTCCACGTTCGTTTTTAAACCCTTCATTAACTTCAAGTTACACATATGTTACCAACTACGACAAAACCTTCAAAAATACCCACAGAAAAAAAGTGAGTGAATATCAATTGCAATTAGTCACAAAATCTAACTGCATTTTCTTCAATTCTGTAATTATCTAATGGCTGTTTAATTGTTTAGACGTCATACACATATTAAGTACATTGTATCGTTGACATTTCAACTAAGGAGATACATGTAGGTTGTTAGAACTCACAGCTGTTGGACAGAAAGGATTTTAATTTGATGAACTGGTCTGCGTCATATATGTAATTATCATTTCTGAATTATTGGTCTAAAGGCGCTATCATCCATTGCTATTCAAAAAAATTCTGGACTAAAAAAAAAGGTGTATTTGAATTTTATTTTTAATTTTTTTTTCTATTTACCCAACTTAGTTCAATTTTAGTCCGAGTGACTGTTCATGTGTGTATAAATGTATACTGAGAATCAGAACAACAATGAAGATAATACGTGACAACAACAAAAGTAAACACAATGGGTTATGTAAACAGCATGCCTGGCCTATTAGGTAGTAGTCAGAATTGAGATATGTAATGTCCAAAATTTGCATTTAGTTTGAAAAAAAAAATTGGGTGACCTTAAAATGCTTTTGAATACATACAGTACATATGTACATGTGCTTGTGACAACTGAAACAGGGTGTTCAATACTGGTAATCCTTTTAGTCATTGTGGGGCCGGAATCTGTCCTGCCTACTCACTGTAGCGCCCTAAACCACCCGAGCACTCTATGGTTTTATTGATTCTTCAGTGAATAAACACAATGTAATACAGTGGTGGCGATTTCATACTCAGGTTGATGTAAGACACCTGTAGATGGCTCTTGCTGTAACCATGGCGATCGGTTGGTAAATCTGTGTTTCACCTACATGTACATGTATCAAACACACAAGACGCCGAGATTTCTGAAAACTCGATCAGATCCGTGAAACGTGTGCCTTGAATGAAACCAGTTAATTTATTCTACATGAACTCTTTTAGGGGTAGATTGAAAGTGAACATTTAAATCACATTGTGTTGTATCCTGGGGCAGTTTGCGTCATGACTGTAGATTGTGTTACAGGGCAGACTGTCCCACAATGCAATGTGATGTATACCGTCACATTTTCTGTCAGGCATCTGTCCACTGAAGAGTCCATTATGTAGTATCTATCGAAATCCATTCTTGGAGTTTGATAGATTTTGATGGGATCAGGAGAGTGGAGCTGAGACACAATTTAACATTACATTTACTAAACTACCTTGATGCTTCTGTTTCAGTGTACTGTATAGACCATTTGCACTGTTGCCATCATCGAGGTGCGGGTGCGTGCTTTTGTTGCGCAGGGATATAAGCACGAGTAGATCTTGTGTGCATTCATTTTACTGAATTAAAATTGCTCCACAGACATGGCCGCTACATGTGACGGGTCAGTAAGTTTGAGTTCAGTTGATATGAAAAGTTTCTTCCAGCAAATACATGTATGCGTAGGGAGTTCGGTTTGATTTTAACTTATGTAATTTTAATTTCCATGACTACAGCTCTATGTTCTGCTTTGAGTTTAATGTGCTGAATGTTATAGTTTCTGATTCAAATGATATCACTTAGAGGTTAAAATATTCATATTACATTACATATTGTACTATAGACTCATATTTATTTTATTAAAGAAATTACAGACAATCTGAGCAACCACTGCAAGTTAAGTGAATCGTGTCACAATTTGATCTTTTATTAAAATAAAGCTTCTTGTGAATAAACCAAAGTACGCTTTTCCAATTTTTTTTTGTTTTTAATGACTTTCAAATTATTCATATATTGTGAATAAACCAAAGTACGCTTTTCCAATTTTTTTTTGTTTTTAATGACTTTCAAATTATTCATATATTCAGGACATGTAATATTTACTTGGCACAGACAAAAATTGAGTTTTACAGAGAATTATTTTTTATTTCTGGAAAATAAATAAATCATGGTGGTTGGAAACAAAATGCAACTCAGAATCAAGGGTCGATCAACTTGATAATCACTGGTCATGATGCAAACCATTGTTTAGGGAATTGTATGGGTGGCATTACTGTAACATTTTTCCGTCCATACTTCAAGGGGGGGGGGTACTTAAACTGCAGATTCCAAGCAAATAAGGCTCTGGGTTGTTAGCCTGTAGACTTGGAGGGAAAATTTTTTAACATGTTCAGAATTTGAGATCGAAAGAAAACCTAGGAATTATTTTCCAAAGAAACAATAGGATCTTGTACTGCACATGTTGCTCTGCCAATCAGCACTCTTCTTGGGCCAAAGTCCAGAATTCAGCCAATCAAAATCACTGATAAATAACCAACCTCAGCACTATCCAATTAGCATAGGCATTGCAAAGCTTCAGTTTCATCCAAAACATCAGCTGCATGTGTGAGCCAATCGGAACATCTGACAGATTCATGTGACATTTCCTGTTGCCTAGTTCTGACCAATCGGCTGCCTCAATAGATGGGCCCATCGTCCAATCCATCATCGTCATCATTAACATCGTCCTCTCCATTATCAAAGTATGACACAATGTAGTCTGTACCCTGAAAAAGGAAAAACACAAGAAACAAAAAATTACTTCCATTAGAAAATCTTCAGTCTCACACACAATTGTATATCTACAAAAGATTTTTTAAAGTACATATTTTACACAGAAGTACACAAAAAGGCAATTAACTAGTTATAAAAATTGGCAAAGAAAAGAACTTGTATAATTAGCAAGTAAAAGTATATTCAGACAAATGATTAAAACAAACACGCGCCTAAGCAAATGAACATATAAACAGCTTAAAACAATTTAGGTAAGGCCAATTACATGGCATTCGCAAGGGTACATGTAGGTAGAGGTAGGGAATTTTTTTCTGGCAACTTTGTTGTGTACAATCATAGGGAGGCATCTGCGTGTAGTCAAGGGTTCAAGGTAGAAATTGATGGTTTGGGGTGTTTTTTTCTCATTTTTCCCATAAAAAAAACTTAGAAATAGGTCTGTCAGAATAGGGTAGGTAGGGAAACCGGAAGCAGAACTATTTTTGTTTGGGCCTAACAGTGTATAGTATTAGCAATGCCACAGTAACACAATGCCACAATATAATTAACCATGTAACTACCCATGTGACTAACCATGTGACCACCACACGACTGACCATGTGACTCACCTCTTCTTGGTCCTCTTCATCATAGTATTCCTCCTCATCTATCTCCTCTTCATCTTCATCCTCTTGTTTCTCGTCTCCTGATGCTGCCTCTGTCTCCTTCTGCTCCAACTCCTGTTAAACATCACAAAGTTGAGATGTGTAAAAAAATGCTACTTCGAAATGTCATACTGCTTAATTTTGTTTTTATTTGTGAGGCTTCAAAGAAAATCTCGCCATTCACCTCCAGGCAAGGTCACCGAGTATGAAATAGCATTCCTCCATTCAAAAGAAATAATATTCTCTTCACAATCTGAAATATTTGGCACTGGGATTCAGGGTTCCGCAGTGGAAAGGTGGTTGTGTTGGTTACACCTCTATGTTCCGACACCCCTACATGTATGTTCCGACTGCACATATTCCTATTCCTAACCCTAACCCTAACCCTAACCGGGAGTAACACAATCTAGGTTGTCGGAACATAGGGGTGTCGGAACATAGAGCAGTCACCGTTGTGTTTGGACAAGTTGGATCTAGACTAGAAAAGAACTGCTATGGAATCTGCTCGTTTGAGATCCTTCAATTTAGGTTTTTCCCTCCGAATTTTATCAATCACTTTAAAGCTGGAAGGGTTAATGACTTAGAGATACAGAAACTACAAACTTACAGCCAGTCTTTGGGTGACAACTTCAACATCTTTCTGAGAAATCTGCTTGGCTGCTTGCAGGTTGGGGACCGCTTTCACAGCAGATCCTGTACAATAGCAAATAATATTAAGGGGGGGGGAATGCATCTATATTTGTCAGTGATCAAAATTCAGTGACTATTCCACAATGCTTCTGGATAATAAATTGGGACATTTAGGGTGTTTTTAATTTCTAATCTGATCCAAAAGTTGTTTTATCTTTAAAAAATAAATTGGAATTTTGCACGATCCATTTCCACTGAAGTGACAGGTTGCAAATAATATTTGCAGTCAACACTTTAGTCCCTGTATCACACAAAACCAACAGGCTTGTACCACTGAAAACTGCTACAGCACTGTATGGTTTTATGACTTCATCAGTCAATGAATACAATGTAATACAATGTGTATTACAATGAAATACAATACAGACACGGTACAGGTTAAAACAGCGAAAAGACAACTCACTAGCAGCAGTCTCGCCTTGTTTCTTGACCCTTATTTTCAGCTCTTTCGGGAGTCGGTTCCAATCTGGAGTCCAGCCGATGGTGTTGTCTGAGTTGTTACTCATTCGATACTTATCAGAATATCTCTCAATATCTGACAAAGATAAAAGTGGTAAGAAAAATTTCGTTTAGAAAACGTTTTTAGTGAAGTGCCAAAATTTGATCATGTTTGCCAATAAAAGTCTGTTAAAAGTTGTTTGTTTGGTTCTTTGTTTACTTGTTTTGTTGTTTATTTTATAACTGGGTTACTAGGCATCAACTTAATTGTTCTTGTGGGCTATTAGGGTAATATTGGTTTACTTGGGTCAACTTTTACCAAATTTACTTGGGGGACCACCATGGGCATCGCCAGAATTTTTTTCTAGAGGGGGGCAAAGCACATTATTTCCAAAAATCATTGTACTTTCTCTAGCATATTCTAAATTTTTTGTATCATTGTACTTTCTCTAGCATATTCTAAATTTTCAATTTTTGGGAGGGGGGAGGGACATTGGCCCCCCCCCCACCCCATTGACACCCCTGCGGATGCCCATGTTGTGAAATGTGCATTAAATTAACAGAAATATGACCATGCAGTTCACACCTTGTCTTTCTTTTTTTTCTTCTTCCTTTTTCTTCTTTTATTTTTTTTTCACTTTCCCGCCTCCGCCCCCCTTGCCCTGTCCTGGCGACGCCCATGTGGTCGACATTGTTATGAAAGGCACTGGGTGCAGGATGCATTGGTAGGTTCTTTTTGGTTATGTTGATTTGCCAAAACATTGCGTCAAAGTTTTCCCGATATGTTTCCTTGTGTATAATACAGTATACAATTCAAAGCTTGTTCAAGCATACATTTCCATTCAAACAAGGTGTCTGATACCTTTCTTTTTGTCTTGAGGTTTGATGTAATAAGGGGAGTCCCTCATTGTGTTTCTGAACTCCTGCTTGAGAAGCAGCAGATAGTCCCATTCATCTCCTGTTGGTAGTGGCACAGGACGGAACTCCAAGGGCTGCAACCAGGGTAAAAAAATTCAGCTGATTAAACATCCAAAGCCAGACAGAGACACTGAAATCATCATTCTTGATCTGTTACATTTTGTAAGTAAACTTGGTTCCACGTTTTCTTCAAATATAGTAAAATAATGTTATTCATGTTTTGTTATACCAAGTAAAACAATTAAACCAGTTCGCATCCCCACCTGCTTGCTCTCCCCCCCCCCTTTTTATTTTAATTTCATACATTTACTATATATTTTGAAAATTTGTCGTCATTATTATATCTGTTTGTATTTCGAACACACTTTAGCTATGTAGGAAGGTTATGGTTTCTTGTAATAATTTGTATAAGCAAAAGAGTCAAGAAAATGGAAGAATCCTTCCACCATCTTGTCTTGTAAAATCCGCCATCTTGGTAGGGGGAAAATGGGCCACCTCCTTTATTTTTTCAAAAAGCCCAGAAGAGACACTTATTTATTTGACTCGGCCTTATCTGCAAAAATGGTCAATAAAATGCAGAATAATGAAAATGAAAATACAATGAAGAAAATTTTATTAACTTTTAAATGGGGCCTAAGCTGCAATGCACAATTAATGAAAACAATATGCCCAAAACAAAAATACAGCCCATATCCCCCGCCCCTCCCCCCCCCCCGCCCCTCCCCCCCCCCGCCCCTCCCCCCCCCCCGAATGAGCCACAAAATACCCCACAAATACCCCCAAAATAAGAGAAGAAATTTTAGACTGAGTGGTTAAGCACCTGTGTATTTCATGTCTGTGCATATTGTTAGGCAAATGTTGCCAGATTCCTTTTGTTTATCGGTCAAATTTGAGAATTATAGGAAACTAGATCTAGATGCCTACTGGAAATAGTGGAGGAGGTTGTGACGTCGTTGGGGGCAGCACATCACCACGGCCCAAGCCCAACACTTCTGCGGTGAAGGCCATCGCACCCCCTCTCCCTCGACCACGACCACGCCCTGCCATTTTGAGAACTCCAACAAGCTCTACAAGCTGCCTACAAAATTTTGAGCATGTTTTCAAACTGAATCAATAGAGGTGAGGAAGGATTATGACTGAGTTTATAACCGCGCGATCATGCAAAATTGCGGTCACATGGGGGCTGCCATCTTGTGTTTGTTACAAATCACGTGCGACAACAAAGAATGACGTAACGTGCAAAAAAATAATATTTGTAAATAATAATATTTTTTTAACAGCTAAGTTTAAAGTCAATAAAATACAAAAATATATATATAAACTTTATTTTTATTTTTTTAATATTCTTTTTAGTTGGCAATGGAAATAAAACAAAGACGATAAAGATTTTAAAAGTAAATTATTTATATCGAGGATGGTTATGTCTTCTCTATTTTCCGACTAATGACCGAAAGCAGAAGCATTTCTTGCAAACGATTTTTGGTTTTTCCTGATATTTGCAGGTAAATGCACCTTCATTTTATCATTGTTTATTTCCAGATATATCAGTGCGTTTCCCCTTTGAAATAAATCAAAAGATGTCGTTCTTCAGCCACGCCATGCACCGTTAACATTTCCTGACACAGCCTTGTTAGTTGTTTTGTCCTTGAGAATGAAAACAAGGATCACTCATTGAGCGCATGATCGATCTGAATGGGTTTTTTGTGTAATCGAACAGGCTACGTGCTATTTTTACATTATGATATATGGCCGTGATGTATATGCTGAAAGAATGTTGCAACCCAACGCTGCTTTTTTCTTCATATATCAATTATCATTTCAATGAATCTGGGACTGAGATTGAGAAACATTTCCAATTTAGTTAGTAGGAAATATTTTTTTGACTCTCCATAGACTTTGTACACAATCGCTGAAGTGGCGTTGTCAGGCCGGTTGCAACATTCTTTCAGTATATGCCAATATGAATTCATGCTGTGTATAACTGCCCAATAGCCGTAGCCGTGTTGCCATTTTAGTTTGTGGCTCCAGAGGGTTTTTTTTTAAAAGAGAAGTAGGCCTAAAGTCCGAAATTTCATTAGGTCTGAATTCCCGCTCCCTGCATACAACATCCCAACGGTAATCCTTACTTTTAGGACGCCTCTATTTTGTACGAGTTCAGTTGAAAACCGACTTTTGCAGATGACTGTCCAGTACCAAAGTGACTTTTGCAGGCTAAAGAAGTCTTTTTTCTTCAGACAAACTCATGTTAGTTATAATTTTGAAAGCACTTTCAAAGAAAATGCGACTTTCCTACCTTTTTTTGCAGTTCGCCATCTTGCTTTTTTAATTTATTTTCTGTTTGTCATTGTTTGTCATCGTCGTCTTTAACCCCTCATAAATCAAAACCCTGCCCTCTTTCTACAAAATCAAACCTGCTGATATTCAAGAGGTGTCATTGCCAAATGTTCAAATGTGTCAATAAATATCAGAATGTCACTTTTGAGTGTCATTTAGTCAGCTGTTTTGGTGAGTCTTTTAACCTTATATAGGAAAGGGGTCCTAAAAGTAAGGATTACCATCCCAACGACATTTAGCGTGGAACCAGACTAGGCAACAAGGCTACGAATAATGCGCAGTCGTGTATATACACTGTCATAATGACTGTCCGCTCGAAATGTCAGCCACTTCATGACTTCAAGTTCAACTTTCAACTGGTTAAACCATTTAGTAATCTCTCTGCCTTCATCAATAAACAATGTAAAAAAAATGTTGCAATCTGACACCACTTTTTTCTTCATATATCATCTCAATGATGGTCATTTATTGCAAAAATGATGATAAGGCATGAATCTGGGACTGAGAAATATTTCAAATTCTGTCAGGAAATACTTCAAAAAAATTCTTGACTCTCGAGCTCTCCATAGACTTTGTACACCGTCGCAGAAGTGGCGTCAGATTGTAAACATTTTTCCCACAATGCCATGATTGTGTGATGTATGCATTTGTATTTGGGCAATTATGTAGTTACGGGTCCTTCTTTAGTCAGTGTTAGTTTGGGTCAAATTAGAGTCATACATTTTTTTTATCATTCCAAAATGACTTTTTTAACCTGAAGCAGACTTTCCTTAATTCTAATGACACATTTTTTGTAAATGTAAACAGTTTCTTGTGGTGGAAAGTACAATATTTGTAAGCGTTTCACAGTTGGTGCGATGCGAATCAGTGCAGTTTTCGGGGACCGCCATGTTCGTATTGGGTTTTGTCTTCGTTGTCATTTTATCCCCAAAGTTCCCTCAAAAATTAGAAACCCTGCCGTGTATCTGTGCCTGATGGTTCTTGATGTCACCAACTAGTTTTGATAGTCAAATAACTTAGAAATGGATTTTGTTCTAGGAGAAGGACCCTACACAACACATGGCAATGCCATCATTGTGTGACGTGTGAATTGTTATTTAAGATTACAATTTGTTGCAGGCCTTTCCATTGTTTCTATCCAGGCATGGGGAAAATATCCCAAAGTTTGAGTAAACAATTTTTGGACAAAGGAAGTCGTCAACTTTCTTGATCAAATTTATTTTTTCACACCACAGGTTGGTCAGGAGGCTCGCTGCAATCTTGTATGGAGAATAGATCCCTTAGGCATCCAAGACTGACGTTAACAGGCATCATTTTACAACACGAGAGGTAGCCAACACGACCATCATGCCGCCTAGTTTACGCTGTAATCTGACCCCAGTCAGGCAGATTCTGTGCCGAGGGAACAACCCAGCTAAAGCATCACGTGGTGTACCATGTGAGTAGTCCCCTTGTTTCAGATTCTTTCAAAAATATAAGAGTGAAATTCTTTAACCCTAACCACCCCAACCCTTCAAAATCCAACTCAACTGCATGTTTTGGTGGAATCTGTTGGAGTGAGTACTGCACTAAACTGATTATGCTTTACAGGGGGTTAGGCATACCACCATGATCAGAGTCCAATAGTTTGGGTGTTGTTTTTACCATATGGTGTTGGATTTTGCAAGAGTTAGGAAGGTTCCCACGTTGTAGTAAATCACCGAAGGAGTTAGGGATAATATGGGTGTCTGCTGTTTGTAGCACTAAAGGACTAATGGAAAAAACAAGAAAAGGAACACCTTTTAGTATGATATCACCAAAAGATTTCCTGAAATTAAAGAGATTCTTTCTTATTGGTTTGTATGTTGATTGAAGGGAGGCGTTACCCGTTTATAGCTCATTCAAGGATCATTCCAGGTATTTAAGGCTGAAAATTTGCTAAATCAAATAAGTTCAGTAGCAATCAGTTAGCTGAAGTGGGTTGTTGGTATTTTAGTACATGAAAAAATCGAAGTGTTTTGAGGGTTTGGGCTGATCAAAACGTTTCGTGTCCTGTGATCGTCTTTATCAATGTTGCTTCACACAGGTATCCATGGTTACAGTGCACGACCACTAGCATCCGTCACCCAACTCCCTCAACCGTCCACGCCCGCAAACATTAGCCTCATTCTCAGTCGGGGTCTAGCCTTCTCACACTCCCTCAACGCCAGCACAACAGACGGCTCATCCAAAGGGGACGGAGTCAGTGGACGGAAATCCAGAGGGAGTAGCGCCAGTGGAAGTAACAGTGGAGGGAGTAGCAGCGATGGAGGGAATGGCTCCTCTAACCAACTGTGCTGCCCCAAGTGTGGGGACCCGTGTACACACGTTGAGACATTTGTCTGTGAGTAGACTAACCCGTCTAGATCCAATATGTGGTGTCGGAACATTTTGATGGACATGAGTCTGTATTGCACAGACACTGTGACTGGACAATGTTTACATGGTGGTTGATTTACCAGTTTTGTTCAGTTCAAAGAATTTAAAATTTGGTTTGGGGACAGATAACAAGATTTTGGAAAATTCCAAGTAAAGACACGGTATGAATAAGGGTGAACAAAGCAGTTCCTATATTACTGAAGATTTTAAAATGCTATAAACAGGGTTTGAAATGAAGAAATACACTTGAATAGAGAAATTGACTTGGGAGGGGGGTTTTGAACCTTCAACCTCCAGAAAAGTACACCAGTGCTCTACTAACTGTGCTATCCAGCCCTTTGTTGGTGGTTCCCCATTTTGTCAATATCTTTGTTCAAGGGGCGCTAGTCAGAAGCCATAAACCTGTATATGCCATGTAGCTAGCAACTTTTATAATTTGCAAAGTTTACTGTTTTCAAACATCTTCTAAAATGTGTTCTATTGCAGCTTCCACAAGGTTCGTAAAGTGTGAGAAATGTCATCACTTCTTTGTGGTCCTGTCAGAAACAGACAGTAAAAAGAGTCTAAAAGAGACGCTACCACCCAAGCCAGAAAGACCTCCACCTCCGCCTCCTAAAAAGGTACCTTGCTGCATACATTTTGTTGTACGGATACTGTTTTATTCCTTATTACTAAATCTTCCAAGGAAACACAAAACTTTAAGATTTGTTTCTCGCCATTGCCACTATTGAAGCATATTCAAAAGCAGCTTGTCCTCTTTGCTTGCCTTAAAAAAACACTACCTGTTTAATACTGGCCTCAGATTCGCACTGAATTTTTTTTTTTCAATTGATGTTTAAAACAGTTATGACCTACTTGTGAAAGTCATCAAATAGTCATTTTGCAGTCGGTTGGAATGACTCCCGAGTCTATTCAATGAAAATTTAATACACAAGGTTTGCCTGTCTGAAACCAAAAGCTATTTAAGTTATCCTGAGTCCTTTTTGTTACCTTTTGGTTTGGTGCGACAGTCACGCCACAGTGAAGAGGGGTATGTGTCTTTTTACGCCAAACCTCCTCAAAATCAGTTGCACTCTGTAAACAGAGGCAGGGTTTGACTTTAGCGGTAGCCCGCTAGCCAAATGCTAGTCAAAACAGCGTCGGGCTAGTCAAACTATTCCTTAAATAGCCTCGCTTGCAATCAAAAGTTATTGGGATACGGCAAAGATGAAAGGACAGGAAAATATAAATCATTAAATTCTGAAAGCAAGCCTGTATCAATTTGTGCCTTATTGTATTAACTGTTAAGGGTTAAATTATTAGATCTGTTTATTTGACAAGATTGCCTCAGGATACACGTTTTATTATGCACATTGTTGTCTATGAGACACACTATAAAAGAAAAACATGCGGGCTAGTGAAAATGCGTGCGGGCTAGTTAAGAGTCTGTTTCAGTAGCCCGGCTGGCTAGTGAAAGAAAAAGTTAAGGTCAAACCCTGAAAGAGGTGATTCGGTCTTTGGATTATCCATTTGTTTGTACTGTTCATCGATGATAACTGTGACGTGTCACCACAATATGAGCTTAAAGTCAGAAATTGTCATTTTGCAGTACAGTGGGGCAAAGCCAAAATTTGAATGGGTGGCCAATTTTTTTGTTTTCAGGTGAATCTCAGTCTGCAAGTCCTGTTTTACCTTTCTCAATTTCTTTTGTTATGTCAAACATCTGTTAATCCTATTTTCATCCCCTTTTATTAGTTGACTGTTATTCACTGTAACACAACGCCAGGATTTTTAAATGCCATTTTCTCAAAAATTTGTTTTACAACTTCAAGTACTGTAAGCTGGTGATCTATAATTCCGTTACTAAACTCATTACCCCTAAATGTTATATACTATCGGAAAGCTCTTGTTCTGCAGAATCCAGATACATAAATATCTCAATTCTTAAAAATGTCAGACTTTTAGCCCATTTTGTGATGACAGGCCATACTTGTTCTGATTGCTTCTCCCGTTTACTGATTCAAATTATATCAATTCTCCCTTTGCAGATCTTTGATTTTCTGGATAGACATGTCATAGGCCAGGAAGAAGCTAAGAAGGTGCTGTCAGTTGCCGTGTATAATCACTACAAGCGAATCTACAACAACATTCCTGTATCCACGGGCAAGAACCAGATGGACGGCGCTGAATCAAAGAGTCCAGCATTCACTCCAAGAGGTAACTTTATCAACAATTTGCCCAAAATACCCTCCCTTGCTAGAAGCAGCCTATTCCAGATTGTGTCCACACTTAAGTGTCCGTCTTTACTCAGCAAGAGGTTCTGGCTTTGAGGCCCCCCCCCCCAAGCTTGTAAAGTTTTCTTAACTCAAACTCTTGAAAAGCACTGAAAACACACAGCGTATCACACTAAAGAGTAAAGTTCATTTTAAAATCAACATCAGAACAAAAAAAACAGTTAAATGAGTGTTATTGACTGGTTCTTTTACCATGGCTTACACCCAATTCAATCTTGAATCCCAGAGTCTTGACTCGGGTCGATTCAAACAGAATTTGTTTTCAGACGAGTGAACTTTATGAAGTCATTTTTTTTCCCATTGGCCAGACTACAGCAGTAGATCTTTTGACGTAGTCATTCCTAAAGTTTCTGTGAAACTTTGAATTGTTCATGTACTCAATTCTTCGGTATAACTGGATGTAGTGTGACCATAGAGTTCCAGTTTGAAACTGATGGCAGAGTGTCTTCAGTAAGCAAGCAGCTTTTTGTTTGAGCCCCAATGTGAACTTGTGTAAAGTCAACATTACCACAAATTCCTGTGATTGTTCTTAATCATTGGCTGAATAAGTCAAACTTAAATCTTGTGAAGTTTTCTTTTTTTTGGACAGCTCTTGGAAACACAACATTTCATGATCATGATTAATTTTTGTACAGAAAGAAAACATTTATGATTGTTCACTGTCTTTTCGCTTCATCTCCGTAATGACTTACGAACCCCCAAATGTTCTTCCTTTATAGAGCTGCTTCAGATAGCAGGCATTAGCAGTCAAGGCAGTGCTCTCGGTGCCTCATCCCTGCAGCAGCAACAGCAGTCCACACAGGGTAACGAGACAGAGCGACAGCTACGAGGCAGCGGCTTGCTGGATTCACAACATCATGAACTACGACTAGAGAAGAGTAACATTCTACTGCTAGGACCGACAGGATCAGGTGAGGAGAGTTTTCATTGACTGTACACTCAATAGTAATAATTCAAAACGAAATTGACACTGAAGTGCCATTTCTTTCAATTGTTTGCATTCAAGTGCATTTCGATAATAGGAAAACAATAGACAACTGACAGTTGGAAATATTTTGTAGTCCATGCCCTATGTTTGAGTAAATCCATTAACATTTGCATTAGTTTGAGTAAATCCATTAACTTTTCATTACATTGTTTTAATTCCCTGGTGAATCCATAAAAACCACCCATTTCTGCAGCAATTTTGAGCATTATGAGCTCCGTGCGTGGCCAAGGTAGGGCGCAATTTGCATAGCCTGCTTTGGGGGGCGTGCACTTCGCTGGTTCACGCCCGCATTGCATGCACAGTGTGTGCATCGCGGTAGCTGTATGGTCATGAAGCAAGATGGCGCCTGATTGAAACCTATTTAACGGCTCCCCAAAAGCCTCTCTCTTTTGAACTGGTGAGGGGGTACGTCTATACGTAGCTGATAGGAAGTAGCAGACAGGGCAGTTTGGGGGTACAGAAACTGACTTCTGAGAACTAATTATTGTTGAAATAGAGTTGACCAGACCATGCTGTTACAAATAGAAGCATATATAAATTCACAGGGTGCTCCCAGAAAACCCAATATCTAGTACAGAAGAACAGCTATCTCAAGTAAGCATAACAGCAGTGATTTGGCTGTCCGCCAATGCAGCTGTTATCGTCCACCTGTTTGTGTTCATCCACCTGTTGTTTACAATCCACTTTGTAATCCATTTGTGTCTATTCGCAGGTAAAACCCTGATCGCCCAGACCATAGCACATTGCCTGGATGTCCCCTTTGCCATCTGTGATTGTACCACGCTAACCCAGGCTGGCTACGTAGGAGAAGACATTGAATCAGTCATTGCTAAACTTCTGAGTGATGCCAACTTCAACGTGGAGAAGGCTCAACAAGGTAAAAAAAAAATCCAACCTCTTCCTCAAAAACAAAATCTTTAGAACCTTTCAAATCCACCAGGTAGTTGTAGGAAATTTTGCAGGATTAAGGAAAAGTAGAGACTGCCACTGTTACTTTGCATGCGGTTTGGTGCCCCGTGAAAGTTAAAAAGATTGAGTAAGAAGAATTTGCCGTAGGTTTCATGTATTGAAGAGGATTTCAAGGATGTGAAGTTTCAAGAGTCGGGATAACCCTGACCTTCCTCAATCCTCCAAAGTAGTTTTGGAGAATTTTGGAGAATTTTGGAGGATTGATGATAAATGCAACACACAATTTTGGAGGATTGTGGAGGATTGAGGGCATGTGGACATTCAGTATCGGTTGATTTTGGAGGATTGAGGATGAATGATGTTTGAAGAAGAGGAGGATTTTGGAGGATTGGGGATGAATGATGTTTGAAGAAGAGGAGGATTTTGGAGGATTGGGGCTGAATCTATTTTGAGAGGATGGGCTGTTGGAGGATTTTGAAGGATTGAGGCAGTGGGTATCCTTCATTTGAACATAAGTGCAAAATTTTGGAGGATTTTGGAGGATTGAAGATGGTTCCTAGCAAAAAGGGCCCAGGGAGTTAGGGTTAAAGGGTAATGCTGCACACAATTTCACTGCCTGGGTCTCTTTACCAGCCAACAACTACACTATGTCATAAATGACGACGAGTTAATAAGTGAGTCAGTCTGTGTGTTGGGTACAAAGAATACACTAGGCTGACCCTCGGCGACCAGCACAAATCTCCTGTCAACCCATCATTTGTTGCCTCTAACCCCACAGGTATCATCTTCTTGGACGAGGTGGACAAGATTGGCTCGGTACCAGGCATCCATCAGCTCCGTGACGTCGGAGGCGAAGGCGTCCAACAAGGCTTACTCAAGATGCTGGAAGGCACGGTGGTCAGTGTGCCTGAACGGAGCTCACGCAAGCTACGTGGAGAAAGCGTGCCGGTTGACACCACTAACATACTGTTTGTAGCTTCTGGAGCGTTCAATGGCTTGGATAGGATCATCAGCAGAAGAAAGCAGGAAAAGGTGGGAAATTAGTTTCTTTATTTATTTCATTAATAGGCTCCTGTTAATGTCTTTTCATTTCTCAGAATGCCTCATGTCAATAAAGTTGCCAGCGTATTGTAAGAATGAGTGGAAAAAAGGAGTTGGTAGAAACTTGTCTACAGTCAAGCAACGATCGAAAAATGTTTATAAGTTGACTGGATTTGAGTTTTTCTTTATAACTTGACCAAGTCTCATTTTAACCTTCTAGAACAGAAGTTTGTTTTGTAGAGATTTTTTATTTCAATACAGCACTTTAAAATGGTTTGTGATGTTGAAAGGGCCCATGTAATGTAATTTTGAATCCAATCCTTGAAAATGCACCTTTGTGTCCCATTTAACCTTATTTTCTATTTTCATTCTGCCATGTTTAGGGTATTTTTGTGCCTTTTTGGTTTTTGTGCTAATATAAATTTCCATATTCAAGAGCAAAAGTGTGATGTCATTTTAGGCAGAAACCTTAATGTTACAGATATCAGCACCAAAAGTTGCCAGCATTTTGGAAATTTGCTGTCGTAATTTTCTTTTCTTTGGTGATTCGTCGCAGAACATGGCAGTAAGCCAAAAAAATTAACTTTCTAACAAATGTTTGAATAGAAAACCCCTAAACTGATCAGTGTCTTCCTAAAATGACATCACAGCAACAAAGCCCTTAGTTGTCAGAAAAAAGCACTGAACATTTTAAATGTTTAAAAAGTGCCTTTTTCAAGTAAATTAACCAAAAAGGGATGTCAAATAGTGTTCATACATTTAATAGGAGTAGAAAGATGAACAAAATATGTTCCTAAAATAAAATTCATGTCTTGGACCCTTTAAATTTCTTCACTGTGTCCTACATGTACTTAATTTCCACACAAAGTGTTTTGATTTGAGAAAGGTTAATCTTATTTTCACATATGTGGTGCGATCAAGCTACATGAGTCGTTTGTCGACCCTGGTCAAAAAAAAATTTATTACAGATTTGAAAAGGGCACAGTCTCAGCATTACTGCTGTGAAAACTGCATGCTGGAACCATCTTTAGTTCGAACATTATGGAAGTCGGAACACCAAGAGATGCAATGAAGTGATGTGATGAAGTGGTCCTATTTTGGCCTGTATCTCCAAATAAAAAATCCTGACAAACGACTCATTTAGCTTGATCGCATCACATATATTGTTTCTGTGAGGCTACAAGTTGAGTGAAGTCTGTACATTTTGTTTTAACTCTGTCTCAGTACCTTGGTTTTGGAGCCCCTGCCAATGTCAGCGAGGGGCGACGAGCAGCGACCAACGCCGACCTCTCAAACCAATCAGCTCTCTCCGATACCAAAGTGGACAATGATGAAAAGGACGCCCTCTTGAGGCAGGTGGAGTCCAGGGACATGATTGAGTTTGGCATGATACCGGAGTTTGTCGGACGCTTCCCCATCAACATCAGCCTGACGTCGTTGGACGAGGCTATGCTACTCAGAATACTCCGAGAACCTCGCAACGCCATTGTGCCTCAGTTTGAAATGCTGTTCAAGATGGATAACGTAAGTGGCCTTGCAAGATTCTTTGCTGAACTTAATGAGCAGATGTGATCAGAGGCCAAGATTGAGTTCATGTGCACAGAAATTTGCCACAAAATATTTGCTGAACAAGAACAGTGACCAACCAAAATGCTGTGCAATCATTGCAATGTTTATTCCTTATGATTGTTTTTGTATTATGATCTGTTTAGCAAATTTGCATTCATTATGCTCCATGTCGTTGGTTAAGTTTCAGAGGGTGAGGTAAACTTTCTTTCATTGGTAATTAGGTCTCAGCATTAAGAATGAAACAGTCAGGCTCCTTAGTCCTTTCTTCTAAACTCCAACTCTCACCATGTTTGCTCCTTGTGTAACACGGTTTATTTCGGGGTTTGTTTAAGATGACAAGATGGTTAAGTTGATCGGTTGCTGCCTTTTCTTTTGATAGTGTACACTGAACATCACTGAAGATGCTCTGTCTGCCATCGCTAAGATGGCTCTGGAGAGGAAGACTGGAGCACGTGGTCTTCGCTCCATCATGGTAAGCCATTCTTCCATCAGAGTGTTAGAACTGAATACTGAGCAAGCATAATGTGATATTAATATCATTATTAACTCTCCACAAATAACGTGTTCTTAAGAAAACCACCATTAACCCTGCTTTCCTTTGATCAGTCACAGACAGTCAAAAAGTCAATCCTGTTCCCCTGCCTGGCCTTTTACACAGGCTATTCACCAACAGTCAAGATCATATTTCTTGTAGGCACTGTGACAATCAAATTCCATCAACAGACAAAAGCAGGTGACTGGTAGGCACAGCTGGCTTATCAGTCTCCCGCAGTCAAAGCATAGCTATATCAGGTTTCATAACAGCCACAGCCAGTCAATCCGGCTTTATGAAGGCAGGGAGCACTCAGCTGTTAAAAACAGTCACTTGGTTTATTTTGACTGCTGGGCTGGCCTTGTTGAAATTGCCAGCCAGAGAGGGTTAAGGAGAAGATAAAAAGTGCAGAATGGAAGAGAAGGAAACTAATCTTTCCTTGCTCCAACATTTTCAGTCTCACCAATGACACATAAGGAAAGCACAATTTAAGGTACTTGACAAGGATTTGAAATTTGGATAACTAGAAGAATTTCTCAAAATGTTGTTTTTTAATGATTCTCTTATTGCAGGAAAAGATCTTATTAGAGCCAATGTTTGCTGTTCCTGGATCTGATATCGAAGAGGTGACAATTGATGCAGAAGTTGTGAAAGGAGATAAACCTCCGGTATACACCAGAAGACCCATGGATTCGGATGAACGGCAGGAAGCCATGAACTATTAAGTATCAAGCTCTGTGATTGGCTCATGAACCAATGTCATATAAAACAGAAACTTTCATTGGTCCATTTTAAATGTAAAGATACTTCTTATTGGTGAATCCAGCAGAATTTACTACATGGCTTGAAACTGAGGGAGCAATCTGAATATTTTTAAGAACAATTCTGATTGGTCCATCAGTTTGAAAGCTTTACTCTGATTGGTAGACTCAAATTGTAAATTGCTGTAATGGATAATCATCCAGGGGAACTATTTTCCTAACCTAGTTCTGTAGGTTTGTAACACTAATTTAAGTATTTTTTAGTAGTCTCTGTCAAAACATGGTATTGAAAAATCTTTTCTCTGATCTTCAAAGTTGTGTACTTCACATTTAAATTAAAATTAAATCAAAACTATTTTATTATTCTGTACCTCAAACAAAAAAATAGCATTTTATTGGAATTTTTTGTAAAATATTGTAAGAAAAGCATGAAGGGGATTTGTCTGACTAAACAGTGCTTTAGAGAAAGTGGATTACTTTCTCAAATTAAGCTTGGACTGTGGTTTAGTTTTAAAGTATTTAACTAAATAGGTTCACAATTTGTCAGATTGTTAAATCAAATTACACTTGATCAAAGGTTTATTTTAATTGTGTAGAAAGTAAAGCACGAAAAAGGAATCAATCAAGTGTGCCTAAAATTAATTTCCTTGGGAATATGTTTGATCAGTTTCATAAGCGACAGGTAGACGTTGTGTTAATAATTATCAGTGGGATTGGTCAGTTGTGTTACCCAGCTACTTATGTACATTGTGTGGTGTTTGTATTTTGAAAAAACACTCGACAGTTTTTTAGTTGATATTGTGTTCATTTGTGTTGAAAGTGCACTTTGTACACCGAAACGATTTGGATGACGCTATTTACATGTTCAGAAAAGAAATTCTTGTTCATTTTTTTTTCCTGTCGAATTCTGTCACGAATTTGGCCCTTGGTGATGGGTTACTTCAGGTATCTTTTTACAAAACCTGTATGGAAATATTAACCAATACCTTGCATATTTATTCTATATTGAAAATTGCAATTGAAACATTTAGTCTCTTCAGGCAGCCAAAGCCAGATTAATTTTTTACTACCAGTTTTATTGCATTATACAAGTGCTTGTTTAAAAATCCTTAGTTTAATTATTTCTTTGAAAAAAGTTCTCTGGTTTTTACATATGCTATTCCGTTTGAAGTCAGAAAAATTGCATGCGGTTTCACTAACTCTGGTGTTGGAGTTTAGTATGAGCAACAAACTTGACATTATATACGATTTGAGGCTTTGCATGGTGGGGTATCGGTATCGTTTCGGTTTGCGGTAACACCATGTGGTAATAACTACTGCTTAGAAGATTTTGACATTGTAAAACTGTTATTGGCTTATGAAGCTTAACTTCTTTCAAATGTGATGTATGTTACAGGAATGAAGAAAATTCAAGAAAATAATAAACTTAATAATATTATTTTGCTGTCCTGGTAAGGGTTAATGCGCTTAATTTGAAACATCTTTTTCCGTGAAAGATTCTTTTTAGTTTTTTTTTTTCTCAAATAAAGGAACAAATATTGTATATATACAAATTAAAATTGTGTGTACTTATGTCATTTTCTTAATTTATGTATGATTCTAGCCCGCAGGACAGAGAGAATATCCAATTTAAAGTTAACAAATTCAACCATATCTTTTAAAGGGGAATTACTTCCACATAAATAACTGAATATTTCTTAATACAACACCAACTTTTGTTGTTTTATTTCGATTTTATTCTTCAATGCTATGCATTAACAGCATGCATAAAACTGAATCTATTCTCTCAAAATACATTCAATGCAACCAAAATATATATATACACTTTATTTACTAAACGTTAGGAATACAGAAGTCATCGAAGAAAATAACTTGAACGGTTATTTGTTAATATTTCAACAGTTGAATTTGAAATCTATTATGCGTAAGCATGGAAGTTCGTAGGAATTAGAATAAATATATTTACAAAAGGTCAAATTCTCTTCTAGAATATCAGCCAATGAGTGCTAGTATCTATCATACATATTCATGACCTAAAAAGGGTCAACTTTTTGTCAGGAATGAAATCAGCCAATGACTACTAAGTATCTGTATCTCATACATATTCATGACCCAGCTATTCATGTACACTGCATAGCAGACGCTCTGTCTAATCAATTGACCGAAGTTGAAACAATTTTCAAAGTGAAATTGAAAATTTAATCAACTGTGCTTTGCAAACAGCATGTTTGTCTCATAAATAAGAAAGATAACTTGTTTTCGTCAGTCCTCCGAGTTAAGATTATATTTTTTGTGAATATTAGAAAAATTAAAATAAAAGATGTAATTCCAAATGTTTGAATACATTTCTAGACAATTAAAAAAAATAGTGAATACACGTACAATTACTGACCTCAAAAGGATTTCAGTCAGCATTTCAAATAATTTAAGGAAGAATAATAACAAGGTGGTCAAATTTGAGACAATTGCAAGAAAATAAATTTCAACTATTTAACTGAATACTTATAACACTGAATTTGCAAGTGAATTGACTGGTGGATATGAGAAAAGCACACAGCATATTATTGTTCAATAAAACAGCAAATGTTTTGTGTAATCTCCATTGGCCATGATTCAAAACATTTTGTGCATATTTTTGAGGTAGAAAAGACTATCTGAATAAGTTGAAAGTGGATCAAAAATAACAGCGGTGGAAAAACATCTTTTGCATACTGTGAATTTGGTTCCAAATTTGGAAATGGCTACAACAAATGAATATATTATAAATATCCACATTTCACATGTGAACAAAATTAAAATAATGCATTTAATTTATAATCTTTACGTTCTGGTGGTCAAACTTTGAAATACGACTTTAATTTTCTTTGTTCACAGAAACTTATTAAAATCTACAATAATCTGCGTATTTGGTTAATCAGGCAGTGATATGTTATAAACATAATGGAAAACTGCTTTTTGCACAAACAGTGCAAGTTAAATTGTTCGTTTGTTCTTAAGTGGAAAAATAATAAATATCTGTACAATAATTTTATATAAGCACCCTTTTCTACAAGTTGACGAAATACTTGCGTGCTAAATTTATTTGACATACTGTCCAAGTGCGTCATTCAAAATGCAAAAACTAAACTTGATCTCATATAGTTTGATACAAATGCATTCCTTCTCTATTTTTGTTGTGAAAAGGAAGATGAAATTGCTCTCAATTAATTGATAGGCACCTTGTCTTATTCTAAACTTGTAACGATATTGCTTAGAGACAGTGTGGTAGTCCAGGAAATAATAATGATAATAATAATACTTACATCGGATTGGACATAGACTTGTGCACACAATTTTTCAAACTTAAAAATGCCCTAACCCAATATTCCCTTGTCCTTTTTCCACGAATTTCGGTATGTTTACTAATTAGACCACAAGCAACAAATATAACCAAATTGCGACCTTAAAATTGTGCCTCTAAAGGGGGGCTGTGACATTAGGGAGAAATGAAAATGTCTCCCTAATGACCGATGTCTCCCATCCTGCGAAGAAATTATGATAACATGTCTTCTTAATGGCACCATTACACGCATAAATTTTGAGGGCTAATCGTCCTTACTCGCAGCAGAAGCTGAATTGTGAAGGACGCAGCTACAACGTCATCGAGCCGAAGGCATGTAAAGGTGCCTAAGGCAGCCGCAATACGACCCATGTCTTACCACAGAGCACAGTGTTGATTTTTAAATAGGGAGGAAACCAGAAAACCCACAGAAAAATCCTTGTGGCACAGGAGACAATCAACGTACAACTCTACTCACATATGAGCCCAGCCGGGAATCGAACCAAGGCCACAGTAGTGAGAGGCGAGCGCTTTAAGAACTGCGCCACCCATGCCACCATTTGATAGATCGCAAGTCCAGTCACAAATAACAGGGTATGAACAGTAACAAAGGAAATGTCACATTACATTTTAATAGTTTCTGAGTTGACATGAGACTGGATAATTTGTGATCCCTTTGACCCATCCCAGGTCCCCCAACTACCACACTGCTTAGAGACCTCTTAACATCATCTTAATTGTTCACTGAATTTATTGGATGGAAGCATTTGGGTTACCAGTGATGCTGCTACTGGCTAATACTGAAGCCAGGTACCAGGCCTTCGTACATGTAGTCTAGCACCTTGGGTTTGACGCCGTCTTGTCAGACAAATTCCTCGCCTCGTCGTATCTTGGATATCTTCACCAAAGAGTCGTGAACCTTGGGATGCAAGTCATCCTGCCAAGAGAGACATCAGGAAATTTGTTTTAATGAAAATGATTAGTTGGGTCTACTAACCGAGAGAGTCGTAGTTTCCTGGACATTCTTGAGACGTTCTGGTCAAATGAGACAGAACTTGGCAGAGGTCGAAATGAGGGTTTGCAGGAATTGGGAAAGAGAATAACATTCTCCTCATAATACTGTTCGAGGCAATTCAAACAGACAATCCGTTGACAAGTTATGGCTGTTAGAGTTCGTACTTATTGACATATGAATAAAATCAAATTCCGAGAAAAGGCCTTCAAAGTTGTAACTGTTTCGTAGTCGTGAAAATGAGAGATGCCATTTGTTTCTCTTCAAAAAACTTTCATTGTACAATTTTTATGCGACTTTTTAAAAATGTGTAGACATATCAAAGGTTACAAATATCAATAAATCTGAATTTCTTTCATTACTAAATCTGACAATAAAAAGAAGAATCACTATGGCCTGTGCCCAGTTCTGTCTCATTTTGCCAGAAAACCTCACATTTGTGCTAAATGAAGCTAAAAGAATCCCTCAAAATCCATGTTCTTTGTTTTGTTTTTAACTTTGAAGAGCATCACTTCTCATCACTTCTATGTAAAGTATTAGCAGAGGCCCAACAATCCTCAATCCTGCAAAAGCCTTCCCAATTTCCAGCATTTTACAACATGGATAGCTATGGTTCTCACAGATCAAGTCAAGTACTACAAACCATCTACTAAAAAAATCGGAAGAATTCAAAATCCTTTTTATAACTGTTGATGAACAAAGCAATTCCATGCCTACCTGTATAGCATTCAGCAAGTGCGCTCTGTACACAGATACGATCTTCTTGTACTTCTCCTCGGCCTCTTGCAATTTTTGCTGTAATCTGATGACCTCTTTCAGGTCACTGACCCTTGACCCTGCTCCACTGTCCACTCCTGGCCCCTGCACCTGAGCCTTCAGTTTCCTGTTCTCCGTCAGGAGTTCCGTGTAGCGTTTCTTGCTGAACCCTACCGACGCTGGCAGCTGGCTCTCAAACGTCTCGGCTTGTTCTTGGATTGTCCTCCGTAGTTGTTGATTCTCGGCGACCAGCTCAGCGAACCTCTTGGCTTCATCTTCTCTCCGACTTTCCTCCCTCTCCAATCTCTCAATCTTATCTTTGAGCTTCTTGTTTTCCACCGGCAGGTCACTCGTGTCGTTTCCCCCGTAGCCTCTCTGTTGCGATTTTCGTAATTCCCGTCTGAGTTCAATCATCTCGTCGTCTTGTTTCCTGATCTCATCCTGAAGACGCCAGTTCTCTTTGGTTAGGTGATCATACCGGTCCTTGTCTGGGCTGCTGGCAAGGTTAGCTTCTTGGGTCTTCACGCTCTGTCTCAATCTGTGATTCTCCTCGATGAGATCATCGTATTTATCCTTGTCAACGCCCTCGCCGATTCCGTTCACCTGACTCTGGGACCCCGCCTCGAGCTTATCCCGTTCCGCAAGGAGCTCTGCGTATTTCTGTTTCTCCCGTCTGGCCCGTTCGTTCAGTTGCGCGATTGCTTTAGACTGCTTGGCCACCATGTTCTCCAGTCGCGCCTTCTCGGTAAGCACAGCTTCGTATTCCTCCGCCGTAGTGCCCAGTCCATTCTGGGACTTTTCACTCAAGGTGCCCTGCAGCTGTTTATTCTGGGCAGTCAGTTCCGCGCATTTCGTCTTCAGCTTTCCGAACTCCTCCGCTTGCTCGGCGAGAACCATGGTGTGTTTGGTCACGGTCTCACCCAAGTCTTGCTTCTCTTGTAAGAGGTCGTCATACTGTCTCTGGAGGGCGCTGTTCGGAGTGCGAGTGGGCGTCTTTCGGCCGTCCTGCATCACTTTTCTTTTCAGCCTTTCATTCTCATCGGTGGAAAACGCCAGCTGTCAAAGGACAAAGTTTTATCATTTTATGCCTGAACGGATTAATTTATGGCTTTTTTTTTTAGGCGAAAGCAACGATTCAAGACTCGTTCATACTTAACGTGAATGCAAAGGCAGAGCAAAATTTTAATTTGTGATCATGAATTGTTCACAGGAAAATTCACTGGAGATAAAATGGCTCAAATATTGCAAATTTGCACAGATGACAAAAGTGGGACAAAAGTGTATTTGTGTTTGCTTTCAGACTAAGTTGAACCAGTCTTCAGAGGAAGTTTAATGTATTTTTTGAAAATTTGTAATCAAAAGCCATATCCTCTCTCTTAGTGATCCCTAGCGTTGCTAGTATCGTGACTTCAGGAGTGATCCCTGCCTACATGGCATATACGGGTTTATGGCTTTTGACTAGCGCCCCTTGAATAAAAACACTAACAAAATGGGGAACCGCCAACATAGGCCAGGATTGCTCAGTTGGTAGAGCACCTGTACTGTAATCCAGAGGTCGCAGGTTCAAACCCCGCTCCAGTCAATTTCTTTGTTCAACTTAAAAAAAAAAAAATTTTTAAAGTAATTCCAAATCAGTTTAATTTTCTCCCACTCACCCTCTGTGACATGTTAGCAATCTCATCCATCAAGATGTTGTTGTTCTTCTGGAGTTCTGCCAACTCCAGCCTGTTCGCTTCCTTCAGTTCCTTGTATTCATCCACACCGACCACATCACGCCCATTCACAGCATCGAATTCCTCCCTCATGGAAGATAGTTCCTCTTCTAACTGGGCGACTCGGCTGTCGTCCAATTCCGTAGATGTGTTGGCGACACTCTAAGATAGGAAATAAGAAAACTTAGGTGAACATTTCACATGCAAGTGATGGGTATACTCAAAAATCTAAAATGAGATTACAAGAAATTGCTAACCAGATAATGGACAGGCTTAATAATGAGGTTGTGGAATGCTGAAAGTCGTTTTGTTTTTTTATATTTTTTTATTGTAGAGTAGACCCATATATATATATCATAATGACAAACTCCCATTCTTTTGTAATGTGCGTTTATATGTTTATAAAACTGAAATTCATCGAGTAATTTGTTGGTCGGCGAGCGCATAATTGAAATCAACAGTCGTCGGGTTCTTTGTAAAATCAGAAAAACTGTGACGTAATAAACAGGACTCGTTTATACTACGCTGCATAGGGAGTCCTGTTTATTACGTCACGATTTACTATGTTTTGTATGCTGCCCCCAATGACGACTTTTACACAAATTGCACGTTCGGGTCGAAATAGGACCTAAAAAACAGCTCTCAAAAGTACCTTTTGTATTCATTTCATGACAGAAACAATAGTCGTTTTTATTTCATTACACCTTAGGCTACATATACCCGAAAAATGACGGAAATGTCTCCGAGCATTCCACAGCCTCTTTAAAGACATAAAGGAGAAAATGCAACTAAATCATGATCAAGATACACAAAGGCTGCACATTGGTCTTTCTACAAATTTGGGATCCACTTTCTTTCCTGTCCCCGTTACATCTGATATCTATGATTTTATAATTCTGGATGTACTCCTAAACCCTCCTGCTATTTAAACAGTCACAGACAGTCAAATTTCCATCCACTTCCCCTGCTATACTTTTAACACGGGCTAGTCACCAGCAGTCAGATCGTGTATCAAACAAGCACTGTGACTAGTCAAACTCAGTCAACGACAAACTATGAACAGACAAAGCAGGCAAGTTGTAGTCACAGCTGGCTGATCAATCACCCGGAGTCAAAGCATAGCTGTATCAAGTTACTTTAAACAGTCACAGCCAGTCAATACTGCTTTACGTAGGCTGGGAATTCTTAACTGTTGAAAACAGTTCTTTGGACTACTTGGCACAGAATGTTTGCATAGGAGGCTTAATGCAGTTGTCCTCCAAGAGAATGAGAATAGCAAACTACTTACCCATGAGTTTATACCTCTGGTTCTTTTCAGAACCATTCTCTTACTTGAGAAATTATTCGCACATGGTGTTTCCGCAAACCTTCATTATTTAGTATCTCCACCATGCAAAACCTCAAATCTTACTTACTTTATACCCAACAAATGAAAATTATTTGAAGTCATCCTTAATGATGCTTCAATGGCAAATTACAAAGTAGCCAGGTAGCAGGGACAGGAAAAATGTCAGACTTTGGAACCTAAATTTATGGAATGAAACATATGCAAATACTTTTCGGGAAATTCTTTCACATTTGGAGATTTTTCTGCACTGTGCAGTTCCTACCTTCTTTTTGAGCTCTTCATTTTCCTGGCGGAGGGATACTATCTGACTGCGAAGGATGGCCACCAGTCCTGTACTCTCACTGCTTAACCTGTTTGCCGTATCCATCCTCTTGGCTGGCTTGACTTTCACCGCTGAGCCACCAGTGCCTGAGACAATAAATTCAAAGATGTAAGTGACGTCAAACAAATTTAAACAGGTTTTACAGAAAAGCTTTGAAAGAAGGATGATCTTCTGTAATAATAACAATAATTTATTAAAGGGAAAATACAACATTTGCAAACATCAAAAAATAAAACTACCAAATCATTTTGAAATACCTTGCTGGACTGTTAGTAAATGACAGTGTAAAGCATCCTGTAAAATCATGACACCTGGTATACTGTCATTTTCCAGAAAAGTGGTATTTTTGTATCAATTTCCAACGCTGATCGGCTGATCAGCATTGGAAAAAAACTGGCCTTTTTTTCAAATACTGGCCCCAGTTGACCATCGCACTTGTTTGCAATCGATTACACACCTATGAACGGGTACAAGCCAGCTAGACTGGTTCCCTGACCTTACAATTTCCCAATATATGTAAACTGCTGTTTCTTCTTAAATGGAGTCAGGGAACCAGACTACAGGAAAATGATTGTTTTTCTTGGTTTTATAGCATTTTCGAACCCAAAACCTCAAAAAAGTCAGTGTAACTATATTTGCTATATATTTCCAAACCCCCAATTCCATCCATTTCTGAAAATTACAGCAAAAGCAAATGATGTATATTCCCTTTAATTTATATAGCGCAAATTCTATAAAAAAATATATTCAAATGTGCTTTCCATAAAATTCTAATGTTAGGAATTCAAGATTTTACCTGGGAGGTCAAACAGGTCGTCATCGCTATCGCCCCAGTTACTGTCAATTTCATCTTCAGTGACGTCACCCTGCAAAAAAGTAAGGAAAACAAGAATTGTGAAGGATGGAACATTTTTCTTTGAGAAGGAGATGGATATAAAACAGAGAAATAAGAAAGGTGCCCGACAACTCTGACAGGAATCTAACCAATTTACAAAAAATTTAATGACCTTCTTCAGAGGCATTTCAAGGGCAATTCAAGAAAAATAAAATAGATTACCAACTGGCCCTACTACATATATTGCAGTCAGTGAGCGGTTTTCAGCAGTTGAATTCATTTTCAAATCAACAAGAGGCGGAAGGAAGGAAACAAACACTAGCTGACTCTCCAAATGAAACTATAAACTGGTTCAATTTCCTCAGCTGTGACATTTCTGCAGGAAATTAGAGGTCTACAAGAAAAGGATGTGGCACCAATATGTTATCTGCAATGCCAAATGCCTGAAATCCTGTTACTGCCGAGCTACAAAAGAGAGTTTAGAACAGCCAGCCTATCCGACCAGTGACAGAAATCAACGTCATAACTCACCCCAACTGATGCAAGCCGTGTTTTCAGGGTTTCGATTTCAGCCTCGGCTTTCATTCTCTTGTCTTTCTCGGCTTGTAGAGTTCGCTTCAGATTCTCAAACTGATCAAAACAAAAGACAAAGTAATATTGAGTAATCATACCACAATTGATGAATAAACTACAGTCACAACTCTTCAGACATCTTCCGATAATAAATATTTTGGTCACTGAATCTGTACTGTTCACAAACACTTTTAAAATTTCCTTCATTCTTCAACAAGAACCAAGTACAAAGACTGTGCCAGAAACATCTGTCGCAAATTTCAGGATGGCACTAACAAAGATACCATCAACTTCTTTCTGAAAATGATGAATGGCAAAGAAAAATATGGAAAAATCTACCGACCTCCTCTTCAAACTCTTGATTCCTTAAGTTGTCTCCATGCACCTGAAAAGAGAAAGACAAAAAACACAGATCAAATAATCATTGTCACACAAAGAGTACCGACCAGGGCTACAAAATATCCAAGTGAAAGTGCGCTTCAAAAATACTGGCTTCCAAAATGAACATTAACCCTAACAACCCTGAGCCCATCAAGCTCCAACAGCGGGTTTTGCTTGATTTTGGCAGGGTTGGTACCGAACACTGGCCAGCTGGTGTTGGACTTTGATTGACTGGGTACCAAAGGCCCAGGGAGACCCTGTTGAATTTTGTGAGGTTCGGGGCAGAAGGCAATGAGATTTGTGAACACGTTGGAGTTTGAGGGAGTTCACTGGCGTTTCTTCGTGGGTATGCTCACCCACGGTCCTCAGCACAGTTTGTGGTCAAATGTGCATGTACATGCGAGTTCACAGGCATTTCTTCGTGGGTACGCTCACCCACGGTCCCCAGTACAGTTCCTGGTCAAATATATTGCTTTATTTTGTTAGGTTTGGTACCATCCCTATCCAATCACTCGACAATGCATAGGCCCATCCATACCAAGTCAATCAAACTCCAACAGTTGGAGTTTGGCAGGTTTAGTACTGTTCCCCGTACAAGGCCTGTTGGAGTTTGGCAGTTTTGGTACCAGTGCTTACAGACCTGTATGCAGCTGTTGAAATTTGTTAGGTTTGGTATCCTTTCTAGTGCAAGAGCCTAGGGGGTTAGGGTTAAGGGTCTGTAATGCAGGTCAGAGGGATACATGGGATGGTACACAATGTTTTGGCTTACTCTATAGACAAATCCACGCGCGTGAGGCCCCCTTCCATGGCAAAAGCATTGTACAAGCCATTGTACAAACTTTACCTGAACAATAGCTTCCACAATAGTTTCGCCATTAAAGGGGGCCTTCCTGAAAGAAGTCTTCTGTAGGCCGAATGGGGTGGAAGTGTTACCATTGATAATCTTCAAATTATGTGACTTGAGTTTTCTGGTACCAATTTCCTTATCACATGAATTTCACTGACCATGCTGGTTTGCTGTAGTTGTTGCTCCAACGCTTTGATCTTTTCCTGAGCTTTCTTGTGATCCAAGGTCACACGGCTCAGCTCGTCATACAACAGCTCATTTTCCTCCTCCATTTCCTAAAATCAAAACACAAATACATTGTTTTATTCATCCATATTCACGTTCTAGAAATCTCAATTCTGACCTTCTCCGGTTGCCCATTCTAAAATCTTCAAATAGAATTTGTGATGAACAGTGAAATCTAACTTATGGGCCATTCTATAAATTTGGGGTTACATCAGGCATCTATGATTTTATAATTCTGATGCATCCTCCAAGGGTGATTATGAATAGCAAACTACCTACCCAACAAATAAATTTGGACCCTAAATTTTATAGAATTACCATTACACACACTTAATGTAACACTTATTTGTGGGTGTTTGATATTCAAATATGAACAATTTATTTTTATGAATCGCACATTTTATCATGGTTCATCTTCAAAGCCCAGAGCAAAAAGAAACCCCTTAGTTATGTTCTAAACAAAAAAGTCAAACTTCTACAGAGTTTTCCATAGAAACAAAACAGAGTTTTCCATGGAAACAAAATAGTAGGTTATCTCAGATTAGATATGGCTCTTGCAAGTTCCCTTCAGTTTCCTGACCCTGACCTTTGACCTGACTGACCTTGAATTCTTTGGACTGCTGCGATGACTTCACTGACGAGGCGGAGTTCTGCTGGTTTGTCACAGCCAAATGGTGCAGATTACCATTCTATAACAAAAGCATTCGGAAAAAAATTAAATTTCACAGTTCAAATAAAACAGATTCTGGTCAAATCCAGTCCCTTAAAATTATCTTCTTTTCTGGATATGAATGATGGATTTTAAAGGTAAAAAGGATCGTTTGCTTCTTGTGTAATTTTTTTTCGTTTGAAGCAACAAAATTGCTCAAAATCTTAAGGAGGGGAACATAACAACTAACTTGTTGAAGTTTCAACTCAGTGGAGAATACACACTTTGAGAAAACAGAAATGTATACACAATTTTGGAGGTCTTGTAACTAGATTCTGTTGCTAACGTACATAAAACACTGTACCTGTGGGCACCACCTTCAATGATTGTTTTCTTCCCAGCAATACTATTCAAGGCAGAATAATTTCACAGGGTATTAGGTACCAGTCCTATCTTCACTCCGAGCAAGATTTTTCTCGTTTAAATCGATAGGCACATTTCCGGGTAATTGCAAATGTTCCTACGAGCCTTTAAGGGTCTACATACCTGTTGCCTTGGTGATCTGGGAATAGGAGACTCACATCTACCAGCATCGAAGCGGTCGACGAAATCAATGGCGTCTGCTTTGGGTTCGTTGTCTGTCTCGTCATGGGCTTCTGTAACAGTTCAATTCAATTCCATTCAATTCAATTCACTTTATTTTCCACATAAAAAAAGGCAATCAGAGTTAAATATGTACAAAATATGTGGACGGGGATCCCTAAAAAGCAATGCTTGTCGAGTAGAGATCCCCAGTTACAATCATGCAAAAATATACAAGTTACACACACACACAACATATAAGGACATAACACCAGACATAAATATGGGAATAACATGCAGCTGCAACCCCGTGAAAAAAAAAAAATTAATTACTTAAATAATTTTCCAATAACTTATTTTTGTATTTGCGCTAAAAAAGCGAGAGCCTGGAGATATTTTTCAGGGAAAAAACAACAGAGCTCCACAGCTTGGCACCCTCATGCCTCACAGTTGCCCTAGAGATTGCAGTACGAGTGTAAGACCGATGAAATTCATTAAACTGTCTTGTAAAGAAAAAGACAAGCAATGCAGGCATTTCTAGTGGTAGTGTAACTGAGACATTTTGATTGATGATGAAGATTTTGGTGGGCGGGGCAAGGAGATGGGAGGAGTACTAGATTCCTGCTTCTGGTATGGTTAAATAGCGCCCTCTACTTACTGACATCCCAAGTAGCCACAGACGGCGCCGACTCCAGACATTCCTTCAATTCCTCACCGCTGCTTTCCTCGGCGTAGTACGCCGCATCGTATCCCTGGGCATCTGTAAGGTCCGTCCTGGCTCCTCGCTTGACTAGGAGATCCACAACGTCCTTGTGATTCTGCTCACAGGCCATCATTAGAGGCGTTCTATATTTCGACAGAAGAATCGGAGTCAGTCAACTCTACAAAAACATGCTTGTTAAAGGGTCCAAGCAATATAATTTGTTTTAATGTAATCCTAGAAAATGCACCTTTGTGTCTCACTTAAATTTATTTTCAATTTTCATTTTGCATTTTTTTTCAAGACTATTTTGGTGTCTTTAAGATATTTATACTATTCCAAATTTCAATAGTCATGAGCAAAAGTGTGATGTCATTTTCATAGGCAGAAACGTCAGTGTTACAGTTGCCCCAGCATCAACAGTGTTTAGAATTTTGAAGTTTTGAACTGGTAAGTTTCTTTGCTTTGGTGATACACTGTTGTATCAGTACATGACCAAGATATTAAGAACAAAATTTATGCACAAATGTTTGTAGTTACCAAAATTTTGGGTTCACAATTTGAACCCCTAATTTCAAGTGTGTGCTCCTATTGTGATATCACAGAAATAACATACTCAGTTGTCAGAAAAAGCAAGGAATATTTTTAAATGTTTTTAAAAAGAGGACTTTACACAAATTTCACCAAAAAGGTATGTCTTATATTTTTCAAAACATTTCGAAGAAATAGTTATTTGCAAAAGAATAATTCCCAACGTAAACTTCATGTCATGAACACTTAAAATAGACAGTTTCTGTAGCAACCTACATTGTGTTTGTAAACACGTAAACATTAATGGTGAGTTATTTTGGCTGATCTATTGAAAATTTATTGGATCCTCGACCCTAACGACCCCAAAGCCTCCAATCTCAAACACATGATTTTGCAAAACAATTACAAGGTCAATTTTACTCAATAAGAGGCATTCAAGTATGTCTCAATTCTGTTTCAGAATTAGAATTTTGGATTGTTACTTTATTTTAGGTATTAAATAAAAAAAATTAAACATTTATTTCCTCTACACTACAAACTAAAAATATGGAGTACACAGGTAATACATTAACCAGTAAAGTTTGCCTAAAATACAGCTTCAAGCCTTGAGGTATGATATTTAATGAGCTCCGTGCGCTACCAAAAGAGGGCGCCCTTTTACCTAGCAACGACGTCCCATGGGCGGGACATTTCGCTGGTTGACACGCACCGTTCCTTGTGTGTGACACGCGTACACCAGGGGATTTGTTAAATGTACACGCAGTGGCCGCGCTTTGCAGCAAATGAATTGCAGTCAGGCAAGATGGCGTCTGTCGGTCACCCCCAACTGTACTTCCTTTGCCGGTGAGGGGGTACTTGTGAACGGAGCGGATAGAAACAACAGTCAATTTACTTCATTCTTTATCAGACTTCAGATGGTGCATTGCAAAACTGCTTTACATACCTCTGCAAATGATCCTGTGCGTTGACATTAGCTCCTCTATCTATCAGGTCTTTACAGATCGCTAGATGGCCCAGCTGGGCAGCCATCATCAATGCTGTTTTCCCATACTAGACAAGAATTCAAATAAGAACATTAACCCTCCTGCTATTTAAACAGTCACAGACAGTCAAAATTGCCATCCACTTCCACTGTTACACTTTTAACACAGGCTAGTCACCAGCAGTCAGATCATGTCAAGTATAAAGCACTTTGACTAGTCAAACTCAGTCAACAGACCATGAAACGACAAAGCAGGCAAGTTGTGGGCACAGCTGGCTTATCAATTACCCACAGCTAAAGCAAAGCTGTTATCGAGTTACATAAACAGTCACGGCCAGCCAATCTTGCTTTTGTAGGCTGGGAATTCTTAACTTTTGAAAACAGTCACTCGATTGATTTTGACTGAAAGGACCACTTGGCACAGAATGTATGTTTGCATAGGAGGGTCAAATAAGAATCATAATGTGTGTCTACAGCAGCTGCTGTGTGCTGGGAGACTTGGCCTAGTGATAAGTATTCGGCAGGGTCTTTGGTTCGAATCCAGGCTCTGTAGGGATGTTAACCCTTACAACCTGAAATCTTAAAGAGTATCATATATATATCAGTCTCTACTACTGAACAACGGAATACGGTGAGCATGTTTTTCACGCTTCTCAAAAACATAATTATCTGGCCCAATTTCATGATCTTGCTTTGGGGTTTGTGAAAATTCAAACAACTTGAGAATAAGATCCTTAGATCCATAAAGATTAATTACTGAGTCAGCGTCTTACTTCTTCGGTTGCATCAATCAAGGCTTTTGCTTTCAGTAGAACCTTGCTGCAGTCAGAGTGGCCTCCGAGAACTTGATCAAAGAAGGAGAAAAGGAAGAAGAATTGGAACATTATCAAATCGGTAGTCTTTCAATCATTTTCCCAGTAATAAATCTCTTTTTTCCCCAATGCCATTCAAATGTAATGAAGGGATGGCATTGTGATGATAGAAAAATAAGATATGGTGTTAGCAGCGTATGAACCATCAAGGATTCTGACAAACAGTTCAACATTTCATAATGAAAAGCACCTGAACCTAGCAAATTGATTAAAGATGCTCTTGACATTTTTGGACCATACTTAAATTATGAATTTAATCTTGGTCTGAAGCTTTTAGTCAGGTGGCATATGGTCGGAATCGTGACCGACTGGTCCAAAGCACCAAACTTGGCAGATAGATTCTTATAGCCCTAGAGAAGATATTTAGAAGGGGTGACACCTGAAATTCTTTTGGGAAGGGTGCCTAATTTGCATAAATCGTTAATCCCTGCCGTGTAATATATTTATTCCCATATTTGGGTATATTTTTAATTTTTTATTTTTTTTGCAAAGTGTATTTTGGTGATTCTACTTGCATATTCTTACTTCAATAACATTTTGTAAAACTTATAAGTGACTGAATAATTAGGAGGACATAATAAACAAAAAAATTGCTACTATTTTACCCTAAAGTTACGGGCATTTACCTTTTCCTCAGATATCATCAACTAGTCTCGCCAAACGTGGGTATTGATGAGCTTCAAATTCACAAAGTTACTTACTGGCATAGTTACCCTAACAAAAATAAGTGGGAAATCAAGTGAAAATTGATAACATCTTGATGTTTAGCCCAAAAGACCAAAAAAGGGGAGAAAATGTGGTGTCCGTAAATTGGGCTAGTACGGGAAGGGTAACGTGGGGACTTGAACAAGATCAACGAAATCCCCCTAAATAAGAGATTATAATTGTTGTTTACAATAAATTTGTCTACGCCAAAACGTTTTCTCAACAATAATTAGGGGAATTTCCTTGAACTTGCTCCAGTGTTCCATGTTAGGCAACCCTTCACCTACTTGTTAGCCCAATTTATGGACACCTCGTTTTTTTCCCAGTTTTTGTTTTCTGGGCTAAATATCACAATGTTATCATTGTTCACATGATTTTGCATAAGGTTTTAATAGGGTAACTGTACCAGTAAGCTACTTGGTGAATTTGAAGTTCATCAGTGCTGATGTTTGGCAAGACTAATTGATGATATCTGGAGACAAGGTAAATGCGCGCAATTTTAGGGCATAATAGTAGCCATTTTGGATCGTTACTATGTCCTCATAATTATTCAGTCACTTATATGCTTTGGAAAATGTTATTTAAGTGAAGATATGTAAGTAGAATCGCCAAAATACACTTTTCAAAAAAATAAAAAAATAGAAATATACCCAAATATGGGAATAAATATATTACACGACAGGGATTAACGATTTATGCAAATAAGGCACCCTTCCCAAACGAATTTCAGGTGTCACCCCTTCTAAATATCTTCTCTAGGTCTATAAGAATCTATCTACCAAGTTTGGTGCTTTGGACCAGTCGGTCACGATCTTGACGAAAATTAGATCTAAGCCACCTGACTATTTCCACTGATTAATAACATTTTAAAAACTCCAAATAAAAGAAAAATAAAAAAAATAAATGCAGCGAATGGCAGAAAAATGATGGCAGGGAGTCTTTGAAGTTTGACTTACCGGTATATTTAAAGGGGCCATGCAATGAATTTTTCTTAGGAAGATATTTTGTGCAAGTTCCTACTCCTCTTTGTGTGAAAACTACCAATTCACATGCCTTTTTGGTTTTAATTATATTAAAAAGTGCACTTCTTTGGATATTTAAAAAGTCTGTGCTTTTCCGGACAACTGAGGGCGCTGTTGTTGTGATGTCATTTCAGGAAGACACTGTTCAGTTTACGTGAGCCCAAAAATTTGCTAATTGAAAACACTTTTGAGAAAAGTTTGCTAATTGGCTTACTGCCATGTACAATGTACATACGCAACAACGAATCACCAAAGAAAAGAAAATCTACAACAGCGAAGTATCCAAAATTCTGGCAACTTTTGGTGCAGAAATAGCTGTAACATTAATTGACATTGAAGTTTCTGCCTGAAATGACATCACAATTTTGCTCATGAATATGGAAATTTGTAATAGCATAAAAACCAAAAAGGCACCAAAATACCCTTGAAAATGGCAAAACAAAAATTGAAAATAGGGTTAAATGAGACACAGAGTTGCATTTTCAAGGATTGCATTTAAAAATTACATTACTTGAGCCCTTTAATTTATACATGTACATGTAGTCGTACTATGTTTATACTTTTCGAATTTATACTTTATATAAACCAGCCCCAACATCCATTCATGTTTATCTTGTTTATTCTTGAGCATGTCGCAGAAAAGCATGCATTTCCTATCCTTAAATTAAAGCCATGTGTCATTTCCTTGGACATAATTACTAGGTATCACATTCTTTCCGGTAAGTCCAGGTATTATTTAAGACTTACACCGGGTCTGCTTGTCACCTCTCATTCATAAATCTGAGATGAGTCCACGTTATGTACATGTAAATCATTGCTGTGTCTATAATTTCAAGGTTATTTTGGGTAGATGATCAACTTTTTGGTTCCAAAAATGGAACAAGTTTAAAAATTCTGCATTGACTCTTCAGATGTACGCACGTTTATCATATGTGTGCAGTCATAAGGTTTTATTCAAAGACTCAATGTTAAAACCTTTTGAAGAAAAGATGTTTCCGCAAATCCTATCTCAGGTAAGCCATTGTTATCCGGTCTTCAAATATAAAAAAAGGAATATATTTTCACAGACACACACACAAAGCGCTGATATATTTCAGCACTGCGTATGTAGTTCCTTTTCTTTTGGCTTTTGATGTGTTCAGTATTTCACAAAGCTACCTGGGCCTAACACTACGGGTTTGAAAATCTGTACGGTTAAGCTTTTTTTTTAAGGCGACTGTTAGTTACGGGCCCGGTTCTAAAGAGAATGAAAATATACTTGTAAGTTTTGGACTTACCCAACTAGTTAGTAACGTAAGAAAACAACGGCAATGTCATAGATTGAACTCTCTAGGGACTCAAACGAAAGAGTGGCCCTTAACTACACAATCGCCTTTCTTAAGATTTGAAAGAATGTTGCAACTTGATGCCACTTTTTTTCTGCACATATCATTTCAATAAAGGTCCGTCATTGCGAAAATGTTGAAAAGACATGAATCTGGGCCTGAGAAACATTTCCAATTTTGTTAGGAAATACTCTCCAAAGACTTTGTACGCAACCGCTGAAGTGGCCTCGGAATACTACCTCTTTCCTTAAGATTTTGATGGAAATATTCTAGAAGACCTCTTAATAAAAAACAGGTTAATCTTCTTGACCTTTTGTTTTAAATTTCAGATCTTTTGAGGCAACACAAGAATATTGTCAATTTCTGAAGGGGCTATGTGGTAAACTGCTACACAAACTGTTGTGTTCTCAAAACAGACTTTTATCATGAGAACTCTTATCGGCCACTTTTGTAACAAAGATATGAACAATGACCTCTGTTTCACTGGCTACATTTCTTGAACTAGAGTCAAACTGAGGTTAGTTTAAAAATGAGAATTTGTGGACCTAGTTCTACAAGAGCAAGAAGATTCAATTTACCGGCAAGATGAAGAGCAGTTTTGCCAGTGAGTTCCTTCGCATTGAGGGGAGCATGGGCAAGGACAAGTCGTTGGACACAGTCAGTATGGCCGCCCATACAGGCGTAATGAAGCACCGTGTAACCTATAGTGTAGAACAAATTAAAACATGAATATTCATGTAATTAATCACTGGTACTCTGAACTGTAGCCGGTGTCCTGCAATGGCTATTACATTCTTGCTTGTTGGTATGTTGACTTGTTTGATGGTTTCACTACTTGTGAGCTTACTAGCGTACACCCTGGCTGGATTGATTACTTTCTCGCCAATGGGATTGTTACTGGATTTCTTCCTAGCATGCTGGCTTGTGGGATGGTTTCTTTGTTGCTTTCCCTGTTTGATTTTCTGTTTATTGGCTGGATAGACTGTAGAATGTCATGAATGTACCAGTGATCTGATACACGGTACCCTGTGGAGACATGTGTATAATAATAGCAAACAAAAGATTGTATACATCTCCACAGGGCAATTTCTATAGATGAATACGTCTCCACAAGGTTATCACGAAATATGGATTTTACTCAAAAACTAGGAATTTTCAAGGAATGTTGATCCGTCGCAAATTGAAGTATTTTATGTAAGGGATATTAAGTCCGAATTTCAGCCCAGGAAATTAATTCTGGTTAAAATAGGAGCATTTTGAAACTACATTTTCAAACTCTAAATTTTAGTACACGAGAACAAACAAATGACTCCACAAGGATACAAATTCTAGTATTCGTGAACTTGCTCTCCTGAACCTCAGGTAGGACCACTGATCTCTCTATATATAAAGACTGGATAGCTAATAAAGAGCCGCACAATGAACGAATTTGACGCCATATTGGTGAGACCGGCTGGTGATCTACAAAGGACAAGTTGCCGTCTTTATAGACAGCATGATTTCTTTTGTAACGTCAAGGTTCACTTGACTTATATTTTGACCACCCCCACTGACCAAGGCTACAATTTTTCTAACCTCGTGGTTACTTTTTAAAATGCCGCAAATCACTTTTTCGGCGTTTTGAAATAATAGTCACTACGGAAATGTGTCCCTTTTAGAACATCATAATATGTGTACGTGACCAAAATGCGCGTCAACTGTTGATACAACGCGTGCGTATTTACGCGTAGAACGTTCGTATTATACGCGGCCATCTTCGTGAGACCGGGGGCGAATTGGTCAATATGCAAAGTCTACTGTGTGAATGTTGTATGCATATCCGCTATCCAGTCTTTATATAGAGATCAGTGGGTAGGACCAACAGGCAACAGGACCAACTTCCCTACTCATTCAACAGATCCTTTGCATAAACCGCCCTCACTAAGGACAATTTTTATTATTTCAATTCGGCACAAAGTGTGTTCTCATGCGTATAACATGGGAACAAAGACCTGTGCCCAATTTTATGGCTCTGCTCAGTTAGCCACAAATCCCGGCTTAGTGCAACAGATAATTCCGTGCTTACGGTTAGAATTTTTCACAGGTTACCAAAGGAAGTTTGTCCTCTGCGCATGTGTCCATCCCGTGACTGAGGACTCTGTGCTTACAGGGTTAGCAGGGAATTGTTTTTTTGTGCTAGCGCTGCTAGAATGGTGATTGTAAGCGCGGAATTCTGTACAGGGTGAGTCGAAAAAACGAAACCCAAATGTCGGGACTATTACTTTATTGAAATTCTGCATGTAGCACTTTCAACATCTAGTATATGAAAGCCCAATTCATAAGCTTTCATTTAGTACAAGAATCATTCAAATCACTCATGTACTTTTCAAGTTACGGAATTTTAAACATAACCACCGTTTTAAGGTTCTGTCCACGGATCACAAAAAAGGTGTGCGTTCTTTCAGCAAAACGAAAGCAATTCACACACATCCCTATGTGATTTCCTTTCGTTTTGCTGAAAGAACACTGAACTTTTTTTGTGATCCCTGGACAGGACCTTTAAATGCTGGTTGTGTTTAAAATTCCATAACTTGAAAAGTACATGAGTGATTTGAATGATTCTTGTACTAAAAGAAAGCTTATGAATTGGGCTTTCATATCCTAGATTTTGAAAGTGCTACATGCAGAACTTCAAAAAAACAATAGTCCCGACATTTGGGTTTCGTTTTGTTTGACTCACCCTGTAGTTGGCAGGGCCATGAAACTGGGCCCTGTCCTCAGTTAGGATGCTCCATGCGAAAGGTCTGTTTGCAGAGCGAGTACCCTGATTGCTAGTTGTGCAACTATTGCTTCCCAAGGACCATAATCTTGCTTTCTATCCCTCGCAATCCCCATGCTACCAGCTCCTATGTATTCACTCCCTAAAGTAGGTCGTGTAGGCCTAAAGTAGGCGAGGTTATTGCAGTACATGTAAGTGTGGGCATATCAGCGCCATGTGGCTCTAACCAGCCGGCCAGAGGAATGCCCGCGGTTGAACTTTCGAAAGCTTATCAACGTTACTCAGAACTCTGCAAATGTCCAGTGCCCTTCACGTTAGAAATGTCACCCTGCTGGCAAACGGCTGATCCAAAAGTTCAAACCAATTGAAACCAACAACAATTTCCTGTGAGAATAAATTGCAGTCATATAAATGTCCAACTAGCATGCTTATCACTGCCCCCTACCCCTCCCCCCCCCCCAACTTCACCCCCAGGAGCCATACAAGTGAACTTTAAACTAGCTTTCTGTTCACTGTGCTGCATATTTCATTTTTCCTGTACAGTAGAGGGAAATAGTTATGTTCACCTCAATACCCATTTTACGTCACTAAATATATTATTTCTGTCCACAAACATTTCTTTAAATAAACAAAGAAGAACTAGAATTAGTAAAATCATAAAGTAAACATACACATGTAAATAGGTCTTCACTTCAAATAAGAAATATGTCTGTATATTAGTCAAACATTTGTCAAACCGTTATTCTATATTTTATGACACAGGAGTTGCTATAATAAATTGTCCAAAATAAATTACTCTAGGTGTGTTCACATATACATTACGTACATGTAGGTTAAAAAATGTATGATTATTAATAAAAGGCTCATTTAAATTAGTTAAACCGAACTTTGTAAAATCTGGTATTTGTGTCACAGGTTTTAAATGAAACACTGTAGGCAAGCTACACTATAAGCCAATACCTTGACTATCGGCTGCAGCTACTTTCAAGCCTTTATCATTATGTTACCCATGTTTACCAAGCCAAGCTGTACTAAGCCATTACCTTGACTATCGGCTGCGGCTACTGTCAAGCCTTAATCATTCTGTCTCCCTGTACAAAATGTATACCCAGCCAAGCTGTACTAAGCCATTACCTTAACTATCGGCTGCGGCTACTGTCAAGCCTTAATCATTCTGTCTCCCTGTACAAAATGTATACCCAGCCAAGCTGTACTAAGCCATTACCTTAACTATCGGCTGCGGCTACTGTCAAGCCTTAACCATTCTGTTACCCTGTATACCCATCAAAACTGTACTAAGCCATTACCTTGACTATCGGCTGCGGCGACTGTCACCCCTTGCTGAATCATGATATCCAGACAGCCAAACTGACCCAATTCAGCTGCAAAATGTAACCTGAAAAGTCAACAAGTCATCGACATAAATGTATTAATACAAAGTAACTTGTAAATAAAACCTGCAGTTGTATAAACCATTTTTGGGTCACTTTTTTTCAGAAAAAAAATTATCCACTAAGCATCCCCCTCTCCCTCCCAGCAGTTTATTTCATGCTTAGCAGGTAATTTTTTTTACCAGTCAAAGACTTACTGCTACTGCTCCTCAACAAATTTTCAACTGGTTCGTTTTATTTTTAAAAACTATTCATTTTCTACTTTTTTCATCTGAAACACTCAGAAAAATAGCCTTTTTTAGGTTGCTTTTGCGCACAAGCAGATTTGCCCTGGGAGTAGACTGGTTCCCACCCCTACATTACCAATTTTAATAGGACATGAGAACCAGTCTAGCTGCAAATATTTCAAAGTTTAAAAAATAACTGCTCCATAATTAAACACAAGCAGATTTTTTTTTTTTTTCGTTGGCTGTCTCATTTTAAAAAATGGATACAATTTTGCATTGCTAGAAACATAGCAAACGTGATATGACAATAGTTGTCTGTAATGCCTGTTATTTGAAAATAGTAGACTTTATTTGAAAATAGTAGACTTAAATCTTTTCAAGGTAATGTATGTAGCAAGTAAACAATGCAGGGGGGGGGGGGGGTTGGTTTACGTCTGGAGATTTGTGCAAAGCCTGTTCCACACTTCCTTTGGTCATGAGTCATGGCTTTATATTTGAAGCCTTGTTTCCTCCAGTGACATGGCAGGTCTTATGAGTAGGCCTACTTACGAGTCTACAAACTGGACGTGCCCTGGTGTGGTTAAAGGGAAAATACAACATTTGCAAACATCAACAAATAAAACTACCAAATCATTTTGAAATACCTTGCTGGACTGTTAGTGAATGACAGTGTAAAGCATCCGGTAAAATCATGGCACCTGGTATACTGTCATTTTCAAGAAAAGTGGTATTTTTGTATCAATTTCCAACGCTGATCGGCCGATCAGCGTTGGAAACAACTGGCTTTTTTTTCAAATACTGGCCCCAATTGACCATCGCACTTGTTTGCAATCGATTACAAACCTATGAACGGGTACGAGCCAGCTAGACTGGTTCCCTGACCTTACAATTCCCCAATGTATGTAAACTGCTATGTTTCTTCTTATATGGAGTCAGGGAACCAGACTACAGGAAAATGATAGTTTTTCTTGGTTTTTATAGCATTTTCGAACCCAAAACCTCAAAAAAGTCGGTGTAACTATATTTGCTATATATTTCCAACCCCCAATTCCATCCATTTCTGAAAATTACAGCAAAAGCAAATGATGTATACATGTATTCCCTTTAAGCAGCAGCTGCCATCTTACATCAGGATAATAAAAATTGGGAGCTGAAATAGCTCTCTGGTGTTCGCACTCAATGTTACTCAATCATTGCATTCTAGTGGTTTAGATATTAGCAATATCTGGCACCAAGGTCTTCCGCTCAAGGGACATGACTTCACTGAAGCTTTAAACTACACAATAATATTTGATATTTTTTCTGCAGTCATTAACTGCTTCCAGAGTACAACATCACCATTTTGTGAATATAATATCTTTCAATACTGCACTTAAGCGGCCACGACCTTTGTACATTTATAAGAGATGCCTTTTACTGCCAGACAGATCATGATCAAGTATCTTGTGAAAGAATGCCTTATTTTAACCCTCTGTCTCTAAGCACGTTGAATTCTTAAAGGAATCTTCCATCTGGTTCCATCTTGAAAGTAGAGGTTCATTTCTTGGTAAGGACAGATTTTGATAAAGTATGTTGCTCAAGGACAAAAGTGCAATAATGCCTTGGATGCATTCGAACCCTATCTCTTATCACATTGAATTCTTTAAGAAATCTTCCTACTGGTGCCATCTTGAAAGCAGACGTTCCTTTCTTGGTAAGGAAAGATTTTGATAAAGTATGTTGCTCAAGGACAAAAGTGCCATAATGCCTTGGATGGATTTGAACCCTATCTCTTATCACATTGAATTCTCAAAGGACTCTTTCATCTGGTTCCATCTTGAAAGCAGAGGTTCCTTTCTTGGTAAGGAAAGATTTTGATAAAGTATGTTGCTCAAGGACAAAAGTGTCGCAATGCCTTAGATGGATTTGAACCCTATCTCTTATCACATTGAATTCTTAAAGGACTCTTCTTTCTGGTGCCATCTTGAAAGCAGAGGTGCCTTTCTTGGTAAGGAAAGATTTTGATAAAGTATGTTGCTCAAGGACAAAAGTGCCATAATGCCTTGGATGGATTCGAACCCTATCTCTTATCACATTGAATTCTCAAAGGACTCTTTCATCTGGTTCCATCTTGAAAGCAGAGGTTCCTTTCTTGGTAAGGAAAGATTTTGATAAAGTATGTTGCTCAAGGACAAAAGTGTCGCAATGCCTTAGATGGATTCGAACCCTATCTCTTATCACATTGAATTCTTAAAGGACTCTTTCATCTGGTTCCATCTTGAAAGCAGATGTTCCTTTCTTGGTAAGGAAAGATTTTGATAAAGTATGTTGCTCAAGGACAAACAAAAAAGCAGCAATGCCTTGGCTGGATTCGAACCCTTTCTCCTAACAAATTTGAGTTCTTACGGGACTCTTCCATCAGGATCCATCTTGATAGCAGAGGTGCCTTTCTTGGCCAGGGCAGCTTGAAGCTTCTCGATGTCGCCATCTTCCACGGCTTGCATCAACTTCTCATCATTCTTGCCCCACTCTCCCTAAAAAAAGTGTAAGATGGGAAGAGCAACGAATAAATGGCATTTTATTCCATTAGTTATGTTAGAATGAACTGTCAACCCCAAAATCAGTTTTGACATCAAGTGGTACATGCTCGAGTGACACTAATCATTAATGTACAAGATTTCTGAAACGACACATATGTTTGTTGATCACTGTAAATTTGACAATTTTATTTATGAAATCACGATGCATCTTCTGAATTTTGGTAGGTACAATGTATGTTTACAGTCTGTACTCTGTAAATAGTATGAAACTTTAAAAGAAAAAAAAGATAATTGGATATTCATACAAATCGGAGGATTCTCATACCCTATGAGTACAATATAAGAGAATTCCAAACTGATTTTGTCATAAATGTACAAAATATGCAAATTCATCTCAACAAACTGAGTGATTTCTTTTTCCATTTTCAAACCTCCAGTCTCCATTTTAAGAAAATATTGACTTCCCTTTTATGCCTTAAGTGAACTCAAATTGACTTATATGTCACATACAAGCACCTCTCCAAAGTGCTCAAACGCCGATACATTGATCAGTGGTGGACAATTATGTCATTGCAGTGGCAAATTATTGATCCAAACTCATCAACGAGCGCGGAACACATTATCGGTTTTTGTTCTCATTTTCCGCCTCATTACTTTACGGTCAGGTGAAGTGTTCCTGAATTAATTGGTTTATGCCCTCTGGGGACAGTTACAGGGCATGACGCTCCAGAAGGATCTATAGATCTTTTGTTTGGTTTGTTGGGATTTGATGGGTAAACGCCCGGAGTTCACAGAATGGCAGAAATCTTTGAAAAGGTTTGCTACAGTTGCCAAGGAACATGTATGTTATGTCACAATGTTTACATAATGCACTACAGACATGGCCAAGGTTTTATGGGGATCATTGCATACAGTTTATACTATATGCGAATGCTTACAATGTGCACAATGAGCTTTTGTAAAATTTGCTGTTAAGCAAATGCCGCTATGCACACGTGTATGAAACATTAGGCCGGGTAAAAAAAACAACCAGTTTCTTGCCCCCGCCCGCTTATTTCTCCTACCCGCCTTTTTTTTTTCTTTTCGTTTTTAATTCATACCTTTGCAATATATTCTGCAAATGTTATCAATTTGTTTTTTTTTTATTTGTTTCCAACAAAATTGTAGCTGGCCTTCATGTACCGTATGTAGAAAGGGAGACAGCTCCTTACAACACAATTTAGTTTCAGCAAAATAATCGAGACAATGGAATCCACCAAGTGACCATCCGCAATCTTCAAAAATCCGCCACCTTCGGGTGGGGGAGGGGTGGAGGGGAAGAAAAGGGGCAGGAAAGGGGGGGGCGCAGTGTTTTCATAAAATACTTTTTTGTATGGTTTGGTTTCTGACAAATTTTAAATGTGTAGAGACTTTTTAGGACTTTGTTTAACACATGTGTCAGTTAACAAATAACAATAACATTTAAAACTTAACAACAAAGTGTGTACTTTTGGCATAATTTTAGGCTAATCAGATAGAACTTGATTTATCTCAACATTAACTACCAAAATGAGGTACAATGTCAATATGGAGGTCATGTAATGACATTGGCACATTATCACAACATGACCTCTCTGAAAATAAATCAAAGCCCCACCAGATCACAAGGGCCTGTCACACTATCCAAAATCTGTTTTGGAACCGGTGTCACTCACATGAAAATCCGACTCCTATGAAAATCGGACCCCTATTTCCCTATTATTGGTTGATCCCTCGCACGTGACAGGTCACTCTCCCGAAACGATCCTAAAAATAGCATAGTATCGTACTCACGCGTGCGCAGTACTACCAATGAGTCCACATTTCATGGAGTCGGATATTCACGCTACACCAGTTCCAACACAGAGATTTTTGGTGCCCCTTTCAAACTAGCAAGAATCTATTAACTGCATTCCATATACCCAGGCCATCCAGCACTCTACATACATGCTTTTACCGTGGTCTGGGCCACAGTTCAAAGGCTCTACCCAGGTAGAAAATCTAAAATCTGCAGCCTAAAAATTGCGTCTGACCGAATATTTGGATATTCAAAACTGCCAGCTACAACAGCATGCTGCGCCGGTAAAATGTTGAACGAAGAGTGTGCCAATTAATATGTACATGTGGCAATCGATATGGGGCAGTGGAGTGTTTTGCAATAAGTATTTTATAACTGTAAAACGGCTTTAACCTGCTAGGATGTGAACAATGAACAGCAGTCTACATGTACTACCGTAGAGTCTAGACTAAAAAAGTGGCACCTGACAAAAGACAATAAAGCACTGCAACTCAAAGTTTATTCGGGACAGCCCTAATGAACAGTTTGCTTTGCCCAACTATGTTCGCTTACAGCCGCATACATACGTGCACCCTTACGGTGCACCCGTGTTGATATCAAGACGTGTAGGCGAGACAACTGTAAAAAGGCCTGCAGAGATTTCCCACCACCGCCACACTAAAGTCTTGGCCAGCAACCGACATTTCATCTGATATTCCAGCCTTGGTGTTCTCTCACCAAGATCTACCCTCACTACTTTCCAAATATTTCTCCTTCTGCAAACCACACTCTCAGACTCCCACTGTAAACACACCTAAGACCATAACTTGATCTTGAGTAAATAAACGTCTTTTGTTGCCCACTTAGAAACCTGGTGCAATAAATCTCTTTGGGTAAATGCAGCCCCATGCACACACAAAAAGAAAGTTACTTAAAGACATAAAGCAAGCCTTGCTCTATGCTTAAAGCCAAGGAATAAACATCATTTGCTTTTGCTGTAATTTTCAGAAATGGATGAAATTTGGGGGTTGGAAATATATAGCAAATATTAAAGTTACACTGACTTTTTTGAGGTTTTGGGTTCGAAAATGCTATTAAACCAAGAAAAACAATCATTTTCCTGTAGTCTGGTTCCCTGACTCCATACAGAGCAATTTACATACATTGGGGAATTGTAAGGTCAGGGAACCAGTCTAGCTGGCTTGTACCCGTTCATAGGTGTGTAATTGATTGCAAACAAGTGCGATGGTCAATTGGGGCCAGTATTTGAAAAAAAAAGCCAGTTTCGGCCGACCAGCATTGGAAATTGATACAAAAATACCCATTTTCTTGAAAATGACAGTATACCAGGTGCCATGATTTTACAGGATGCTTTACACTGTCATTCACTAACAGTCCAGCAAGGTATTTCAAAATGATTTGGTAGTTTTATTTTTTGACGTTTGCAAATGTTGTATTTTCCCTTTAAGAACACTCCCCCATAACCAGAACAAAACCAAGCCATGAATCAATTGTGTGTGTTATTGTTACTTTGGAGTAGGCTAATCGTAAACATTTGGACTGCGGAAATTTACTGAACTGAACTCCAATAAGTTACTGATAAACAGTTCATGGTGAAGGGTAACATACAATACAACATGCACTATGCATTTCTAATCTATCAAATAAATGACCTTACTTTATATTGTAGACAGAAAGGATAATCCTCTCTAATCTTAATAAGATTTGCCTGATGTTTGCCAAATAGATCAAGCAAATTTTGTATTGCGACTGAAATCCACGTATTTAAAATTCTATTAAATTCTGTGCATTTAAACAAAATGTTATGACTTCAAGTATTAAAAGCAAGTTTGTTTTATGGGAGTGGCAACTCAAGGCTGTTTGGCAAAATAAATAATTTATCTTGTTCTTGTCATGTAAACATTTGCTTTTTAACTACATTTTAGTATCTCACTTTGACACATAGGCCTATACAGGTTTTCAAAAAAATCACTCTAAACAATCGTTAAAAAAATAGCATGACAAAGATACTTTTGATAATTTTTCTCCAGGACTGATAATTTTTCTCTAGGACCTATAGGCCCTACAGGTGTTAAACAAAAATCACTCTAAACAGTCGTTAAACAATAGCATGACAAAGATACTTTTGATATTTTTTCTCTAGGACTGAAAAAACGGCCAAAATAGAGGGTTAAAAATGGGCACCTACAAATGTAGTCCGAAAATTTGGGACTCTCAATACTGTGTATGAGAGTCCCAAAACTTAAGGTATTGAAAACCTGCAAAACAAAAAAATAGACACCTAAAACAACCAGTCCAACACCGCTTTAGTACTGCATCAATTAACCATGCCAAAAGAATTTAAGAAACATGTGGCATGAACCGGGAACTAATCTCGATTTACTACACATTTCTCCATAGTCAAGCCACCAGACTATTGACACTGAATGAAGAGGTCAGTCTTTTCAAATAGTTGGACCATGGTTGGACATGTACCAGTCTAGTATTAAGCCCCATTTTGAAATTACTTGACATCCCTCTCATGTGCAAACTATTGAAGAAAAGTCTCCTTTAAAAATGGAATTGAGTCTGCAAACTTGGTTGGTGAAATACTGAGGACATTTCCTTTGCCCCAGTGGAATTTTTGAAAAAATTTGCTGGCTAAACTGTGAGTAAAGTGGGCCTGATTTAGTTTTGCACGTTTCAGAGCACTCCAGAGCCCTGTCTGCTACACATGTATTTCTGTAACAAAAAAGGACACTTCATTCTAGATTATTAACAAGGTCAATTTTGAGACACTTTTATTTAAGTCTGGTTGTAGATCTACTTTTCAGTGCCAGTACAAAAGTCTTTAGTTTTTGCATGAAACCTGTGGCTTTATGCTTCCTTCCAAGAAATTGCCCATCTTCATCATAACAGCAAATGTCTTGAGGTTGGTTGTGCAAATGAAAGGAAAAAAAAACAACCGGCCATGGAAAAAAATTTACAAAAGGCTTTCCAAAATCAATAGTTGTCAGCCACATGTAAATGTATCGCTGTGTATTTGGATGTCTATTGTCCTCATCATCTTCAAATCTAATTCCCCAAACACCGCCAGCAATTGATTTTTTTTTTCAAGGAGGGACTCTCCACCAGTGAGTAAGCAAACAGAATACGTGTATGTCAGATGAAGAATTGCGGAGTTACATGTATATAAATGATGTCGGGTGTGTGACTACTGACACGTTATGAGAATTAATGAGGCATTTGGGAAATAGTGTCAATTAGAAGAGGGTTTCTAGGCATCGATTGAGAACTTCTCGACTGATTGATAGTCTGAGAGTAATCATGCATTATTTGTTACCTGCAATTCTTTGGGTGGTTTTACCTCCAAACCATCCTAATTAACCAAAAATACAATTTAATAAAACGTCCATGTAGCAACCAAGGTGTCTGGCACACTAGACTGAGGTTTCTGCATGCACATAATAGTAAAGTGACATGACAAACGTCACTACCCAATGGTACATGTACTAAATTCTTAATGTGATATGTTCAAGCTTCAGTTTTTACGCTTTCATCGTAACAAAAAATCTCTCTTTTTTTCCTAAATAAACCACACAAAAATATTACATAGAAAAAACTGGATACCAAATGTGATGGATGTAGAAGGTAGAGGGGCTATAAAGGTTTGGGTTAAAGTACATGTAAATCAGTTCATTACATACATGACTTGATAGTGTAGTCATTGGCCCGGTTCTATATTAAGAACAAATCCACTTTTAATTTATTTCAATTACCAAACTAACTGGCGACATCAACAACATGCAGGTATGTCATAGATAGAGGGCAGAATTTTGAGATTTTTTTTTTTTTTAGGGAAGTTTGGGGTAAAGTGACGATAACAACGACAAAACGCAACACATGACGATTTACCGTGATTGCGCAAGGAGCGCTGAATTGCACAGCACCAACCAACGTAAACTACTTACAAAATTGAAATTTCTACCCCAAGAAACTGTTCAAAATTGCATAAAAGTGTCATTAGAATTGAGAGAAGTCTGCATTAGGTTGAAAAGGTCATTTTCGAATGATAAAAAACACCTTTGACTCTAATTTGATCAAAACTAAAGGGGGGCCAATAAAATAAAGTCGCCAATATATTTTTTAGTAATGCGCAGACATGTATACAGCATTTTTTTGTAATGATCATTACATGTATTGTGACAGTTCTCCAATCAATTAGCAAATATGCATGTTGCTGGTTCCCGCTAAAACAAGACCCTAGAATTGCACAGAACTCTCAACCAGTCAATAGAACGTAGCTCATGCACTATCGTAGAATTGCCCTTTTCCAAGAATTGGTGAAAATTTGCCAATTAGCAAACTTATCCTATTATCAGAAAATCATTCAAAAATCTGCTAATTTAAAAAAAAAAAATCCACCAAAATGAATTCAAACTTTCAAGGACGCATACAACACGTAACTCTGGGCAAATTCTTTTGCGAAGTTGAGTGCCCCAACCCCACCAAACATAAAACCGTTGTGTGAAATGTAAAAACAAACCTTTTAAAAAAAAAATTCAAGATTCTTACCTCCTTGTCACGGCCCTTCTTCAATTTCTTGAACATGGTGTCTGGTCTTGACTCAACCTAACTAGTGCTAGAGATCTGATGAGACTAATAAAAACTCAACAGCACCAGCAGTGCTCAAGGCTTTGCACAATGGTATCAACTACACTGCAGTAATCATCCGGCAGGTGGTTGTTGTTGTCATGTAGTTCATGCTCTGTTGATGTTCCATGTGTTTCACTTCACAGCTCCGATACAATGCGATAGTTTGTGATTACAGCATAAAGATGGTCACTGTAAGCCGCAGGATTTGGAAGACTGGAATTCAATCCAGGTGTAGAAAAGTCCATTCTTCTTTTGGAAGTTGAAATGTGGGTCAATCTGTTGAGCCCTTATACAATGGTCGATACGATACGGTTGATCAATCTGCAAAACCACAAATATGGATTTTGTTCTTCAGAAACCATCAGCGCTTGCTTTGGAAAAATATGCAAGTGTTGCTCGTTGGTCAGCTCCTTTCATCACAAACTATTACTAGTATGCTTTTCTGGGTGGGTTACATGTAGCACCTATTTTGTTTCAGCGTCGTTGACTGAAGGCTTTACACAATCCTGACATTATTATCACATGTTGAAGTGATATCTGGAAGGTTACATTGTTGCATTTTTCGGGGTGTTCCTCTCTGCAATGGTAATTTGGTACGGCTACCATTGACAAAAGCAATTAGCTTTGTCCGGACTACATGAACCAGTACCTGTCCAAAAAAAGTTAGGAAAAGAACACATTAAGAACAGAAATGTACAACAAAATGTATAAACAAAATAAAATGGAAGTGATTTAAGCTTATTTTCAATCGGAAATTTGTGCTTCGAATGGAAAATCACTTCATTTATCTTCACTCTGGTGCAAAGAAAAGGCTAAGCTATTGAACTTAGACTTCAAAATTCAACTGGGTTGGTGAAATACTGAGGACCTTGTCTTTGCCTCATGAGAATTTTGGTGTCTAAAGAGTTACAATGTAGTAAAGTTGGCCTCATTTTGCTTTGCATGTTTTTTGTACTCAACCTCGGTAGAGGCTCCGTGTGCCAACAAAAGAGGGCACTTTTTTTACCAATTTTGAGAGCCCCATGGACGGGACACACCAAGTGTGCGCACTGTATGAACATCACAAGCGAAGTATGCATAACTTCTAGAATTAGGGTGCCTTCTAATTGTAAGAATTCAGACACACTACCAACTCAGACCCACTACCAACTCGGACCCACTACCAACTCGAACCCACCACCAACTCGGACCCACTACCAACTCGGACCCAACCATGACCAACTCGGAACCAACAATGACTGAATCATTGATGTTGGTACTTTCAGGATTTTAGAAGTTGTTTAAGTTTTTGAAGGGTGATTATAATTACATGAATATTTTTTCTGAATGTGTTCATGTTTTTAAGTTCAATTCGGAATTTTCTATTTTCTTTGTGTAATTTAAAGTGTTGGCAATGGTGTTTGTGGTTTTTTTCCTTTTTTTTACTTCCAATGCTGTATAATATGAATTTTTTTCCTAGTGCTTGGGCACTTAATTTCATGTAAATGATAATTTAATTTCATAATATGCTGACTTTGATTTTTTTTGCATTAAAAATTTGTTAAACTTTTAATGAGTTTTGTTTTGTAAACATTTTCCTTTTTTTTCATTCATGTGGAACTTTCTTTTTTCTTTGTGCAATTTAAAGTGTAGGCAGTTTTGCCTGTAGACTGATAATTTGTTTCAATTAGGAATTTAATGTGAGGATTGTGAACGTTCAACCAATAAAAGGGTAAAAGGGACAAGATTTCATAGGAGTCCAAATTTATGCCACACTGGGAAAAGTGTTTAATATACAACATTTGCAAGTTCAAAACTACCAAATTATTATGAAATACCTAGTACCTTACTGGACTGTTAGTAAATGACAGTCAAGCATCCTGTGGAATCATGACACCTGTTGTGCTGACATTTTCAAGAAAAATGGTATTTTTGTATCAATTTCCAACGCTGGTTGGCCGATTTCCAACGCTGGTCGGCCAACCAGCGTTGGAAAAATCCAACGCTTGTCGGCCAACCAGCGTTGGAAAAAGACTGGCTTTTTTCTTAACTACTACTGGTACCCGCAGCCCAGTCCGCATTATAAATGCAATCGATTACACACATATGAACAGGTAAAAGGCAGCTAGAGTGCTAGACTGGTTCCCTGACCTTACATTTCCCGACATCTATAAATTGCTCCGTTTCAACTGTCTTATGCACCCCTGAAAATTTCTCTTTTCTTCCTAAACATAAGTGAACCTAACCACCACCGTTAGAATTTTAAATTCCCACAAAAGGCTGCAGGGGCACATAAAGATAGTTTCATGACTTTTTTGTGGTGAAATCTGAAGATTTTGATTGGGGTATGAGTGTAACTGATTACGCAATAAAGGGATGATCCTAGGAATCTACTACCGCCAGACCATGTCTAAATGTTAAAAAAGGCGATTCGTAAAAGACTACAGTCCTAGTTTACTTACTCGGACTTAACTCAAGCTGACATGCTCATCATGAATTCACATCTGAATTTCTGATGAGCATGTCAGCTGGACCATCTCAAGCTAACTCGGACTGTTGGAACAGCTTGACCGTTGAGACAACTCGACCACTGGGACAGATCGACCGTTGAGACAATGACCTTTGGGACAACTCGACCGTTGAGATCATAACTCGACCGAGGAAACAACTCGACTGTGGAGTAACTCGACCGTTGAGACAACTCGACCGTTGACACAACTCGACCGTTGAGACAACACAACTCGGGACAATGCGACTGTTGTGCGCTTTCTTGAAAATCACGCATTCTTAAGAATGCGCATGCACATTCTTATGATTGTGCAACTGGATCCTTGCGCAATCTTAGCAAAAAATAACTCTTCCAGATTGAGCGCACATTCTTAAGAATGCGGGACAAGATAACGGTCTTGTCGATGCCGAGCACCGGCTGCGCTTGGCAAGTCTAGCTGCATCCTCGTTCACTGATTCTTAATAATTAGGGCCTATACTGTTGCAACGCAAGGCGCTGAAAAGTAGAGTGGATATGAAAAGTATAGGCGTATTGGGGGGGGGGGGGGACCGGGAAAAAAAATAAGAGACAAATAGTGTATTGGAAAGAATTCTGATTTTTGGGATAATAAAAGCGGGGGAGGGGGGACGTAAGAATGAAGAATGTGAAGAATGAGATTGAATACTGTGACATCCCATAGTGCTAACTGCTAATGCTATTTCGGTCAACTTATACCGTGCACGGTGACATCGTTTTTGCCTGGCTCTGTGCCTGTGCGCGCACTTATCCCCGGTCAACGTGGCCGTAGGGTGCCCGGCAAAAACGTTTTTGCCGGGCCTGTGCGCCCATTTGCAGCGCCGGTCGACATGCCCGCATGCCGAGCCGGTCCCGGTCCTCGCAGGCGGGGCGCGCTGGCCCGACATGATGGCCACCGTATCGGAGCGCCTTCTGTGCATCGAGTATGCCCGCGCCGTGCCCGGGACCAGTTCTACCACAGATTAATGCATTTTTTTCCGCTCCACGTGTATACATTTCCATTAAGTCGAGCTTTTCAACGGGCGAGTTTTCCCGAGTCGAGTTGTCTCAACGGTCAACTTGTCTCAACGGTCGAGTTGTCTCAACGGTCGACTTGTCCCGAGTCGAGTTGTCTCAACGGTCGACTTGTCTGACATTCGTTGGCGGCTACGCGGTCACGAAGTGGGAGTGCAATGGAGCATGACGCATAGTACATACAAGTAGCGCTGAGAATGTTTATTGAGGTCAATCAACCGTGACCTCGTAGCCGGCTACGAGGTAGCCCCATAAATGTGGCCTATTTACTGGGAGGCAGTCCAGTAAATAGGCCACATATGGGGTTAGCTACGAGGTGGATAGATTGAGTGGCGGGGTATTCTGCAATTGTGCCCTGCTAACCCCCCATGTTCACGCTGGTACCTAATTCAATACGCTACCAACATTTTATACAGTTACTCAATAACACAGCAACACTATTAACAGCATACAGTGTGAATTGTTTTTACCTTCGATTTGAAGAAATAAGCGACAGAAACACCGCGTCGTCCATGAACAAGAACGACACTGTTTGATTCGGTACATTAATTATCTCATGAGGGCGCTGTAACTTCGGCTGACGCGCGCACGGCCGTGTTTTCGATCTTCGTACATGAAGATTGTAGCGCTAGCTCCAGCCCCGGCCCCATTTTGGTACCCCTTTCTCGGCTTGAAAACCTTTTATCCGAAATAGATGCCTTTCAATACAGATTTAACCTCTCTTCTGATTTGTTTTATTTCTGTTTTCTTTTATATTTTTAAGTATTTAAAATTATTTCCCAATTATAAAGTTTGCGGGTAACACCATGAGCAAAGAGATATCGCTTCTTGGAAAAAGTATGGTTCTGGAAAGAACCGGTTCCCCAAGGTTGATTTTGGTTGAGTGTAATGAGGAGATTGCCACCAACTTTGCCTGTTCACTAAACGGAATGTCATGGTCTGCGTCAGCCTGGACTAACCAAGAGAAAGTCCGATTGCCATGAATGTAGTGCAATTGAGTTACTATTATGCATTTGTGATTTTTTTTATGAAGTGTTCAAGATTTTATATATTCCGCTATATACTTACCAAACTAATCATTTTCTGTATTCAGATCAGGCTGAAACCAGTCAGTTGCCGTGTCACGCGTAGCTGCTCTATTTTCTCGTCCACACAACTGACAGCAACGCGAGGCCAGCGAAAGATGGCCGTACTAAAAAGGGCCCTTCGGAAATTTCGCAATTTTCATGGCAAACCAACCGATCCAAACAAACAGAGTTGTTTTAGGTAGTTAAAGACCACTGTCATATTGTCAGGTTGGCGTAGCGGTACTTTTCTCGCCTCAACGATGTGACCCGGGTTCGAATCCCGCCTGGGCCAATATGTGGATTGGGTTTTCAGTCCCTACCTGATTCCGTGGGTTTTTCCCCAGAATATTCTTCTGGGCTTTTTCTCCCGCCTCTAAAACTGTAATTTCTTCTCATTGTCTTCTCTCCACAGGTTTCTTCAGGCTTGCGAGCTACAGTGCCTAGGGTGCTTTTGAGGAATCCTTGGTTTCATTACCAGAAATGATTAATAATAATAATAATAATATAAACGTGCACACAACTATAATGACGGTTTCATTGGTGTGTTGAAATTCAATGGCTTTTTTTTTTTCACTGCTAAAAATACTTAAAGGAGAGCCAAAAATCGCTGACGCGCAAAAAAGTAAACAAACGGGTGTTTTCAACATTTTCTCTGGAAATGTCAGACATTTTGCACAGGACTTTCTGGGACCCAGAAAACACTACGTTTTGACATTCTGCGAATGAAAATGAACCTTAAACTAATTACTTCAAGCGTCCCAAACTATTTTACTTGTTGAAGTATGGTGAACGCAATAAGAGGACGCTATTTGAAGTGGGTAAATTTGAGTCAATACAAAAGAGTTTGCCAACTCAAAATTACTTCGTTAACCCATGGAATGAATATTGTTCATTATGCACTGCAAACAACTTGATTTTACAAGACTTTTGAATTCCAATAAATATTGCATGAAACTTTTCAAATATTCAATATAGCTTACTTTATTATATTAGCAAATCTAGTATACAACATTTTCTTTTTAGAAGTGGGCATAATTATGTAGAGTATTACTCTTTCTTAATTGTCATTTCGAACAGGGTTAAAGAGAAGATACAACATTTGCAAACATCAAAACACGAAATGATTAAATTATCACAAAATATCTTACTGGATTGTTTGGGAATGTCTGTCCAAAGCATCCTGAAAAATCAGGGCTCCCAGTGTGCTGACATTTTCAAGAAAACGTTTTTTTCCCAAAAAAAATTCCTACTTTTTCATATTAAGTCATTTTGCATTTCCTTAGCAATTGATTACACACCTGTGAATGGGTACAAGCCTGCTAGACTGATTTTCTGACCTTATAATTCCCCAAAGTCAATACATTGTTCCGTTTCATCTTTAGTAGGGTCAGGGAACCAGACTACAAGAACACGGTTGGTTTTCTTAGATTTTCCAGCATCTCCGAGCCCAAAACTTGAAACAAGTCAGTTTTTAGGGTTTTAGTTGATGGAACAATGGAATACACACGATGTTGGTCGTACAGCAACTTTATTCTAACAATCGAACAACTAGACTACGGTATTTACAAGAGAGGATTTGGAGACATGTGTCTTGTTTGATGGTTGAAAGAAGAGTGAGCGAAGAAAGTAATAAAGGAGAGTGAGTGAAGAATCTAATAAGTAAGGTGGGGCTGACTATCCAATTTAAAGGCAATAAAAACTAGAGACTGAAGAAATGTACTAATGGACTTTGTGGTTAGGTGATTAAATGTGGTAAGAGGGACAAAGTAATAAAAGTGGGGCTTGGCTCAGTAATAGTAATCAATCAATTAGGGAGATTGATACATAGGGTCATAACTTTTACCCACCACTGGACTGTTGCTGGGGGCAGTGTACGAGGGGTTAAAAGTTCACAGATTAAGCTATAATTATATGGAAGAAAACGCTACAGGAGCCCCCTTCCAGTGAGTGAAAAGTAACAAAAATTGATAAAACACTTAAGAACGAACGAATGTGACATAGCGTTTGGGCCAATGAACTGTGCGGCCTGAGCGGGTTGTACGAGGAGGTGGAATATCTGAGGTTGGGATATTCTGCTCGGTATTTACAGGATTGGTTTGAACTATTGGGATAGAGTGGTTGGGTTTGGGAAGAGCAGAATTCGTAGCATGACCTATATCCAAATGGGCAGATTTAAGGCGATCTATGCTAATTGTGTCCTGACGATTGTTCAGTTCAATGACGAAATGTTTAGCTGAACGACTGAGCACTTTGAAAGGTCCGTCGTAAGGCGGTTGTAGAGGTTTGCGCACTGCGTCACGACGAACGAAAACATGAGTGCATGTCTGAAGTTCCTCGGGAACATGCACTGTGGGACGCTGCCGTGCGCGGGTTGTTGGTGGCTGAAGATCCTGCATGGCGCGTTTCAAGCGATGAACATAGTTCGTAGGCTCTAAGGCAGTGGCATCAGTGGTGTTGTCAAAGAATTCGCCAGGCAGGCGAAGTGTGGTGCCATAGACGCGTTCGGCAACACAGTGACCGAAATCGGACTTGACCGCAGTTCGGATTCCCAAGAGAATCAGCGGCAAAGTCTCTGTCCATAGGCTTGCGTCTGGTTGTGCTCGTAGTGATGACTTCAGTTGGCGATGAAAACGTTCTACTAGCCCATTCGCGATTGGGTGATAGGCCGTGGTACGTATGCGGGTGGTACCAAGCAGATTTGTGAGTGCGCGAAAAAGTGCGGATTCAAACTGGGCACCGCGATCAGTGGTGATAACCGATGGAACACCAAATGAGGCAACCCATCGCGTTACAAAAGCACGGGCGACTGTTTCAGCTGTGATGTCAGGTAGAGGGATGGCTTCTGGCCAACGCGTGAAACGGTCAATACAGGTCAACATGTATACACATCCATTGGATGTGGGTAATGGTCCAACAAGATCAATGTGAACATGCGAAAATCGGGCATCTGGAGTAGAAAACTTAGACAGGGGAGCAAAGGTATGGCGATGGACCTTTGAGCGCTGACACTGTATGCATGATTTTGCCCATTGTCGCACATCACGGTTAACACATGGCCAAACGTAGCGGTCCGTGATGAGGCGTTGCGTAGCGCGAATTCCAGGGTGAGATAGGGAGTGTAGAGCGTCAAACACTGCACGACGCATCTCCACTGGAACAAATGGACGTGCGTTTCCAGTAGAAATGTCACAAGTTAATGTAATGTCACATGATGGTAGGGGAACTTGTTTGAATTTGAGCGAGGATGACGATGTGTGCAAGCGTTGAAGTTCCTCGCTGGTGTTCTGCAATTCCGCCATTTTGTGGAAATCGATGAGTGCAGTATGGTCCGTGCGAAGAGCATTTAGTTCGACACGAGATAGGGCATCTGCGGCAGGGTTATCTCCACCTTTAACATGTCTGATATCACAGGTAAACTGGGAAACAAAATCGAGGTGGCGAATTTCGCGAGGGGAGTGTCTGTCCGTTGTGGTGCCGTGAGCATATGTGAGCGGTTTGTGGTCCGTTAGCACATGAAATTGACGACCCTCGAGTGAGTGACAAAAATGGCGGATGGCAAGGTATATGGCCAACAGTTCGCGACCAAATGTGCTGTAACGTGTCTCTGCTGGTTGAAGTCGCTTTGAGAAGAAAGCGAGTGGTTGCCATGCGTTGTCAATTCGTTGTTGAAGAACAGCTCCCACTGCGACATCCGAAGCGTCCGTCATGACGCACAGAGGCGCGTCTGGCTTTGGATGTGCAAGGAGAGTGGCATTAGCGAGGGCAACTTTGATAGCGTGAAATGAAGCGGTGGCAGAGTCATTCCAGGGGAGTGGTGCCGACTTCTTTCCGGCATTAGAAAGTAGATCGGTGAGTGGTTGGAGGACCTGGGAACACTGGGGAATGAAACGGCGGTAGAAGTTGACGAGACCGAGAAATTCCCTGAGTTTGGTGAGAGTTGTTGGTTGGGGAAAATCACGGATAGCACTGACCTTTCCAGCAAGTGGTTGCACTCCGTGACGGTCAACGTGATGTCCAAGGAATTCCAGTGACTCTGTGCCAAACAGACATTTCGCGGGGTTGATGATCATGCCGTATTGTTGGAGGCGGTCAAACAGAAGGCGAAGATGCGTTTCATGTTGATCGGCATCAGTACTGGCAACTAAGAGGTCATCGATGTAGGCATAACAAAAGTCCAAACCTCTTGTTACTTCATCAATGAAGCGTTGGAACGTTTGGGCGGCGTTGCGCAAACCAAATGGCAGACGGGTAAATTCGAAGAGCCTAAACGGAGTCGTGATAGCGGTTTTAGCAATATCGTCTGGTGCCATGGGAATCTGATGGTATGCGGGGATGAGGTCGATCTTGGAAAATATCACAGTGCCATGTAGTGATGATGTAAAGTCTTGGATATGTGGCACTGGATAACGATCAGGCACTGTGGATTTGTTGAGAGCCCGATAGTCACCGCATGGACGCCAATCCCCAGGTTGCGTTTTGGGGACCATATGAAGAGGTGAGGACCAGTTACTGGCCGAAGGGCGCACGATACCTAAGTCCATCATGTGTTGGAACTCG